AAAAAAAAAAAAAAAAAAAAAAAACTTATTGATTGCACAGGGACGTGAATCAATTTCTTATAGCTGAATTGCATCGTAAACGTTAAAAATTTTCGCGGTTCTCTATGATTTCGTTTATCAGCCCCTACTGGTGTTACGTAATAATACGATAAGTTATCCGGTGACGTCTATTACGTGTCGATGTAGATAAAACAAGATTTTATAATACAAGTCCCTACAAAATATGCCACGTTCAATCACGAATAACCACGTTCAATAACGAATAATAATTGCTGAGTGAAACGCGAATTACGCGTGATGGAATATTTATAAAATAATATTGATAATAGGATTGATAACATATTGATATTATTGCTGAATCACAAACTTTGGATATATTCGCGTGATGCTGTATTCTATCTTGAAATGAAATACAATCGAAATGATAATTACGCTTTGGAGAATGAAAATTCATGCTTCGTATCGACCAATTCGGATTGATAACGGTAACGATGTATTGCATAACGATAAAAACGAGTTTCGAAAAAATAAAGTTAAATAATAGATAGCAGATAGTAAGCAGTAGTAGATAGTAGCTGGTTTGGAATTACGTATTGTTATTTCCAATGACAGTAAAAAAAATTAACGTCGCGCGAACACCGGAACGCGAATTGGGACGCGGAAGCAGAAGAAACGACGTTAAAAAATAATTTTGATTAGACATAGAAAATTGATGAGTATCGATTGAGGTCAATAATTGTATTACAGTGAAATATATTGATTTACAATAAAAATTATTTTCTTCGTCCTACTATACAATATTTCAGTGTCTTTTCGATTAATTTAATGTCTCGCGTGCGTAATCAGCTGTTTCGTACAGACACAAATCGAAAGAATAAAGTCTGCAAATTTAATACTTTAGTCTACTGTACGTAATCCGTGTTTACGTTTTTTGGAATTACTCAGATTTACATACACCGAATAGATAGTCAATTCGATAGGGAAATTTTTGTTTACGATATTACGTAAATGGATTCCATTGGTATATCTGTACAGTTGGATTAAGGAATAATAACTTTTTTCCACGCATTGTAAACGTGCCATTGTTTCTGCACAGTACTGTACATACCACTTTGTACCAAGCTCTAAGTGTAGTCGGTTTTGAGAGTCACCATTGTTCACAGCTTCCCTTGCTGGATCCGACCGTAAACCAATAATACCTTTAGCTTCATTAATGTTCTACTATTTAAGAACGCGAAGCACCCGAGTAATCGGATGCTTTTTATACGTTTAGCAAAATATCAAAACTCGATCGTATTTAAAAAAAATTAAATTAAATATAATATACTACAATAAATTAAAATTGTTTTCTATTATTAACACGAAATAAAATTTTTCATAATATATTTAACATCTTAGACTGCATTTTTATTGCATTCATTTCTTTCGTAAACTGTATTGCATCACTACTACACAGATATAGATAATATTACTGAATGCATCATTTAGTGGTTGACGTGTTCCAATTGAATTTCCCTAGACATTATGGACACGTAGCGTTACGTAAATTATATAATTCTCGACGATACATGTGGAGCAGTTTTATAGCTTTCGGAATCAATGACCCTCCAACCATCTGCCAACTCAAAATTTACAGCATGCGGAAAGAGAAGGTGAGCAAAAGTTTTTTGGGCCTCGGCAAGCAATACCTTTGTAATATATATGTATATATATATACAAGTATAATATATAAAGCAAACCTAAGACTCATCAGGCAGCTGCAACTAGAATCTCTTGAGGGTTGAGTTGAAGAATGTCTGAACTGGTATTATGTCAGACGCGTGACCTTGAGAATAGCTGCTATGTCGGAGCTACTAACAGGAGTCGCTAACCTAGCACGCTGCCTTCGCGTGTCGACCTCGTAATATCTACCTTGAGGAGCGTGGACGATGGATATAAAGTAAGCCAGGCCCGTTTGACAAAGTAACTTGACTTTTCGCTGATTATTTTTGCAGCGAGAATTAATAGTTGTCCCAGAAAAATCAAATGCAAAAGATCACAAGCGTAAACGAGTAAAATTTCTGTAATTAATTTTTTTAAAAACCACGAAATTGATAACAATTTTAATTAAACAAATAACGTTTAACTCACTCGTATGATTTTGTACAGATGGCGCTGATAGACAATCTATTCACATACATCATTCGGCGTTTTATGATTCTGTGACACGTGGGAGATTTCGACATATGCTAGATGCACGTCAATGTTCGAGTGGACCAAAATAAATGGTAGCAGCGTGTCAAGGGTTTCTATATATAAGAACCACATTAAAGTTTGTTACATAAAAACATTGATAATAGACTTTTTTATATTGTGGATTTAGATATAAGGGTGTGACAATTTTGAATGAGATTCCTCATTATACTTTGATAAAGGTATTAAAATGGTATACAGTCTGATAGTTTCATCCTAAATTTATCTAGCATAAAGATTACCTGAAATGATAATAAGTCTAGCTATCCCAAAATCAGAATTTTTTTATTTACAGCTATTAATAGATGGCTACTGATGCAATTAAGGCATATCTATATATACGCTTATATGTTTATCAACACAATATTTAACAGCAATTCAAGCCTCTTTACTACATAGAGTATTTTTAGATCACTATAATTTTATGATTGGTTGGATCATTTACTTACAAATCAATATATTTCAATTCATTCAATTGAATATTTTCATAGATCAGTTTACCTTAAAATATCACTCAATGATAACCCATCAAGGTTTTGTACATCAAGCAATTCAGATTGAGTAACCTAATTGTGCATGACACAGGAAGCAAAAGATTAGCGTCATTGATCATATAATTATATTACATAAAATCTACAGATCTGACTCAAGGATACATTCCAAGATTCAACCCCAGTAAAATATCGAAAAGGCTTCCTTCACAAGGTTAACAACGAGGAAGTGCACTCTGTAAAAGGCAAAGCACCGTTTCAGTTATTGAATCCTGTGCCATGCAGTACCAATAGGATTACGTAAAATCAGAATTTCAAAGGGCGTTTATTCGGCCTATGAAATAACGAGATCGAGAGTGAGAACTGCGGCTGATCGTGATTCCCGGTGACCTCGAAAACGAGGCGTACACGCTGAAGAGACAGAGGGATCGATATTCTTTCCGCCAATCGCTGGGCTTGGTCTGTACATATATATTACAACTAGGAAGTAGCCGGTTATTGCCCATCGCTAAAATAGCAAAGATTAAAGAGAGCAGTTAGAGGAATAAAAGAAATTTAAAATCTCTACTAGAACAATGCGTTGTAACAAGAATTCAAATCAGACACCCGGATGCAGATCGTTACGGACAGGTACTCAATGCCCGAGTTTCCTGTGTCAAGTAGAGCCACGAAATACACAAGTCTCAATGTTTATGAAAGTGACAGTAATAAAAAAAGATTAAACAAGACTTACCCACCTCTTGACAGGATGCTCGAATGGCAAGCGAATCCTTCAACATTCCCAAGAGACGATTTATCTAAATATGATGCACGATGCTCCAGAGAAAACGCGGCACTTATGTTCGCTCTTTCTTATTCAAAACTTGTGATCTCTGTCCCCTTTTATTTTGGCTTTGTCCGTGTTCCTTTTATTAAACTGGTGTGTGAATATTCACCCGTACCTAGGATGCACAGTGCTCGATACTGAAGTTGCCATGCTACTGCGGCTGAGACAGTTCCCATAGCGCCATCTTGGCATTATAATATAACAAATAAAGGACCTGTCGACCCGACTGTGGATGGCAGCTCAATCTTTCGCGAGTAAATCCTTATATGTAGGTAGGAGGATAAGTATTTATTGAAATTTTACTGTTGCAAATGCTGCACAATGTTTTGTGCTAGTTAAGCGTTATGGCGACTGTAATGCTGTGATCTATTCAGATTACATAGAAAAATTTAAGCATTGTAATGTATGTTACATACATTTATTAAAGATCTTATCTACTTGCACATAATTGAACAGTATACATATTTATCGTGTGTTAATGTCGACATCTAAACGCAATCTCATAGAACTCATAGGAAATGATTGTCTATGATTATCGCATAATAGGTGTCGCTCGTTGTATAAAAATAATAAAATACAAAAATTACGAATGATCAGAAAACATCATATCTATTGCGATTAATTTTTATGGTTGTTTATAGAAAAAATATATATTTGTATCAAATAGTAAGTAGTAAAAAAAGCTATCTTTGTGAGATCGGAGTTTTTCTTAATTATCTACATGTACAAGAGCTGTCAGATCATGAATACATCAAGTGATGATGAACATTATGAATATCAAAAGTATCTTTATAGAAAAAAAGAATGGCCTGGTTACAAGAAAGGTATGTATACACAATAATGAGAAGTTTATGTATTATATACAAAATATATGCTTTTTTTAGTGGGTAAATTCAATGATGTAGCAATCTTAATACAAGAGATATATCGTCTGATACCTTTTATACATGGATCTTTTTATAAGTTTCATCCATTGAATATGCCTTATATTATGGTAGGACAAATTGAGATTGTAGGAATTATTATAAAAGTTATTAAGAAAAAGATGTGTTATGATCTTATTGGTAAGAATATTAATATAACAAATGATTTTAACATTCTATGAATTTGGTCATTGTTACATTATCAAACTTCCAGTTAATGATGGAACTGGTGCTATTACTGTAATCAAAAAAATACATAACTTGGAATCAGAACAAAATGAGAGAAAAAGAATAGATGAGAAGCACAAGAGACTTGCAAAAGCTGCATTTCTCGGTAAGAAATGGCAGCGACACGATAGCATGACTGAGCCTTTACCAATACGTTTTCCAAAAGTAAGACCAGATATTGAATATGATTCCGAAATTCCTTTACGATACAGAGCTGTAAGTATCCAATGTAATATAGCAAAATTTGTTGAAATGTTATTTAACAGAGTGCTTTTCATTTTCTAGTACTTAGAACATAAATGGTATGAAGAAGTTAATCATGGGTTATTAGGAAAACCAATCGAACTATATGACTATGTACATGTTAAAGGATTCATTCAATTAAATTTTGAACAGTATCCAGCACCAGAGAAAGAAATATCATTCGAAGATATTTGTGTAGCAAATCCATACATCGTTGCATCACGTGGTAATTTCGAACTCATCAACGAATATGACTACAATAAAAAAATGCTAGAAATAATGAATAATGTGAAGAAAAGATATAAAAGACCAGAGTAATATCGTATTTTATTTAAATTTTATTCTATAATGTATAGACAATTTTTCTAAAGAAATCTGATTGTATATTCTACTTATTGTTTTTACCTGTACACATTTTGTAGCTGTTAAAGATGAAACTTATTTGTTATGCCTTAAATGTTCAATACTTCGTAACTGATGGTTGTGTTAATATAGAAATCGTTTCCTATTATTTATTTTCCTATTTAAGTAATATACGTATGGTATAAAAAAGTTGTAATAATATGAAAGTATCTTATTAAAGATAAAAACGGAACCGCGTTGTAAATGTATGTTTCAATTTCTGCGCCAATGCAATTATTACCGACGGATTCTTTACAGTGCCACTTAGCGCGTCGCTCGGTAAATATACTCTTTACGAATGAATTATCCTTTTGACTAGTATCTGAATTGTTTGAAAACATCAGAAATACTTATGACTATTATAAGGATTTGTTCGGTAAGCATTTTTTAGATAGGGTAAATGTATTTTGAGTAAAAATCCCGGTTATTGCGCTAACCCAGTTTTTGTAATGACGTGTCCCGTCAGCATGCTGACGGGCGCATGCGCAATGCCACCTTACGTGGCATCAGCAGTCTTCACTCTTGCACTGAAAGATATTTTCTTCATCCTTAGTGTAAACATTTGTGGAAATATCGTGTTTTGTTATGATTTAGAAAGATTTAACAAGTTCACGTAAGTACATGTAATTCTGCTGTTACACAACGTTCAGTACAGTTCCTTAAATAATGCAATACTTCAATGTGCAAAATGATCTGATCCTCTTTACCGTCTTGTACAACGTGACGTTTAAAGACGCTGGAATTTACAGATTAATTTTATAATTACACTCTGCTTGATATAAAGTTACTTTTGAACGTTCTTAGGTTCACTTAAAATTTCACTCTGGCAATACTTTCACTCGGATCACTTGAAAGGTCAAAGATTTAGTTGAATTTTCTGAACATTTGTATCACTCCTTTCATTTTCTTTCAATAGTTTACAAATCATTTATTTAATTTCGTTATATTTCATTATGTGATACTTTTTTACACTATATGTTGTATCTTGACCATATCACTTTTGGCTAATGCAAGTGCCACTTTTAACACTTCTATATATTTGAAACATTTTAATTTCGATTATACCGGTTCATTTTGTTTTTTAAAGGGAAATATTGAAACTTATCAATGTTTTAAATATCTTGTTGATATGTTTCAAAGAATACCTTTATATACCTTTTGTATTCTTAAGAATATGCTCCATATGTCAGTCTATAAGAAATTGTTTCAATACTTTTTATTTTATGAATAAGGAAATCATTTTACGTTGTGCTTATAATTTGACATTGGTAGGTAATCATGATTAATACAGATGAGTTGCTATTTTTCTTAGATTTTTTTAAGAACAAAGAACAGTTCTATCGATATACATTATATATATACATGTGTATTGTCTCGACAAAAGTATTTTTTGTTCATTATTATATACATATAGTGCTAATTAAAGAGATTGAGTTCAAATTTGTAATTAGAATTTTTATAGTTAATAAATTAACATAACAAACTGGACATCATTCAATTATTATTAATAAACTTACTCTGAATAAGATTTTACTTTTTTTTGGAATTGGATAAGTATTAAACAAACATGCTTCTATTATACTTATTCAAAGAACCATAGACCTCTGTTTCTAAAACAAATACTCTTCTTCTATAGCATAAAAAATGAATCCTCAATATATTCAACAAGGTCAACAACCGCCTCAACAATCTCAACCACAGCAACAACAGACACCATATTATACAGGTGCACAAGGTGTGCTTCCCTATGGGCCACCAAATGCAAACATGCCATCAAATCAATTTAATGGTCCCCAAGCTCCGTCGATGTATCCACCTCAAAAGCAGCATCCACTTCCTGGTGATATGCCTTCACCTCCACAGTCTCAATATTATGCTAATAATTCTCAAGGTAAATAAATACAAATACACCCTTATATTTTAGCATGCCCTTTTCATTAAGATAATAGCTAGGGATATTTCTTTGATTATTTAAATTACATTTTTCAGGTCCACCGATGAATCTTCAGTCTGGACCTGGAATATCCAATACAACACATGTAGCACCGTCACCAACAAATCAAAATAATCTTGTAAATCAAATGGCTAATATGTCCATGGGTGGTCTTCAAAGACCTCCATCTGGTGTACGTTACATAATTTATTATTATCACCGAAATGATATAAATTCTGATTTAATCTACTAGGCATGATATAATTAGCACATTCTTATTTGTATGCATTTATAGCAAGGTTTTCCACCACCCGCTGGAAAAGCTAACCAATTGCCATCTCCACCGTCAAATATTAATGGTTTCAACGGTAATCCAGATAACATGCCACATGGAACAGGTATTAAATATCATATGACATTCTCATATCACTTTATTACATAATATCGTGTAACAGATTCTGCAGGTCAAACGCAAGCCAGCGGACTTCCTCCAGCAAAACCAGGAGCAACAAATTTTGGAAAGCTCTCTCATCCTGCTGCACCTGGTGCACCCATCCAAACAGACCATTCAGTATCACAACTCTCTACTGTTCCATTTACTGGAGGTGGTCCACCATCACAGGTTTCTGGACCACCCGGACAAAAATTTCCTGGGCAGCCTCCGCTTCCTGCACCAGTATCTCAACCTGGACAACATTTACCAGGTTAGTTTCAAAATATATTACAAAACATTTGAAAATTCTATGTTTCATACAAAGACCACTATTAACGCCAATCGTACCATCGACCGGTCATTTGACCATTTTAGAGCCAAAAATACATTTACAAAAAATTGTCGGTATGGATAGTGTTAAGTATCTATAAATTGTTACTATTAGAACAAATAAATACGAAAAGTCTTTTTCTCTCCGAACAACCAAATGTATTTGAATCTATTTTACCAAGATCATTACTGTATGTTCAGGGACAACTAGATTATCTGGGCCTCCGTTGCCTGGGCAGCATAATGTATCCGGGTCTTTATTAACGGGACAGCGAAACTTATCTGGACCCCCACTGCCAGGACAGCAGAATTTGTCCAATTCATCATTACCAGGTCAACAAAACTTATCGGGGCAGCCATTAGCAGGACAACAAAGTTTATCCGGTCCGCCACTTCCTGGACAACAAAACTTATCCGGACCACCTGTTCCCGGACAGCAAAAATTATCTGGACCAATATTACCTGGACAGCAAAACGTATTCGGACAGCCATTACCAGGACAGCAAAACATATCCGGACCATCATTACCTGGACAGCAAAACGTATTCGGACAGCCATTACCCGGACAGCAAAACTTATCCGGGCCACCATTGCCTGGACAACAACATTCATCTGGGTCTCAAATTCAGCCCCATTTAGCTGGACCTCCTCATGGCCCTGGACAAGCACATATGACCTCTCCTTCAGGACCAGGTCAACCGCCTATGTCTGGTGGACAGATGAGCGGCCAACGACAATATATGTCAGGACCTCCGGTACCGGGTCAACCGCCTATGGGTATAAGTCGTCAATCACCAGGAAATTTACCACCTTATCAACAAGCAGGATACCAGCAACAAGGATTTCATGGACAAACGGTAAACTAACAGTCTTCTCTCTGGGTTTAATTATCATTTACTTCTCAAGTCTAGTCATAAGTCTTACTTTAAATATCTAATATGACCAGGATATGTATGGTGCACAGAGGAACTTCCAAGGTGGCATCACAGGTCCAGCTGGTGCTGGATATCAACCAGAAATGCAACCTCAGCAAGTAAGACGACTCGATCCTGATCAGATGCCAAGTCCAGTAAATATCAAACCAACAAAACCAAATTAAGTTTTGCGTAACTTTGAAGCTTGATAATGTGTAATGTCCCGCATAGATACAAGTGATGCAAGATGATCAGCGTGTACGAGGCGGCGTATTTGTCACAAATCAAAAGGGGTTGGTCCCACCATTAGTTACAACACAGTTTACAACACAGGATCAAGGAAATGCTTCACCAAGGTTTATCAGGTCAACGATGTATACCGTTCCTACTACTACCGACATCATGAAACAGGTGTGAAATTAGATAAAAATTGAAGTAATTATATTAATTAAAAAAATTCTCCTTACAATTATTAATTATTTCACAGACCAATGTGCCATTTGGACTTGTAATAAGTCCTATGGCTCGTGTAGAGGAGGGAGAATTTGAACCACCTGTTGTCGACATGGGTGAATTGGGTCCAGTTCGTTGTATACGATGCAAGGCATACATGTGTCCCTTTATGCAGTTTATTGATTCAGGTCGTCGGTTTCAGTGCATGTTCTGTAAAGCCACAACAGAAGGTAAGAAGACGTTAAAAGCAATAATAACTCTCAGATGATAATATACGATATTTAGATAATAGAAAATACAATTTTTGTATTTCTTTACGTTCAGTTCCAGCGGAATATTTCCAGCATTTAGATCATACGGGACAACGCATGGATCGTTTCGAAAGGCCGGAGTTGATGCTTGGAACGTTCGAATATATTGCTACCAAGGATTATTGCACGGTAAATTAGTAAAAAGAATCTTCACAATATTGAAAGTTGACGGGAACAACATCTTATGATTGTATTATTCATTGTTTGCAGAACAATGTTTTTCCGAAGCCACCAGCTTTCGTGTTCGTGATTGACGTTTCATACAACACTGTTAAATCCGGTCTGATCAATTTACTGTGTTCGGAAATGAAAAATATTATTCGCAATCTCCCTGTCGATGCTGGTCAAACTAAAAGTAACATGAAAGTCGGTTTCATCACGTACAACAACACCGTTCATTTCTACAATGTCAAAGCATGTCTGGCGCAGCCCCAAATGATGGTTGTTGGGGACGTGCAGGAAGTCTTTATGCCACTTCTTGACGGATTTCTATGCGACGTGGAAGAAAGTGAAGCTGTAATTGATAGTTTAATGGCGCAGATTCCTGTTATGTTTGCGGATACTCGTGAAACTGAGATCTTACTGGCTCCTGCTATCCAAGCAGGTCTAGAAGCCCTGAAGGTGAAGATTGTCGTATAACTAGAATTATAGAATACTTTCAGTTCTTAACAATTATTATTATTCCTCCTTGCATTGATCAGGCCTCGGATTGTGCCGGAAAGCTTATGGTGTTTCATTCATCGCTGCCAATAGCTGAAGCTCCTGGAAAACTGAAAAATCGAGACGACAGAAAAGTTCTTGGTACTGAGAAAGAAAAAACTGTATTAGGTAATTGACTGTTTTTTTTTTTTTTTTATATAAGATTCAAAAGGTTTATCACGCTACTGCTTTCGACATTGATTCATGTTGATTTCAATACTCTTACAGCTCCGCAGAATAACGTATATAACAATTTGGGACAAGAGTGCGTTAGTGCTGGTTGCAGTGTAGATTTATTTATTTTTAATAATTCATACGTCGACATTGCAACGATAGGACAAGTTGCCCGGCTCACTGGTGGCGAAGTATTCAAATACACTTATTTCCAGGTAAAAATTTAAATTCTCAAGCAAAGATTTATATAAGTATAGTTTGTCATACCTTTTATTTTTATTTCATAGGCTGATATCGACGGCGAGAGATTGATTACCGATATTATAGATAATATTAGCAAACCAATCGCTTTCAATGCGGTCATGCGCGTTCGCACGTCTACCGGAGTCAGGGCAACAGATTTCTATGGACATTTCTTCATGTCAAATACAACAGACATGGAATTAGCTAGCATAGATTGTAACAAGGTAATTAAGAACAAAAATTAACAATCTAAAATAACACGTTACATTTGCCATACGATGGAGACATCTGTTATGACATAATAATGGGTCGTACTTTTAAATAGGCTGTCGCAATCGAGATAAAACACGATGATAAGCTGACGGACGAAGAAGGCGTCTACGTGCAAGTAGCTCTGCTTTATACATCTTGCGGAGGCGTAAGACGATTACGTATAATAAATCTCAGCCTGTCGACTTCGTCCCAAATGTCTGAGCTATATCGTGCTTGCGACTTAGACGCCATTGTCAACTTCTTTTCCAAGCAGAGTGAGTAGTGGATGTAAAGATCAACGAAGAAATCAAGCAGTCAGTTATCAGATCCAGCAAATGCAGATAATATATATCTCAATCTTTCCCCAGGTGTATTCAAATTGATTGAGTCGACGCCAAAGACGGTGAAAGACAATTTGATCGCAAGATGCGCCTCCATGCTAGCAGCTTACCGGAAGCACTGTGCGGCGCCGTCGAGCGCAGGGCAACTCATACTTCCGGAATGCATGAAACTCTTGCCTCTTTATGTCAATTGTATACTGAAGAGCGACGCCATTTCTGGCGGTAAGTAAATTACTCGAAGAATTATCTTCAATAAAATTTTATCGATGGACTAATCGTAACACTGTATGGTATTACATTGATCAGGAGCTGATATGACTATCGATGATCGATCCTACGTAATGCAGGCAGTCGCCACTATGCCGATTCATACTTCAGTCGCCTACTTTTATCCGAGGTTGATCCCGCTTCACGATATCGATCCGCAGGGCACCGATCTTCCTCAGATGTTGCGTTGTTCCATTGACAAATTCGCCGAAGATGGCGCATACTTACTTGGTAAATACATTGGCTAAGAAATGATAACGTGATCGTTTATGGATAATTAATCATCATTTGTCATCAATTTCATATTCATTCAGAAAACGGCATCCATATGTTCCTGTGGCTGGGTCTTGGATTATCCTCACAATGGGTACAAGGAGTTTTCGGGGTACCATCGGTGGTCCAGGTGGACGTTGATCGTACTCAGCTTCCTCAGTTAGATAACCCGCTCAGCAAACGCATTTCCGATATCGTCAGCCACATCCGGGCACAGCGACATCGCTGCATGAGAGTAAGTGGCTAATAGGTTATATTCCCATCTTGCATCTGTGTTGTAATCTAATCAATTGTCTTATACGATATCTTCGTTATTTCAGTTGACCATTGTCAGACAGCGAGAGAAGCTTGAGATGGTACTGCGTCACTTCCTGGCGGAGGACAGGAGTAACGACGGCAGTCCGAGCTACGTGGATTTCCTCTGCCATATGCACAAAGAAATTAGAGGGCTCCTTAGTTAATAAATTGACACCTCACTGATCTCCCTTTCTCTTTGGCACGAGGGGTAACGTTATGCAATTAGTAAAGTGCAAGGAGCACCCGAATTACTGGAATACCCATTGCCATTGCTGACGCGATGGAGATCAAACGCGGGAAAGCTGGAATTATGTATTTCGCGAGAAGCACACCATTAAACGCGCACGAGTCGTTTGGCTGGACGAAAGTGAAAAGGAAGCGAAATAAAACGGATGAAATGCATATAATTAAGAAAGTGGGGATGAACTTTTTGGATGTTACGCGGAAGATACATGCGAAAAGATAAATGCAGACAGGCGTCTCATGGATTCACTCACATAACTTACACATTTACATACACACTGAGTGATTTATATACGAATAATTGTAAACGTGAAATTGTATTATTATTACATTTTATTTTACTTAGTGCATTATAATACATTATTATGGTAAATTAAACAGTGAAATTTATTACGACATTCTGAATTTCTATAACGGTGAGGCTGATGCGGCGAAGAGTGAGGCATCATTTAGCAAACGTATTGTTAAATCGAATATGCATTTTCGAGGTTTATTTACTTTGGATGGGGAAGTATAGTTAATTTTTCTTTTTTCTTTGTCTTCGACGGATTTCGATGCTCGGTATGGATATGCTGATCGAGTGTCGCAGAGTATGCATAAACATTACTGTTATATAAAATTACTAATGTTCGATGAATGGAAAGTGGAGAACTTGATTCGTTGATAGAAATAAGAAAATATTAATAAATATTGTAATTACGCAAATTATATATATTTCGTGAACGTCTACGGTTAAATTACTGCTTTTGTAGATAAATATGACACTGTCGGACTTTGCAAATTTTGCGGACGGGTATTTCTTTTTCTTTAATCAGACTACGCTGCGACCACGGACATACCGAACAAAAATATTATTGGAGAAATGTATATATGTCAGTAATGCAGAAACGTCCACTCGTCAGGTGGCGGGTCGATGCCGAAATAAAACTTGGACCATGAAAATCGGCTCATTGGCAATTTCCCTACTCGATTCTGATAGTAAAAGACGATTGAAGATCATATGCGTTCTTTGTTACGTCACGAATCGACGTAGATCGACATTTCTCTTAGATACGCCATGTTATTGGAGGATTCTGTGAGAACCAACTAATAAAACTTATTTAAGCGAAGAATGGCAGGTGGAGTTGATTTCTGTTTAAAAAAAAGCACTATGCTTAACACTTTGGCTGCCGGCGTCTGCAATTGAAACTACTCAGCATAGACTCGACTCTACCTCTTGGAATTCATGAAAAAATACTTAAAAATGTTTTTTTTAACAATTTGATAGACAGTCTTTATTTGATCTAATGTCACGCTCTAATTTATACAGAATGATAAAGAAAAATGCAGTGTAGCTGAATTAATAATTTTTCTATATCATATCTACGATCAATCAATATATTTTCACAGGACATTTCACTTTTGTGCAAGCAACTATATTCTTTCTTTATCAATAAATTCATCTCTTGTCTTGCATATTCTTTGATAAGGTTATCGAAACCACATAACAAGTAGTGGGAGTAAGTAGGACAATCTTTTCCCTCAAGACTTTGCAGTCAGGTGAAATCGTTCACTGCGAACAGACAATCTTTCTTACACGTGCTATGGTGGTCTCTTTTGCTCGATAAGACAGATAAGAAGTAATGGCGTCCAAATTTCATAACTAGGGGTAAATATACCTTATCTTATATATATTTTTTCTGGTAAATAAATCACGCTACTTAAAAGATACGATTTATATGAAAATATTTCATACTTGAAACAATATTATTAAGCCAGTCTACCTTTCACATTTCGCACACGTTTCGACGTGGGTATGTATGCATGTCCAATGCGTATGTAATTATTTTCAGGTTCTTCTGTTAATGATATGCAAACTTTCCTTTTTCACTTAGTCTCATCAAATGGATTACTTATAATCTGATTGATTGTAACTGATTGTTTAAACAAAATGTTCTATCTCTATACTTTTTTCTTGGTCGTTTTTATTCACAGATTGATATACTGGATTTTTAAAATAAATCACGATGGATACTAACACGTGTACTTACGACGAACTACGATACGATCGAGCATGCGTCGGATTGCGAAGTAATTTTGAAACTGCTGAAACTTTTTTGTATTCGCTATCATCAGATTGTGAAAGTGTGAGTAAATATAATTTGAATTTGAATTATAAATATTTTCCCAATGTAAACCTTCGTTATTGTTGAATCTATGGCGATACAGAATATTCTATAATTTATTTTTGTATTACAGTGTCCCTACGGTAGAATAGCTTCAATATCAAAATCGAATAATCAAAGTGTAAGATTTGACACGACTTACAAATCGTTTTGGAGAGTAATAGAAACTGATGGCGAAAGTGAATATATATCCGCGTCAGATAAAAGGTTTGATTTGATGAAAGAAGTAAGCGTGAATTCATGATATAATTAAAAAACTTTATTTTTCATTCCTTTCATTGTCGTTCCAGTGGTATCGTATGCGAATTGTCACCAAACGTAGGTCAATTTGGATTATACGAATTAACTGTGAATAACGGCAGTTGCGATTTCACGACGATTCAAGAGCCTTCTAATCTTTATACATGTGAGTAATAGCCATAGTAAAATACTATTCGATTGTCAAAAGTTATTAGTCTCTTATGTAACAATCATACAATAAAATCTATATCCATTCAAGCTCTTGTTGTCGTGCTGGGAGCTTTGCTATGTATCAGTTTTGGATCGTCTTTGTTAAGAACCGGAGTGGTCGCACTGGTAAAAAGATTTCGAAGAGACAACACAGAACCGCCACCAGACAAGACTTCGACAAAGCGTCGAATTAATTCAATTGACACATTCCGAGGGTATATAAACTATCATGACTAAGAAACGCGACCAACAAAGAAAAGGTATAACCATAATCAACACTTACAGAATCAGCATACTGTTTATGATATTTGTAAACGACGGAGCCGGCGGATACGCAATTCTGGAACACGTAACCTGGAACGGATTATTCGTAGGGGATTTTGTGTTTCCATGTTTCGTTTGGGTTATGGGAGTCTGCATACCTATATCACTTTCGTCTCAATTGTCTCACGGTGTATCACGACTTTCCCTTTGCTGTGCGATTCTCAAGGTAAATGATATTTAAACTTAAACGATTCCGAAACTGACAGCCAGTACTACGACTAGAAAACAATTCTAATACGTTTAATGCGTGGTCGCCTTTAAGCGAAGCGTACTTCTCTTTCTGATTGGACTATCGCTGAATACATTGGGAACTGATGCCCAACTTGAGAATATTCGAATTCTTGGAGTTCTGCAAAGATTCAGTATTGTTTACTTGGTTGTTGCTTTGACATTTGCACTGCTGAATCGACGAAAGCCATTGGAGCTCGAGGTCTGTACTGTTAATGATATATTACTGGTACTTAAATTAATTAAATATTAAAAAATTTGCAGAATCTTTTCTTACGCCGAATCAGTGAAATTCTAGCGTTGCTACCGCAGTGGCTGATCATTCTTGCCATTCTTGCTGCTCATTGTGTTATAACGTTTCATTTGCCAGTTCCAAATTGTCCTACGTAAGCATATACAGTTTTATTATACATTGTAACGTATTCTTTCTTAACTCGACTTAACCGATAGCGAAAAATCCGAGAACGAACTATCATCCAGAACCGACCTACGTTACCTTCGGTCGTCCACCCTTCGTTCGTGCATCCGCAAGCCAGGCGGCGCCAGTCGATTCTTTTTTTACCGGGAACTGACGATCCGGTGTGAACTGGGAGTTGGGTGGAACAGGTCCAACTCCATCGAAACGAGAGCTCTGACGTAACGCATCAGAAGAGACGATAGCTTAACGGATCCTGTCGATTTTTGGGGACGCGTAAAATCGAGAAACGAAACCGTAGATGCTGATTTTTGGGGTCGCGTAAAATCAGCAAACGCAATTGGATGCACGAACGAAAATGCACGGCTGCTCAGGCTGCTAGGTTGAGCTAGAGAGGGTCGGAGTACGCGTCAGGGAAATAGTGCGAGATACAGACAGCAACTGATCGAGAACGTAACAGAACGAATCGGACGTATCAAATCGAAATCCCTCCACCAATTAATAAATTGGGATTACTCACCGGAGCTGGTGTAGCTGATCCGTGAAGGCCGAGAACTGCATCCAGGAAATCCTCAGGTGGACACTGCACTGGGACACCGCACAACACCTCCGGAGCACTCACAGAAAGTCCATAGAAGTTCCTGGATATCGCGAGAGCAACGTGAAAACTTTCTATACCGTATCGAAACACAGCTAGAAAAACTATCAACAGACAGCACGTGAGCGCAAGGCAGCTCGTAACACCACGGTCGGTGCCCCGAGACAGACTGCTTTGACAAAATAGCCAAATTCGCGAACTAATTATTCTGATCATCTGATTGGTCAAGATTCTTGTACCCGATAACTCTTCCATCTCCCTCGAGTCGTCCCTTTAAACCAAATCAAGAGCAATCCTTAGCGAATCGGTACGTAAATTTTGGAGATCCTCTACAGCCGCTTCCCCAGGACATCGGGCGACAGCTGGGCACCACGTCCTTAACTCGGGTCAGGGGGTTCCTCTTCTGCCCTTAACCGTATCAAAACCCTATCTCCGCCTGCTCTACAACCCTTTGCCCATATCGAGAACGTTATCTGTATCGGTAGCCGGAGTGGCCTTATGACCGTGAATCACATTTACCTTGATTAATTTTAATATGATATATCTATATCTTACCACAGTGGCTATCTTGGACCTGGTGGACGACATGAGGATGGAAAATATTTTAATTGCACTGGTGGCGCCACGGGGTACATTGATAAGATTGTATTAGGAATTGATCACATTTATCAATGGCCGACGTCGAGTACCGTTTATGGATCAGGACCTTTTGATCCTGAGGGTATACTAGGTATGTTGTATGCACACTTATTCAGGATATATGTATATATAATTAAAGTATTATACGAACAAAAGTTATATTGTTCATATTACAGTTTATAAAGTCCCAAGTTAATTGAAACTATTCTATTGTATGTAAATTGTCTAAGAACAGGAATGGCGCCTTTTCCATAACTCAAACTGGTTTTCAATCGGTATCTTTTTAGGATGCCTCACCACGATCTTTCAAGCTTTCTTGGGCGTCCAGGCTGGCATGATTTTAAGGTATTATAAAAACTGGAAGGACCGGGTTGCCAGGTGGCTTCTGTGGGCAGCGATATGCGGTACCTTGGGCGCCATTCTCCACTTTAACGACTTCATACCAGCAAATAAAAATTTGTGGTAAGACTGTCTGTAATACTGTCATTCTAAAATTCGCTAAACGAACCCTTGACTTCACCTAAAACAATGCTGACAATGAGTCACACTGGCGGTTTTTATTTAAAATTTTACTCAGCATTGTGACACCAAAGAAAATATTTTCTCATTTTTAATTTTTAATTAACGACTTTTTCCTCGTTGATATTGCAAGTCCATATTTTTTTTGCAGGTCATTATCCTTCGTACTTCTGACCACGTGTTTTGCTTTTCTTCTACTTACCGGATGCTACGTTCTTATTGACGTCACTGAAGTCTGGCGCGGTGGTCCTTTTCGAATTCCAGGTATGCACGAATCACCCTCTTATTTTTCTCCTCAGGAATCGTCATTAGTTCTACAGTCAATACGACGTATATATATTTTTTCCAGGTATGAACGCTTTGGCAATGTACTTTGGTCATCAGCTGTGCTATCAGATTTTCCCGTTTCATTGGAGATATGGCTTAATGAATACTCATTTCTCGCTACTTATCGAAGCTGTTTGGGGAGCTGCCTTGTGGACCCTTGTTGCATATATTTTGCATCACAAAAGAATATATATCACACTATAACATATAACACTGACTGATTTACTTTGTAATAGTATTAATCAACTTATTGGAAGCATTGCTCAAACTTTATCGATATCAGTACAAGTTCTCTTCATTATTAAATTGCGTTATGAATTAATTAACCTGCTAAAGAAACAAATAAAATAAATGATTATATCGATTAAATGTCAATGGAAGATATTCGAGCGACTTACACGTTTTCTTCGTTATGCACATTTGTTACAATTCTTCAGAAAATATCAAACAGACGGGTATCAGCTTTATAAATAATTTATTTTACACAACTGACATAAATCATACAGCGATATCTCCAACGATAAACGATAATGGACGTGTGTTTCAAAACGACCGGTGACAGAACACCGACGACTAAGAATTTTCATAGCGAAAGTTCGAGAACAATTAGAAATATCGCCGCGAGGATCGGCCGAAGCTCCTCCGCACGTTTCTATCGAATATAACGAAGGCGTCGTCGGGAAGGAAAGAAAATCGAAGTCTTACAGATCGTTTTGTTTTCTCCATAACAATCGATTATCGATGTTCACACTCGTTGCAGTCGAATTACAAAGATCGATTAGGCCAGCGTAAGATAGATAATGCGATAATTGTGATTACAAATGTTTTTTTACTTTTTTTTTTTTTTCGTTGCAACACACTGCGAAAGTCTATAGGCACAATAAATAACTGTTGCGGATTATTCGTGTAACAAAATAGAAAAAAAAAAGGTGAGAGAGAAGTCGATGAATAAAGAAAAACACACTAGTAATACCAGGTTCACGAGCGAGGCGATCCGCATCCCCTCAGTAGTCAGTTTGGTCGGGGCCTGAAAAAATGACAAACACAAAATTCGATTAGAACTTCCCGTCTGTTTCGTTTGGGCGTTCGAAAACCAAAGACAAAAATAAAAGGAAAAATAGAAAGAATAATATTCGGCGTGCACGAACGAAGCTGCAGACGTGTTTCTCAAGATCCCCCCTGGGTCTCCGTTTGATATATCGACGACATACGAAAATTATATCAGCAATTATATTCGGTAGTTCGTTACGATCGTATATAACCGAAATTTGAAATTTTATCAATGTTAGAAATTTTTTTTTCTTAACGTTAAGAAAAAAAGATTCGTGATAACCGTCGTTGATACGTCGACGAGTCTTTTACGTGTGTGACTTTAATATATTGTTCTTCTCTCCGTTTAATTAAGTTATGCTAAATATACTGTAGTATTAAAACGGGCAATCACGCAATGGCAATAACGAAGAACGGTGATGTATGATACGTGACATATGATGCTGACACGAAAAACATGTGTATATATACATATATACTCGTAGATTAATTTTTTCCAAATTATAACCGAGCAGGGTTATCGAGCGTGCGTTACGTTACACACAAATATATAAATATATGGTATACGAGCATATAACAATGCGTGAAATGAAAAAGTCACAAAAAACATTAGTTTAACATAGAAATCGGGAGAAGAATGAAAAATTTCCTTGCTCCGTGTTAAAGGTATATGTAAGATTGACAAGAGGCGTCGCCGTCGCGACGGCAACTGATCGGGATTTCGTGAAGTGACGTATGTATAAACATGCCCACCCAACCAGAAAATGCTTTCTCACCGATTTGCAAAAGAAGCTTAAAGAACGAAAAAAAAAAAAAAAAAAAATGTAAAGAAATGTAATAGCGAAATAATAATAAATCATATGTATACATAGAAGATTTAATACGCAGCCTCTAACCATGCAGCATAGCGGGGTATGTTTTTTTCAAAAAAAAAAAAAAAAAAATACCAAATTTTCAACTTGCATAATAGAACCCTGATTGATCGGATAACAAAATGTATGAGACGTGTAGATATAAAAAAATTCAAAAAAATATAAAAAAAACATGGCGAACAGCGTAAGAGATTCGCATACGCAAATGGCCCTGATTTGGTACAGAAGGATGCAAGAGTGAGTGTACGAGGTAAGACAAGGAATTAAATGCAAAGGCAAAGGTAATATGACAATGGCGCTAATAATTGGTCAACGTCCGACATTGACGTCGAAGATGGACGGTAATGGCGGCGAACCTAAGAGCAAAAGCAATAAATAAGCTACCTCACGATGCTCGACGCGACTCGTTGGGTTTGCATGTCTATATATAACATATGTATATATATATAATACAGAACAAAAATATATAATATATTGTGTAGCACACAATTAGATGCACGGATTGGGTCGGTATCTAGCAACAGGTATATATATATAAGATATATTATAAGATAAAAAATATATAAAAATAATATGTACCGATAGAAAAAAAACACGTGGCCTGTACCTCCTGGGCATCGTAGCCCAGCCTGGCGAAACTAGACAAAACTCTCAACGCTCGTCCGTCGACCGGATGCATGGCCTAACGTCAGATTCTGCCTCGGGCCATCAGCAACGGTCATTTTTCAGGTAACACGGGGAAGGAATGGACGAAACGATCGGCTTGGCACGAGCTGACTTAAGTGCCTGAGGCACATTTTTCGAGCTCCTGATCCTGGGACAGAGGACGTTTATCTTTTTTACACTAAAGGGAGTCGTCCTGTTCTCGAGCTTCTTGAAGGTTAGGGACGGCACGATGTCGTAATCGAATTCGGATGGCGACTTGGGGGTCTTCCAGGTCTCGAAGTAAGGATCCTTTTGATTGGGACTGTCCGCACTGGCGATGGTACCTTGTCGGAGAGCCAGTCGCGCGGATTCCTCGTAATCGGCATTGTTGTCAGGGTCGTGAAGTCTTCTCCAGGATTGCTCGCATATGGGCGAGTATTCCGGAGAGGTCAGACCGCTCGAGTAATTCGAATAATAATTGTCATCGTAATTGAACACGTGTTTCTTTAACGACAGACTCAAATGCTCCCGACTGGCCGGTGAGCTGCATTCCTCGGACGAATCCTCAGCCAGGATCGAGTCGTCGTTGAGCAGCTTGAAGAGTCTGGAGTGTGTTTGGGTTCTTTGGTATTTGCTGGACTTTTTATTGGGCGCACATTCGGAGTCCGTGTCTACTTCCGATATGAGTCTGCTCATGTCGGAAGTGACGCCACTGTCTTCGTCGTCCGTCTCGTCGCGGGAATTTTGAACACTCAGTAGATGCTTGGCTTCCTTATAACCGAAATTCGAACCGTCGTTGCCGCCATATTCCTTTTCTTCATTTTGTATAGTCAACTCGAAGGCCAACATTTCACCGAGTCCATGATCGTCAGAGACGTTTCTCTCGTTTTCCTGCTCAGCTGAGGTGGGACCCTTGACCTCATTCCTTTGTTCTACCCTGTCCACCTCATCAGCCTTGGCTGTGCCTGGATGTAACTTCGTTACCGTAAACTCAGTCTCAACAGTCTCGCTCTCCTTGATCTTCAGACTCTTTGTCTCCGTGACCTCCTTACAAAGGTCACCGTCCACCTTGCTCTTTGACTCTGTGACGAGGAACTCCTGGTCGCAGCTAGCGGTACCGTGGCCATTTGTTGTAACAATTTTTCTTTTACATTCTGTAACGACGTCACTGCCAGTAGGTTCCTTGCCCGTGCGAGTCTCAAGATCAGTTTCATTCTCCAAGCTCAAATCCTTGGCCCAAACGTGTTTCGTCACATCCGTCTTCTTCGTCCTGACTGTAAATTCCGTTTCCACATTGTCATTGAGGTCGACTTTCTCAACAGGAGATTCCACGTCCTTCTTGAAGATAAATTCACAATCAGCAGTGACGCAGTCGTTAACGTCATCAACATCAGTGACGTCGACGTCCAAAATTTTATTGCTGCTCTCCTTGAGTTCAAGCTGCGCCTCCACTTCCTCTGTTCCCAAGGTGAGTTCAGTATCGAAGGTCTCCCCGGACTTTTGCTTCTTCAGAGTGAAGTTCGCTGTCGCTACGTTGCTCTTGCTGAGCTGGAAATTAACATGAATGTCATTGTCCTCGTCGGCTTTGGTACAGGACCTAGTAAGACTGTCTTCCTTGGATGAACTCTTTTCAGACTTGACAAGGCTGTCACCAACGATGACAGTGGTGACGTCCTCATCATTTTCAGAAACCGAAAATTTGAACCGTAACGGTAAACTGACACTGACCGTTGTGGCGTCGCCATCATCAACGTCGTCCGGTGGATCATCAGTTTCTTCCAATGGCACGTCCTTCTTCTCCTCTGGATCCTTCCTTGCCTCTAGTCCGCGATGATCAGCGTCAGGATGCTCTGCGTCTTCGTAGATGACACTTAGCTGATGAGGTAGTATGCAATCGTTGTTAAGCGACTCTATTTGGTACTCATCGTCGACATCCGAATCACTCTCGCTGCAGCTCATCTTATCAGATGACAACCTGGAAGAGTGTTCATAGGTGTCATCAGAAATGGTGGCGGTCGAGAGCGATTGTCCAGATTCCTTTTCCACCAGATTGACCTTGACATCGACCTCCTGATGCTCAACTCGCTCACGTGGATTGAGACCAGTCGAATATGCCAAATACTCAGAACCGGAATCACTATCGGAATCCGAATCGCTATCGCTGTCAGTATCTGAACTGGTACTTGTACTATCAGAAGAAGAGCTATCGTCTGAAGAATCTTCATCGCTGGAATCAGCATCCTCATCAGCTGTCCTCTTCGTAGCCTTGATTTTTCCATTACAATGATCTCCGTTATCTGATTTCCTCAAAGACGTCGTCTCTCCAGCTTCCTCATCAGTGACACTTGCACCAGCAGAACCGCTCGTCCTGATGGTATCTCTGCTGTCGTTGCTTTTATCCTTGACAGATACCAGTGTATTGCTAGGACTGGTCCATTTGGGTACAGTCAGTAGAGCAGGATTCTCCTTGGGTACGTTGGAGTCCTTTTGCGACTTCAGTACGGGATCGTCGCCAGGAGATGGATAGACGCTGTTGTAAATGGCGGTATCTTCAGTCTGCCCGTAGGAGCTATTATAATTTTGATCATAATCAGCCGTGGCTGCGTAGTGCGTATAAATCTGTGCGTAACCGACATCCGAGTAGTCGGTTTCGATTTTATCAGCTGACTTTCCCTGATCGACGTAACCACGTGCTCCGTAGTTTTGATCGTACATTGGATAGTAGGCATAAGCATTCCCATCACCATACCCGTAGTAAGCGTACGAATCGTAAGGGATGTTATTGGAGTTGGTGTTAGCTGCGTATTGCATTGGATAATATCCCCACCAGCCCCCATCAGGATTCCAATAGGGAGAGGGACAGTTCGGGAAAAATACACCCTGCTGATTGCCCGGCATGTTATTCTCAGTTTGACAGGCGAAATCTGGTTGTCGATTTTCTTGCGTGGCTACAACAAACAGCACATTGGATTCAGACAAAAAATCAACTCCATCAGGTGTAGAAGAGGAAGAAGAAGAAGAAGAACTTTTTCTGGGGCAAAACTATTATATCTTCTTTTCTTTTCTTTTTTTTTTTCTTCTAATCCTTTTCTCACTGGCTAATGCACGTGTTCAATTATTTCCTCTTTCAATCCTCCGTTACGGCCTACACTGATCCGGCCCGAAGGTGGGATAATATTGACAAGGACTATCCTGAAGGAATGACGAGCGACGACTGCTCCAAAGGAATGAGACCATGGAGTGTGACTTGGAATGACTGGTCGTCGTTTGGAAAAATTATTGGCACCAGGTTAAAGGAAGATCCTGTGGAGTTAGTGCATCTTGGTTGATGATGATCTGGAAGGATCTTGGCGAGTGGAGGGGACGGTGCTGGAATGAAAAGGAATGTGAGGTCATTTTACGGAACGACAAGATGAATGCATTTAGCAGAAGAGAACGATAGTTTTAAATCCTGTGTTCAAAGGAATCTATCGAAAGATTCTCCAAGGCCATTTTATTAGGACACAGTAATATTTTTTTTTTTGACTACCCGGTATACAGTCCATAGATCACGAATCGAACGTGCTAATTTTTTTTTTTAGATCATCCAGACGTAAAGGACATGCTCGAGTTTAATCAAATATTCTGGACTGTCTTATCGAGACCTCGAGGATTCGTTCGATTATTATATTTTAATCGACGCTTTTCGATTTTCATTGTCGCACGTGATTGTCCAAAATATTTTTTTGTTTTTTTTACTAAATAAACATGCAAAAGTGACCGGCACGTATTTGTAACTCCTATAGCGATATTGATAACAACGTCAATCATTAATGACATGCAACATTCCCACCAAGTGTTCAGTGCATTCTTAGCTGTGATAATAGACGGAATCCCATTCTAATTAATTATAATTTACTATAGTATATTACGTTATGTATACTCGAATAAGAATTGTTGGGAATTGAGTAAAAAAAAAAATGGACACTACCCATACACCACCATTCATTGTTGCCACTGCCCCTTAGCACAATATAATTTTTTAAATTATATATCGGTTCAGCATACGATAATAATTAGTATTCAACTTTTGAATAATTTTATATTTCATATATATTTATATGTTATTCGTTATATGCTAGGTACGCGAGTCGTGACGAATTCTGATGGATACTTGAGGCACATTTATATTTTATATCAATAATTAATATGATTGACGAGCAGCTAATATACTTGATTTTTCTAGGTCGGGAAGAAATTTTCGTTATTCCTGTGAACACAGGATTCGGGAATATATACAGTTTTTCTGACTAACGCTGCGTGACGTGATTGATTATTTAGTAAAGTTCATTAGAATGTCAGACCATGGACACTGAACATTAATGTACAGAGGCGTAGAAGCTTTTGCGATTAATTCTTGTTCAACGAATACAACGTGTTTTCTTTCTTTTATTATTTTTCTCTCTTTGCGCGTCGACTGATTAAATGAATCACTATATCCGCGTAGGTTATCAGGTTATCTTTTCTTCTTTATCACTTACCGACACTTTCCGGGGACGTCATTGCCTGCAATATCCTGAAGGATCGCGATGGTATCGCACTGCCCATATATTTCTTCGGTTCCTGGACTTGTTGCTCGCTCGGCGGCAGATTTGCTTGAGCTTCCTCTGTAAGATAGTACAATTTATCATTATTATTAATATTAAAAATAAAATAATTATTCATATATATTCTTTCATGAAAATTCAATGATATTACCGAAAGTCTTTGAATTTCGGTTTTGCTGCTTCTTTTGTATGGCAGTAGGAGCTCGCGGACCTGAAAAATAAAAATTACGTATTGACAGGTTTAAGTTTTTTCTTTTTTTTTTTTAATAAGATTAAAGATTATCTGAACCTACCAGAGGATGCTGCGGGTACCTCACCGGAATCTGTCATATTCTGCAGGAACCGGAACGCTCGCGATGGTATCGCTGCCCCACGATATCTCGGATCTTCTTCCTGATGAAGATACGTATCGCCATCGACTGCAAGAAGAACGGTCGGTTGCAGATTGAAAGTAAAATTTAAATACAGCTAATATTATGTTACTATTTCCGTGTACCTTGTTCCTTAAATTTGTTCATGAGTGTCCTATCGTCTTCGGTGAGTTGAAGTTTGCGGATTTGTTCTGAAGCAGGATCGGTATCGACATCAGAATCGGTGTCAGTGATTTTTTGAAGTACGCGAAAAGCCCGCGATTGAAGCGGACCTGGTTCGTATTGTTGTCCTGGCATAGGACCACGTTGAACATCCCTAAACCAACAATTGAAATATATTCATCCGTATTGGTACTTGGGTAAGATCATGAGATGAACTTACACTCTGGTGGCCTGATTCTCTACAGGGATGTTCCTAGTCTGTGCTGGACCTTGAGATTGAACAAACGCCGGTGGCGCCACTGATCTGGCTGGTGATCTCGGAGCATTATCCTCTACCATAATCGGAATAACTCGGGCCCCATCGGATCTTTGTTGCTGGATCTGGATCGGTACTTGAGACGGTCCCTGCTGCTGACCCCATCGTTGCTGATGATGAGGAGTCGACTGTTTCAACTGATGATGACCTGGCTCGTGCATCACGGAAAATACCGAGGGTCTGTCTTCGATCTTGAACACAGCATTGACGCATTACGTCATAGGAACATCAAGAATCTCTCATTTGGAATCTAGCTCTCCCAGCTAGTCTTGCAATGTCTAATCGTATAACTCACTCGCAAGGGTATCGTCCGTTCCGGCTGCTGAATCTGCGGGCGAGTCTGCTGCTGTTGCTGAGTTGGTTGTGTTTGCTGGGTCAGCTGAATTGGTTGAATTTGCCGCGGAGTCCCCGGTGAAACGGGACTCTCGGGTAACGAGTCATCAGACCTGGAGGCAGTCGTCCGTTTCGCCCACTCCGGCAGTTCCTCCTGGCTTTTGTTCTTATTCTGGAGCCACGGAGTTGGCGCCTTTGTCAGAGTAACGGGTGGGGTACCAGGTGACGTGGGCGAGGTTGGCTGAACCGGAGTCACCACTGCAGGAGTGGCGGCCACCTTCGGCGCTTGTCTTGGCGGTTCAACTGCTCTATCTGCGACTAGTAAAAAAGAAAGAAAAGTTATAAATGATACTCAAACAATTCAATGTACATTCTATATCTTCACCATCCAACTTACCATTCGATGCCACCCGGTTCAGCTGACTGTTAGGTGCCCTGGTTGACGTCTGGGGCAGGACTGGCATAGTCGTTGGAAAAACTGGTACAGCCACCTGAGGTTGTACGTATACATTGCCACCCGGTACCGGCGGACTGGTCTTGGACTCCAAGGCAGATTTTGGCGGACCCTCGATACCCTCGTCGTTCGCATTTTTGGCTACTCGACGTGCCATACGTGGACTTCGGATTTGCGACAGGTCTAGCTTGCCACCCATACCCGGGGTGTATGTAAATGGTTTCTTGTCCTTGGTCATCATCGCATTCTGTATGGCTGCAGGCGGCTCGTAAGGATCGTTGCTGTTCTCTGGTCGGGCTCTTCTTGGAGCTGGTGCCTGGGATCAGAAAAAGTATTATATTCTTTTATTATTTCTTCGATACCCTCACAGATAGCATCTTGCTCCCTATCTCGTGGCACTGGCCATTAACGTTATAGCGTCTGTGTTTACGCACGTGTCTGAATACGTTGGACCTTCGCGAATTTTGCCGGATTCGAGACGATTAAAACAGCTTCTATTATTAACCACAGCTTCGACGAACTTCTTGCTCGTTCACATAAGACGCGTGTGAATCATCCTCGGTGAATATATCTAACGCTTTCTTCGTGAATAGATTTTGTATACAGTTAATACTCTAGCGCGGTGAATTGTTTGATGGTAATTTTTGAAAAAAATCTTTTTCTACATTTCTTGTATATTTTCTTTGAGATCGATATACGACAAGGCGATTTCGTTTACAGGATACCAATGTGCTTTGGCAATTTGAACATTCAAACGGTGACAAGGGATGATATAATTTTTTCATTTTCTGTCACCGATATATTAATCATGTATTCTTTTGTATTTATATATCGTGTATATTTTATTTTATTCTTTCTATTTAATTCTCATATATGTCTTGTGCGGTTATTGTAGTTTACCTCTGCAGTACTGATTCTAAGGGATGGTACTTGGCCAGGAGCAGGTGGCGGTGGTGGCGGCGGTGGCGGCGCAGGACAAAAGCCTGGAAAAAAAATTTTGTTCATTATTTCGAAAAAATGTTATACTTTAGATCGTATAAAAAAATGGACTTTCGACATTGGCTCTTTTAAATAAGTAAATTCAAGTAAATATTTCGTGTGCCATGAGAAAATGAAAAAAAAAATATTCCATTTCTCAATATGCTAGATGTCCAATATTGATCTTTGAAATTCCATTGTCAGTGTATAAAAAATTAAAATTTTTTTTAATAATTATTGCCATACCTGTCGGTGCGCAGTCTGGATTTCTGAAAGAATAAAATACGCATGAGTGAACGATCGTTTAATTGTAGAAGTTAAAAAAATAAAAATAATTTCTATTCATTTTTCGAACTTTGCGCTTTCTATTTGGCTAAGGAATATATCAACAACATGAATCACCCTTCATGTATGCGCATTGCCGTCGTAGCTTCTTGTGCAATAACTCGTATATCTGACAAGCAAATAAATGCTCCACTTGCATATATGCACGTATGTGCATTTTACTATGCATACGTGACGTCTGGCGTAGAATCAGTAAAAGCGTTAGTGACGCGAAGGCACGTTATAAAATTTATAAAAAAAATGTTCGATATTAAAATAATTTTCGAGAATGTAATGACAAAAAGTGGCTATATATGTATAAAAAAAAATTGTTATTTGACAATAAAAATACAAAAAAAAAAACATAAGTGGTATACACTAATTATCCCAGTTCCACGTACCCTCCGGTCAAGTATATATTTTTTGGCAAGCAACCCCGCTCCTTATTCATGACGTAGAATTTTATAAATAAAAAATATTAAATTAACAAGATATACTCAAAATAAATTGATTCTTCACTTTAAAAGTATTATATTATTTATACGCGTGGGCCCAAAATGGAGATTCAATGGCACCGGCACATTATTGTGATTATTTCAATGTTCAAGGATCCCGCTTTACTCATAAGCAGAAGGTATTATTTAACGATAATAAATATCACCACAGAATTTCTATAATTATATAATTAGTATATCCCTATTTGTATATTTATATTCCTGTTTCGTCGATCGAACATACGTTTTTAAACTAACACAAAAATTGTCCGCACCAGTAACAGTCACAACGGTCAACTTACAACTGATCGACCGACAAGTTGGTAACTGCTAACTGGTAACTGGTATCTGGAAAGTGGTAACTGTGCTAACCTACATTGCCGCGACCGCGAGAACGTGGTTAAGAATGGTGAACCATGCCGTATATCATGCCTATACCTTTTAAGGTATAGCTACGTATCCGTGCGGTATACCAGAAAGTCATTTGAATTGATAATTCGCAGTTCACGCGTATTTACATTCCAGTGTAATTGTCGGTGACATTTCGGTAACGTAGCTCGCGGTACGAAATGATAATTCGAAAATCGTCTTTGTAAATATCCTTTGATAATTTTCATGACTCTCGGTAGTCTTTGTCTTTGACAAAGGAAATGCTTTTAAATTCTCCCGGGTAAACTCACTTACGTCATCGTGCACGGAATCTCGAGGCAAATGGAATTTTGTTTGTGCAGGTATTGCTGGATGCGTTTAAAAATTCGTCACGACGAATTAAGACTCGTGGTTTTTGACTTTTTCCCTGGTGTCGCTGTCACTTTCTCATTCGACCAGGTGAGGTTAGATTTTTGCCTGGGTCGTTTAATGTTTACGAAAAGTAATTCGTTGGCAGGATGTATTTTTTATTATTGAACTAACCTCAAAAAATTACGTAGTTTTTGAAAATTCGTTACGAGCAAGTACGTCACTTCTTTTAATTTACCAAAATAGGACTCGAACAAGGCATTGATCGTTCGCAATGGATAAAAACTTATATACGCCGGAAGGGGCTGGAATAACAGTTTTAGAATCAACTGGAACGCGAGCATTTCGCTTAACGCACGGAGCTTTTGATAGGCCTCTGGGAGTTTTATATAAAACGGTAAACGATTATCTGCAACAGCAGATCATTGTACATCTTCATGAGTAGAAATTTTATTCCATGATGTAATCGTCGTACGGATGATATTAACACGTGGTTGCGCGTACAGTAATGAAAATGAGCACAGACTCCCCAAGCTGTAAGATACAGAAAGAACAGTTGCCAATTTAATAAAAAAATAAATTATCAGGTTATAAATATAATTAATTAATCATTTTTTCATTAATCACAGTATCTGCCCTACGGCATATGGATCCTTCGATCGTAAACTGTGACAGTGTAGGAAGTGAGTATAGAAAAGAAGCAAAGGTCGAAGATCAGCTTCACAGCAGATGATCGTCATTATGACGACATAATTGGAGCTTGGGGGGTTGACCTTGAAGAAGTTCTATTAATTCCAGCCGCACAGCCCTAGTCAAAATCGGCCGGCAGACTGCGGTTCGGTCTTGTCGCCACGTGTGAGCCGGGCCTAACGAAGCAGGTGGTATAACCTCGATAACGTGTCTATTTTAAACTGCGATTCTTTTCTTCCTGCTCGACTGATCTTAGATATTTTCGAAAAGCTCTCCCCGCCACCCCCTCGCTGCTATCACTCTCCTTCTAGACTTCACTTCTTTCGTATTCTTCACTCTTAACGCTTATTCTTCGTAATAATATATTTTCACCGCGGACTGTACCACGTGATCGAGCCTCCTCTTTAAAATGGGAGTATACTGTAAATCAATGTTTAAAAATTAAATATATTGTGAATTTATATTTTTTTTTTTTATAATTTTTATCGAAAAAATTTTATTCCACGAAACGTCCAATTGCGTCTTATCAAAAATACTCTACAAATAAATTTATCGTGATTTCACGGCGGGGTACGACTATTTATAATAATTTTTTAATCGAAAATTCTTTTTTATAATTATATCCAAGTATGTGTAATTTGATGAACGTGATATTTCCAGTTGATCGCAAGGGATGATAATGGCTATGGAGAAATAAAAGTTTTATTTGATCAGACCGTGGTAGCTATATGTGTAACGAGCTATATGTAATGCCACCCACATGATTAATACGAGTCTAAGGAGTAATGACGCTCAACGTCTGGTTAATATTAAAAAGTCACGCAGCTTTTACGTTGGCATCGTCCGCGAGACACGTGTCTTCAGATTTATAAGTATTTGACCCACGAATTTTCCTCAGTGACAGATACGAGCGTACGGGCCGAAGAAAATTACATAGGCTTTACTTGTTCGCTGAAATGGATACACGAAACAAAGCACGTGAGAATGGAGTAAGATTATGATTGAATGAATATATTTAGAAAATACATAAAAAGTATAAGTAAAAAATATTTTTAATCGACAATTAATATCGCGAGTAAATAAATAATCAGGAAAACTCGATAAATCGTATCTAACCTGTTTACTCGAACGCAAATATACGAATGAAATATTTTATCGGTTCGAAAATTAAATTCGTTAATTACTTGTATTAAAAAAATTATTAGCCTTGACACAGTATCGTCCTTTTTTAAATACTCTCCTCGCGTAAGATAATAGTTTCCAAAAATATCGAAAAATCGACCTACTTTTTTTGCGCGCTCTATACCTCATTTTCGAGGACAAGTTTCGATGTATTAAATATAAAGGGCTGTACAAAATTACATATCGAATTAAAAAAAAAAGTATTTGCACTATTGTACCGATTACGTTATATCACACATTGAAATAAAAAAAAGGGATACATTGAATGATTAAAAATAATAAAAATTTTTTTCTAAAGACTAATTGACATTGTCAATGTTTATAAAAATTTATTTCAAAGTTCAATAATATTCACGGTATCAATTATCAATGATGCGTAAGAAAAATAATAATTTAACGGTTCAATGGAAATTTTTTCAAATATTTCCAAATATACGTAATGACCTATCGATCCTATAGTCGTTCGATAAATTATCGATCTTACGAAGTCTCTCGATCGATACGTGTCACAGGGAGGTACATGTCGGGGAGAAAGGAAAGAAAAATCAAAATGGCCGCAATCGGCTGACTCGACGTTTCCTCCTCGTTATAAAAAAGGAGTCGTGAAGCCGATCTAAGAGGAGCCGAAGGATTTTCTCGAGAAATCGACGCCATGTATAACGAAAGGTGCGATGTCGCTGGGCAAGAAGCCCAGCCGGAGAGGCTATAGCATAGAAATGTATTTAGGTAGATACGCGAAGCACAGTTAATTTTAGCTCAAGCTGACCTGCGCGTTAGCACGCCGTATAAAATGCTTCCGATTATTTTATTTTTAGTATTTTACCGCCGCACTCTTTCTTTTCATACTGGAAATGCCCAAAAGGCCGGCTAATCTCATGCAGCCCCTACAGCCTGGAAGGATGGTAAAGTCCATGACAAGGATCAAGATCCAGTTTGAACGCACCGATAATCCAGTATGGAAAAACCCCTGACTGTACAATTTTCAAAATACTTTAGCACAGCTCTATATACCTCTATACTGTACGTGCTAAAGGTACAGATAGGTCAACTATATAGAAAGTTTTAAAAATACTTTTCAAATCCAACTGGCCAGTAACAGCACGTGGCGATCAATTATTGTTGGCTACAGCACCGATCAAAAGGTCATTGACTTTGGGTGGATTTTCAAAAAAGATAAATTATTATTTAATTTCGTTCTTGCCAATATCCCAAGGTACCTCGTGGCATAGATGAAGCAAGTTGCCAAAATTTATTACACGGCAATTATGATCATGTACCAAGTTCAATGATCGATGATTTCTCTACTTGAGGTGCAAATTTTTATACAAGGTAAATTTTGAAATTTTTAGGGTATACTAACCTTTTTTTTAAGCATTTCAAATTTTCAATACTCAAATACGAATTTACGTGACGGCATTTAACGGCGACGCATCGCGAAGGAAACTGCAATACGTGGTACGGAAATAAGTTTCTACGAAATTGCTATTATTATTTCGTCGTTACCAAGTCTGGGGTTGCAAGCTCAAACCAAAGCGAACGAGTGCTTTCTCCCGTTCGAAAAATTAGGTCAACCGGTCACCGTACGAGAACACGTTTCCTGATAAGTTTTTCAAAAATTCTTCAGGGTCGCCTCGAACATAATTTAAGTGCAGAATAAAATTTGCGATTAGGTCACGTCGATGCAAAATCTTTGCACACGTTTAGTATATGCGTTAGTCGCTAAAATATAACATAGCTTAAGAAAGGAACCCAAACAATTTCTTATGAATAATGAAAATCCAATTTCTTTTAACTAAATTGGATTTTCACCAATAAATATTTTGACCCAAAACCGGGTATAACCTTAATTCTAATGTAAAACCCGTGACCGATATCCTATATACCAATTGAATATCTCTTACCCCGGGTATGTCGAGGAACTCATGGCTGTATCCAATTGGGTCTCGTATTCGCCGCTTTCCACGAATAGCCCGGCTCTCTAGGAGTTTTCTCCGTTTGAACGCGTACGAATAGGACAGACGAGCACCGAAGCCGACACTAGCGCACACCCGCTGCTACTAAGGTTTGCGTATCAAGAATCGCGGATGGCAGCTTGTGAGCTACGAGTGGCGTGGTGGACCGGCCGGCCACGAGAGGGATATTAAACCACCCGGCACGCAGCATTCGAGACGAATCCGAATCATCCCGATCCGAGCCGATCCGATACCGTTCCGGCAAATGAAGTCCCACCGGATCTCGGAAACAGGTACGATCTGTAAAGAATACAGCCGATTATTGATATGAATAAAAAAATATTTTTGATCGATCTTTCAATATTTTTTTCTTTAAATGACAAATTGTCTTACAGAGTTTTATGCCTTTTTAAGAATTTCGATAAAGTTATAAAGCGTTGTCAAGATATTATAACATTGTAAAATCTTGATAATTAATCGACTTAATATTATTTTGTACCATATTATTTTCTTGTGTCACGATGAACGAAGCTGACTGATTTCATCCTCAAGAACCCAACTCTCCACTTCTACCCACGTCATTCAGTATGGGTACACTCTGCTGATCGCTTATTTTTAGCTGGCGGATCGCGGTACTTCGACACTGCAGCCTTTGATAACCGGGATCCATTGAGATGATGATCTTTCAAATTGGAACCGATGACCTTCGATAACCAGGATCTATTCGGTATCTTCATTGTTTTTGGCTTATCTGAAATGGTATTCATTAGGGACAGTCAGAGCTATTATACGAGATAGGCCTCTTAAGGCAATTCCAAAAATATATTATGATTATCCCATTTTCGACTGATGGATATAGGATGGATATGGATATATGATAGATGGATATAGTTCTTCTTGTAAAAGACATAAAATTTGTCTACGGTATCACAATATCAAATAAGATTATGTATATTGGTAATGTATTTCCTAGAATAATGTAAACTTCAAATCTTTACGCCTGAAAGTTGACAACCCAATACACGTCGCTGATTGTCGCACCTGAACCTCTGCAGGTTCAGGTTGCAGGTGAAAATAGTTCAGAAACACATACTGTTTCTTTGGAGTCATAAAGTGCAGATGCGAGACAGAATAGAAATTGAAAAATATTCGATCAATCAAGTCGATCGTTTGCTGATATCCATTAACTTATGTCCGCCTTCATACATTATAAATGTATATCAAGTCATAGTATGTAATGCCCAATTGATATATTCTAGACATAAGAAATGGTCAGCTAGAAATGTCAATATACAGACTATAATTTGATTGTCTGTCAGAAATGTCTCGTAGCTCGATAAAAAGTTATTATACTCACGTAACATAACCGCAACGTGTCAAATGACTACACGTAACCATGTGAATAATACGTGCCCACGATGAGCGACAATAAATAATGTCATGCACTTTCCTAAAACGTGAAAATACCAATTTTACGTTTCTTTCTGGCTTTTAAGCCTAAATATCTATTGCGAACATCAGTTAACTCGGATATCGATAAAAATCATTATTGATTACGAAGTTTGTACTTTCTACTTTTTATTAATTTACCTCTGCATCGATAAAGGCAGATAGGGGAACACTTTGCTCAAAACACTTTTCTATGATTGATCCTGAGCTTCATTATTCAATCAGAGTCAGTAGTGGATCTGATAAGAAAAATATGTTTGCGTTGGTAACAACGTCCAGTCCCTGTTTCGTCACGTTGGTAATAAAGCTGATTGAAGTCGGCGCGGAATACTTCAATATTTAAACTGTCGTCGTATCCAAACGTCAAGTATCAATAAGATAGAAACTCTGTTCGCTATATTTAATATAACTCATGTATTATTCGTGGAAGAATCTCCTGGATAAAGTGTGACAGAATTCATTTAAACACTCGTACGACATAGACACTGTGATTTCATGAAAAATTGTGAGTCAAGTATGACCATGCTTCAGTGCTGTACTTGTATTATATTACTTTTGAACTTGTACACAGTTGTGATGGGAGATCTTAAAAAAATCAGCTTGGATCGGAAACGAAATGAGAAGGAAAAACTCTTGGAGAAATTCCTGATGGAAGCTGAGAGTCATTTGATGAAAAATTGCCCCAGAAGACACACGACTGTCATTGCTGCGAACAATCAACTTATGAAGGCTGTAACAATGATTTTTAAGAACAGACCCTACTTTGTCGGTATCGATTCTAAGATTTTCTTTAAATCCCATGAATACCTGATCGAGAACTGCATCTTCGTCTTCGTCGATAAAATCGATTACGATTACTTGTCAAAGATATTCAGCGATTTGCGACAACATTACAATACCAAACTACAAGTCATCTCGACAATTGGTCTATCGGAAGAAGAAGTAAAGAAAACCTTAGATTTGGCATACGACAAGTCAATTGAAAACGTCTCAGTCACTTTTCTGAAGAACAGCCAATTCAAGATGTTCCAAGTGTATCCTTTCACGAGGAACTGCGAGAGAGAAGTAAGACAATCTTACGTCTGGTTTCTTGAGGAAGGACTTGAAGCGTATAACTACGACGACTATTCGCCGCGAAATTTGAACAAGTGTCCAGTTTTAATTTCGACGTTGCCTTTGAAAAACACCATCGGCGTTCACGAGTATCCAAACGGCACCCTAGAAATTTTGGGTAAATATTAGTATAATAAAGATTTATTAGATGAAAGACAGATTCGTTAAAGAAGACCCACATAATTTGAAAATTCTAATTCAAGGTGGTGGCGAGGGAAATTTAATTACAACGTTAGCCCAAAAGCTCAACTTCACCATCACACTTAGATATCCGGAAATAAAAGACTGGGAAGGTCTAGTGAACAATACTATAGTCGGTCTAGTGGGCGAAGTTGTAAATAAAAAGTCACTGATAGCAATTGGACAATTGCGACCTACCGTAGAAAGATATAGTAACTGTCACCTCACAGCAAGTTATGGTCATGAGTGTATAGTATGGGCGATTCCCGTGATACTCGCTCATACAAAAGACATCCTGCACGCTGAATTTCCAGAGTATCTATGGGCGGCCATTTTAATGACAATATTTTTCAGTAGCACCTTCATCTGTAGTCAATTGGAAAAAAAATCGAGTATGATAATCAAATAAATAATATGAGTCGGTAATCAATTGATTTATTATTACAATTTTTTTTTTTAGGTAACCATAAAGAAACTTACGTTAAAATCACTATGGACGTGATAAGCACTACCCTTGGAGTTCCAATTCACCGGCTGCGAACGAATCAACCAGGCAAAATATATTTTCTGTCATATATTTTTTATTCGTTAGTTCTGACGGTTGCATACAAAACGTCTTTGGCCGCCATGTTAGCTGTAAGAAGTGACGTGCAATTAATAAAAAATTACGAGGATATCGTTAAGTCGGGAATAACCCCAGGCGGCAGTAGCAGTTCACTGGATATTCTACAGAATCAACGAGATCAAAATCCACACATGGATTATCTGATAGACAACTATGAAATTGTCATCAACACTACTCAGGCGTTGAGTAGGCTTAAGTATCAAAAAGATTTCGCCTACATGATACACCTCTCGACAATGAAGTATTACATGCACAATTTAATTGTATCTGGACAGAAGGTATATTTCTACTTGGTTGACGACTGCATTATGTCCTACAATACAGTAGTACTTGTTCGCAAAGGTTTTATATTGACTAACGAATTAAATCATATAATCCAGATTATGCTTGAATCCGGTCACATCGACTTCTGGAATACCGACGAGTCCAATAGTGAAGTTAGAAACGTAAATGTGGTTGATACGAAAATGCAGAAGCTTACGTTGTCACAACTGAAGTCAATATTTGTACTTTACTTGTTAGGTATGGCACTGTCCATCGTTATCGTGACTTTCGAGCTCGTAATTGCCACGTTGTTAAGTTAACGCAAGTATTACAAAGACTACACTTCAAAGTCGTAATACCTCAGAACTTAATGGTTAAATGTTCGTCTGAACTAGAATTTCATGCTGTCAAATTAAAATTTGACGAGGTATCGAATTAACGTTTCCTAACGACGTAAAGTATGTAGCTATGAGGTAAACGTGGTAGCCGTTTTGTGTAAAAATTATTTACAGTGAATTAGTTCCGTGTAACGATGGTATCGCTATAAAAATATTGCTAATGATTACGGATAATTATGTTTGCTCGGAGCGTAAGTAGAACATGTAGATGTCTCTTCAAATAAATATACGTGTCAACTCGGTTGGCTATCTTATTTCCATCAAGTACGAATTACCCAGTGATGGAAAAAGTAGTACGAACGTCGGTATATAATTTTAAATTTCTCGCGTTTACGTCAAGTCATAAGGACAGCTTGGCTAGTACGAAGTCGGTTGGGTCACGAAAGAAAGGACGCAATGCTGGGTCAAATAATATTGACCTTATCACTCATTGCAATGTCCTGTCATATGTTGATCCTTGAGCCGCAAAGTATCGCTGCAGCGAACTTAGAGTCAATGACGAATTTCATAAAGGATCTGAAACGCGATTACCTTGATGTAAAAGAACATCGTCAAATAACTGTACTGGCAAGAAATATTAATTTACTACGTACTGTCAATCCACTGTATCGAGATCATCCAATTTATACTGGTCGCCATGCAAATATTACGCGTTCGCTGCAATACAGTAAAATAGGTTATGTTTTTATTTTTGTGGACAATTTGAAAGACGATTACTTGAATGTATGTTTTCAAGACTTACCTAATACTTACAAAGCCAAAGTCATCCTCGTTGTATTTGGATCGTTGACGGTTGACGAGATAAGAAAAATGTATGAGATGGCTTACACCAGGAAAACTGTCAATATACTTGTGATACATTTTCATGAAAGTGTTGCGCAACTGTACAGACCTCAAGTTGAATACAAGACGTGTACGTACGGAGCGAACGTCGTGGGAAATTGGAGCGTTGAAACTGGGCTGAGGATGGAGAAAAAAGTATTTGACAAAATGATGAATTATCAGACGTGTCCTGTTCGCATTGTTACTTTAAATTTAGAACCGGTCATGCGCATAACGGAGGGTAATAATGAAACGCTGAGGATTGTGGGTAAGTCTAGTTGAATTATTTAAATTCATGATCCAGTAATAATATGTCAGTTTGATGTTTGATGTTAGTTTCACTTTCGGTGGTCATTGCTTTATAGATGGTAGACGTTATATTCTTACAGTTAGTATAGTATGTTCGTAGGGTAAATAAGAAAATGAGATTCAAAATTGATTCCAAGAAATTTGTACTGGTGGTACTCGAAAAATTTGTAGCAAATTGAAAGAATGTTTAAATACTTGCAGGTGGACTCGAAGGTAAACTAATATTAACGTTTGCCGATTACATGAATTTTACTCCGATCGTCAAATATCCACAAAATAAAAATGTACCAATGTGGAAAACGAGCAGTGAAGAGTCTGATTTGATTGACGAGTTAATTATGGGAAAGGCAGACATTGGCGTAGGACAATTACGTCCCTCTAATAGCGACCGATTGCGACTAGACTTTTCATTCACTTATAATTACGAATGTCTGACGTGGACAGTGCCATTGATTATAGACTGGAACAAAAATCTACTGTTTTCGGAATTTTCTACTATTTCATGGATACTTATAATATTGATAATTATATTATCAGCTGTGCAGCAGTACTTTTCTTGTTTGATGCATTGGAGTAAGTAAAAGAAAAAGTAGGCATAAATTTGAGATAGTTCAAATTTGATATATACTCAATTTTTTTTAGATATTGGACCAAACTACAGCTGCTTTTTCTTCTTATTTCAATCGTTTTCAATAACCGTAGGTAATCCGGTACCAATATCGTTACAAAAACGCGCGGAGAAATTACAATATACTTTATACTTAATTTACGCATTAATAATAACCGTCGCGTATAAAACTTCATTGGCGCAACAATTGACATTGAGATTAGGTATTCCAATGATTTTAAACGAGCAAGAAATCATTGATAACCGTTTACGCATTTCTGGTCCAAGATCCTTTTTACAGATCTTGAATGATCAAGCGTCAGAAAATCATCTCGTACACGAGCTGATGAAACGATACGAGGTAATGGTGAATGCGGATGAAGCAGCTAATTTGATATCTACGGAACAAAATCTAGCTTATATTCGTCATCGATCGACTATGGATTATATAAGAGGGAAATATTTGAAATCCGGAAAAATCGCGAGATTTTACACGTTTCCGGATACTTGTGTTATTTCTTACGATCCTGTTATGTTACTCCCGAAAGGTTCACCGCTACTGATTAGTCTAAATTTAATGATTAGAAAATTACGTGAATTCGGTATTCCGGCTTATTGGAAAAATTCCGATGCCATAACTGACAAAGTGTACACCACGGTCATTCATCCTCAAAAATTCTCGATAAGGCAACTGTCCTCTATTTTTCTGATATATATCTTTGGCATGTTATTTTCATCGATCGCCTTTATCCTAGAATTGGTTTACAAGAGTAACTCTCATCGAAATGTACTTACGTGGCTGTCGAGATGTAAGTACGTGAAAAAAGCTTACTTTTAAATAGGTTACAACTTTTTATAATTTTTAAAATCGCATGTTTCAAGGATTATAATGACACCAGTGTGCTTGAAAGACAAATTCCTTGACTAACAGTCGGATCTCATCTCCGTAAAACGACGCTCCCAAGTTACCAATTACACTAACGCCATCTACGGTCATGCAGTAAATAATTCAAACTCAAACAGTTGAATTCAAATTAAATATCTTATTGAGGTTGACTAAATATAAATAGATTATAATAATTATTCCTGTGTATTCCACGCCGCATGATTCTGACATGTAGAATACGAGTATATATTTATACGTAACATTTCAATTGCTAAAGCCAATCTGTAAGGGTCCCTGTACCCAGACTCGTGTGACATCATATCTCATAAGATGTTCCCAGTCTATTTACCGTCTGAATCAACCACTACTGGATACCGTAGGATGGTAAAACAATTAGCATTACCCCTCGATACACGACAATTGTCTTCACTTATTTGCATGCCACAATTCCACAAATTAAAAATAAACGCTTACAGTATCAAATAAAGAATTCTTACTCATTTTATCTTGTCCGAAGGTTGATTAAAACTTGGAAAGATACATTTCAGGATTTGGATATGATTCAGTATTGATTGAAGTAAAATAATACATCTTTTCAAATTCGAAATTGTGCTAAACAGCCAATAAATTTAATTATTTTCTTGTTATACTAGAAAGACAAAAAACATAGGTAAAAGTACTATAATCAGCAATCCATTGTCTTACGTACACAGATTTTTTCTACAGATTTGGTGTCAATAATAGAGAACAAAAAAAAATAGTGAAGATGTAGTATAATATATCCCAAAGTATAGAGATGATATAAATCATGAAAGGATATTAAATTCGTTATGTCTAGCTAAGTAATTTACTCGCTGTCTGAACCGCTTTCACTACTGCCACTGCCGCTGCCACTGCCACTGGCACTACCAGATCTTGATCGTGATCTAGACTTAGATCTTGATTTCGATCTGGATCTAGATCTAGATTTTGATCGTGAGGGAGATCTGGATTTAGATTTCGACTGCGAGCGCGATTTAACGGGAGAACCGGAGCGAGATCTTGATCCTGACTTGGATCTTGATCTGGACCTTGACCTAGATCGCGATTTGGAAGAACTCCTGGACCGAGGACTAGCAGATTTCGACTTACTTCTAGAACGCGATCGAGACTTTGAACGAGATTTCGAGGGAGATCGTGATTTGGACCCCGAAGGTGATTTTGAACGTGACCTAGATTTTGATCGCGACTTCTTGCTGGATGCTCGCGAAGAAGCTCGCGAAGATGTCCGAGAACCGGCATCGTTGTCTGAGTTTCCTGTAAATGTGAATGTATTTTTGCACCAGGTATCACCAAGGGAGTATCTTAGAAATTTTTTGTATTTGCTAACCTTTGTCTTCATTCTTCTCGGGCTCTGCTTGTGTTTCCTCTTCTTCTTCCTCCTCCTCATCTTCGTCGTCCTCGTTAGGTGGCTCCAACAATTTTTCCCTGTATCGTTGCATCCTGAACTCGTTAGCGTTCAGTGGTCTGTGTCGAACTACCAAACGCGTGTTATTCGGCTGTTGACCAGCCTTCTGGCGACGTTTACTAAGTCGTACACGAGTTTCCAATTCATTGTAATACACCTGTATGGAAAAAGTATTAATAATTATGCACTTGATTTACAGAAATAGTGATTTTTTTTTCTTTGATAACAGTTCCTTACCCCATCCTGGCGCATAACAAGAAAATAATTCTCCTCGTACCCCTTAGACGTTTTACTTTTGACATTCCAATTATATTCTCTGGCCATTTTATACTCATACTCTTCCTCGTCTGCGTAATCGATACCTGCGGTAAAGTCTCTTCTGCGTTTCTCTAAAGTTTCATCCAAAGGCAAGAAATACGCCACGAACTGTTCACCACTTTCGTCCATGACACCACTAAAAGTCGAAAAAATTTTTTATGAACATTTATAGTTTTACATAGATCATTTTGCGGTGTTTAGCAAAACTGTGTTGTATGTACCGTATCATGGCCTGAGACATTTCTTCTATCTGTGCTGGTACTGATCGACCGGTAGGTGCAGGATCCGAATCGAAAATAACTTGGGCACATGGATACTTCCATAACTAAACGAAAACAACGTTGTTTTATAAGAATGGAATTTAATCTATAATCTTGAAAAAATGTATGCCTTACTTTGAAATCAGGATATACTGGCAATACTTCCACCGGTACCACATTCGGTTTACTGTAATGCTTCTCAATTTGTTTTTTATTGTCTTCGAAGGTTTTTTCAATAGCCTTTATTTGACTGTCACGATCCATATATAAAGTCTCTTCCTGTAATAAATATATTGTTTTATACTACTTTATACATGCCTAATTATTTATATACTTTACGTCAAAATTCTGTCTTATTCAATTATAATTAGTTGTGAATATTTTTTTGATAATTACCTTGAAATTCTTTTTAATACTATAACCGACTTTTGCCTCGACTTTGTCCATAGTCTGAGGCTGAAATCTGGTTTGTTCTGTGGAGATGTACTCCGTACGTCGAAGCCACGAAACGCTACGTGCATGATGTCGTGAGCGTTTCGAGTCCTGAGGGGTAAGAATATCTTCTTCCAATAATTTTTCGTCGGCGGGATCTAGCTGAGTGTTTAGATCACCCGCGTACGTGTCGCGGTTAATTAAATCAATTTCAACACCCAGGTCATGTTCTGTTAAAACTTCATATTTGTAATTACGTTCTAACGACGTAGGATTGTACTGTATAAATCTGTGGATCAAATATATGGTTACCATCTCACTGCTAATTATATTCATTCAGATACATACCTCGTAGATTCAAAGGGATATGTGATGAACTTCGGGTCAAATGGAATATCAGGTAGTGTGTTGCAATATTTGACTCTACATATTAATTCTGATCTGCAAGTTAGTAGTAGTATATTAAAAAATGTTCTAACATATGCAGCCAGTGTATTAAAATGCTTTTAGGTTTTTATACTACGTGCTTACATTGGGACATGAACAAAGTTTATGTTTGCTTCAAATGCAAGCAAAGGAGGAAGCTTGGTAACACATATGAAGATAATTATCAAATAAATATAGAATTTAAAGTATATGTATATAAATTTAATTTATGCATTGTCTATTCATGATCTATATAGCAAATCGTTTAACAGCAGCAATGGATTGTTAAGTAATCTGTATATTTTCGAATAAGCATTGCTAAGGGACAAGCTAGAGGCTTGACTAATACACAAATCGATATTATTATAAATAGATAATATATACTGATAAAGTTTGGATCATGATGGTAACTGTATTATAAATTTAAAGAGATAATTACTGCTAGTGCTAAGAGTTTCACTGTTAAATTACCTGTTGTCAACTGGTCTTGCTTTACGTTTATCATTAGCATCCGTATTACTATTGGTCCTAACGATGCTTGCCATTATTTCATTTGAGCTACAATAGTCATACGACTCTTTTATTATTAAGACATTTGCAAGTAATATACTCTCTTCAATTAACATGGATAATTGTAACAAAAAATGCTGTGGTACTTAGACCTCTATACACTGTAGAAATATATATTAAAATAATTATCCACTATTGCACGTAGGTACAATAATAATTTTGAATTGCAGGTATATTGTGTTAATTGACAAAGAGTTCAAAATAATAAAATCAATATAATGAAATTATAAAACAAAGTGAAATTTTATTGAAATTAATTCTATCATTATTCATTATTAAAATAGTAGAAAGAAATCTGATAATTGTTGCAAATATAATGTAGGTTAGGGTATAATATAAACAAATTACCTTTTCTCTGCAGGTCTTGTAGTCCGTTTGTCACGATCATTACTACTACCGTTTGTCTGAATAGTAGGTGCCATTGCAATAATTATTTTCTAGATTCTTTCATGCTAACATTAAACCGTAAATGATTATTCACTTTTAGACAAAACACAGGGAATGATAACCTAAATAGTGCACAGACCAACATCTGCTGAAGCTGAAAGTGAACAACTATACGCTACCCAATAGCAAACTTATTCTTCGTCAGACTACGCAGAATCGTGTTTGAAATTTGACATACATTATTATCGTACTAATACGTGAAATTGTTACTTAACGTATACGTAAACTTGCTCTTCTGGTTATTACTGTTAAATTGTTGCTAACACAACAACTGTTATATGAATAAAAGATAAATATCTCGTCTCTCTACCAATATTATAAATAAGTCAATCAATCAACTATAGCAGATGCGCCACAACTGTGCGCATGCGGAAACAGACATCAACAATGTCCACTGTTGTATTTGAATTGTATTTCGTATAACAGCAAATAAAATTATGTAAGCTTTAACAGTTTTAAATAATCGCAACATAATTTGAAGGAATCGTATTAAAAACATTTAATATTGAGTGATTGGATTCTCAATGTTTTGAGATAGTTAAACTTTGCAGGCATATCTATGTGTGATTACAAACGTACTTTCGACGCAGGCGTCTGTTCGGCCGAATTATTGATTTGAATGCGCAATGTTAGGTATAAATCAGTTTTTCCTCACGGAAATGCAGGTGTCAAGTATTCTCTACTGAAACGTGTCATTTAAGATATTTTGTTCCCCTACTGCGAAGGAAATAATAATAATATAGACCATAGTGAATGAAATTCTATAATAAATTGAAGTATGACTGCTCCAAGTATTTCTTTGTGACTAACCGCCCCTGAAGAAGGGACTTCCCCGTTAAATAATATAAACAACTCACGAACAATTTCGGAATTTGATCGTTTAAACACGGAACTCGCAACGCTTTGCAAGGTAAATTGAATAGACGTTAATTTTCTTAAATATTTAATGTATTTTTAGTAATTATAGTATCATGAATATAGATACGTGTAGGTAAGGATTATTAGTAATTTTATTACAATTGATAGGTGTACCCCGTGAGCCCCGTGACAGGGCCAGGTGCCGCACGGTCCGTATGGGAATTGAGTCCGGATCCCGACGTGGTAGGGCATCTACCGAACAGTCCACTTTCCGTGGCGGCACATAGCTCCCAGGGCTCTGCCAAGGGAACCCGAGCTAGACGAAGAAATGGGCCTGATGATAACGTTTATACTGATGAGGCTACCCCAGGTCAAGGCCCTACAGATGAGACTATACGAATTTTTGAAATTCTTAGAGCAGGGTTGGTCTCAGTTATTTCATTGAACTTCACTATAATTGTGTTACTTAATTTGAATACTTTCTTACTTATCTTTTGTATTATAGAGAAATGGAGGCCATTGAAGAGCTTGTGGAGAAAAGTGGTTTAAGCGTTTTAAGTGCTAGAGATGAATGGGGATACACACCTGCACATTGGGCAGCTTTGGATGGTAATGTTGAAGTAAGCAGCCTATTTTGAAATACTGTAGATTATTTATTTGTATTTTAAAAATTCTTTTAATAATACCTAATTCCAATGAAATAGGTGATGAGATACCTGGTGGAACAAAATGGACCTGTAGATTTATCCTGTCTGGGTACACAAGGCCCACGGCCTATACATTGGGCCTGTAGAAAAGGGCATAGTGCCATTGTTCAATTATTACTCAAAGTAAATATTAGAAATTGATAAATCTAGATATATGATATTGATTTAATTAAATCATATTATGATATTCAGGCTGGGGTAGCTGTGAATGCTGCAGATTTCAAAGGATTGACACCACTCATGACGGCTTGTATGTTTGGGAAATTTGCCACAGCAGCCTTTTTACTTGGCTCTGGAGCCTTATGTCATTTAACTGATATAAATGGAGATACTGCATTGCATTGGGCAGCTTATAAGGGACATGCTGAATTAATTAGATTACTTATGTACAGTGGAGTGGATTTACAGAAGCCTGATTATTTTGGCTCGACACCTTTGCATCTGGCATGTCTCTCAGGAAATGTTAGCTGCGTGAAGATCCTATGTGAGAAAAGTAAAATAGAACTGGAGCCACGTGATAAAAATTGCAAGACCCCATTGCAATTAGCTAAGAGTCATAGACATTCCGATGTTGTGAGAATTTTACAAGGTGAACAAAAGCGCAGGGCACGTTGGGTCCCACCTATCAACGAATTATGGTTTGTCTCATTTCTTTATATTTTATATGTGTTCATATTATAATACATTGAATAAATTAATCCTATTTTAATAGGGCTCTTCTTTTTGGCGGTGCCGGCAATAGCAAGGGACCATTACTATTATTTATGGGCTCAGTACTCTTATGGGGGTATCCCATGTATTTGTTAAAATGTATTCCCATTACTTGGAATCTTCTTCGAGGAAGTCATTACTGTTTTATTTATTGGAACGTTGTAATGTGGATATCCTGGATCGTAGCTAACAGAAGGGATCCTGGTTATGTACCACAGAACAGTGATACTTATTATAGAGCCATTAAGCAGGTAACTATAATTTATTAATTAATAAAAAATATTTAATTTTCTATAATCGATTATATTATGTCTCAAGATTCCGTACTTCGACAAGTGGAAGAAGAGAAATGTTATTTTATCAAGACTATGTCACAGCTGCAGATGTTTCAGACCTCTAAGAGCTAAGCATTGCAGAATTTGCAATCGATGCGTGACCTATTTTGACCATCATTGTCCTTTCATCTATAATTGCGTAGGATTGAGAAACAGGTAAACAAAATCTATAATAAATATATATAATAATATAATTAGCATCACCTTTCTTTCTAGAATGTGGTTCTTCCTCTTTGTTATGTGCGTGGCCATAAATTGTTCATTCACATTATATTTCGCCTGTTACTGTATCGCAATAGAAGGTATACAGTTGCTATACGTTCTTGGCTTATTGGAAGCTTTTGTATTTTGCGGACTTGGCTGGATACTCACTTGCACTTCGGTAAGTATAAATATTATTAAATCAATGAATATTATGGATTTTACTGTACTAATTCAATTAACAGGTACTGCACGCCTGTATGAATCTCACCACAAATGAGATGTTCAATTATAAAAGATATTCTTATCTCCGCGATAAGAGAGGCAGATATTTGAATCCCTTTAGCAGAGGCCCCATACTCAATTTTATTGAATTCTTCCTCTGCCCTCCGGATCACTATGGGAATGATCCTCAGCACTATCATATTCTCAGCGAAGAAGCGATGTGAAATGGAATTGCATATTAATGGCCTACGATGACACTTTCTCTTATTCTCTTACGAGCACTCATGCATTAGCATCTCAAGAATTCTATTTTTTCGCACTAATTGTTCTTCATAAAATTATATAACTCAATTAAATCTATTTATCTATAGCCGGGAAACTTCGGTCACATTCCTGCTTAGCATTTGTACAAAGAAAATCGTTCAATAAATGATTCGTTACATCGAATGTGTATAATTTATTAGAACTAATATGAAAAAATGAGTTTTACAAAATACTGATAAAAATATTCACATTGTTAATGCACATGATTGATAAATATAATTTGATTTTTAAGACAACGCCGAGATAATCTACGTCAAAGTGTAATTGATAGTCGTATAAAATAGATAAATATATAGATCTAATGGCAATGAAAATAAATTTAATAACAGAGATTCAAGATAAAAGTTTCGTCTTTAAAAGGGTAGATATGAATTTTTTTTTAAATATTGTATACCTAATCTGTATAATATTGTTGCGCAAAAGCGTGTATATGAAATTCTTAAAAGAATATCTTTGGTAAAATATAATGCATCGTCCCGGGAATTAAAAGGAAAGTGAGGTACGCCTAATAATGCCTCATCGTCAGTCGCTGGCGTTTGCAACTTCTAATATTATATAGTTTAGCAATGATTAGAAATAAAAACTGTAGCCAGACAAATCTCTCTTCTCGATTAATACACCAAGTGAGTATTCGCCATGGCAGTCGCTACTAAGATACACAATTCGTTAACTGTTATTGAGACAATCTATTCTATATTAAAATTACAAGAGTTTGAAATCTACTTGAGTTCGTAGCAAAAGTCGTAATTTGGTGGCGGTTCTGGAATTGGTGGAGGATCCTGTGGGATATCGATTCCTTCAGCATCCAAAAGTCGCAATTTTATATCCATCGAGAGGAGTGTTTCCAAATCATTCTCGGTCTCTTTGCTAGTCATTTTATTACCTAAAGAAACAAGATTAGTATCAGCACTCAGTCTGTACTTAACGACTGATTTAAAACGATGACTTACCAAGTAAAGCGTTGATGCCGTCCGTCCAGTAATCGAAAACTTGTTCATCCGGTGCGACAAAATCTAAACTAGAAACTTCCACAGAATCTAAAGCTAAAGAAAAGGCTAACTGATGCGTAGTTTTTCGCCTCTGTAAATCTTTCATATGAGGACACTCTCTTCCTGTAAGTAAACCTCGTATTTCCACTACGGCTAATTTTGTCGGAAGCTCATCTATCGTTGGTACAGATTTTTCATCACAATCTCCATAATGAAACACCTTGTGATTAGGAGAGAGCCTCACATACCAGAATTTGTCTTTGATTCTCTACAAGAATTATTATAACGTATTATTAATATTATTATTAGTATTATTAGTATAATATAAAAAATAACTGAAAATCATACCTGTCCTCTGGCACTGTATTTAGTAAACCTGGTGCCTTCCACAAGGAATCCTAAACGCTGCAGCTGGATTAAATCTAATATTTCCGGAGTGATTTGTTCTCTGAGTTCTACTATCGGTCTCGCATGACTTTCCCATTCCTCACGACTCGTCCTTTCTTGTTGCCACAAATTAGTAATCGTTGAATACGTTAGCTGTTGTAATTTATTCTTAAACTTATCCAGTCCAGTTGGTTTGCATTGCAGGGCTCTAGTGATTTGTTCGCGCACCACGGAGAAGACTTTCACAAAGTCTTCCGTAGTGGCTCGCATTTCCTTCCATGTTTTATTCAATAGGACAATGCAAACACAATAAAATTCCTCAAAGGGATGATCGTGAGTGAAAAACATTGGATGATAAGACTGACCCTGTTCGCTAGGGGCTTCTCCAATGCGTAACACCTATATTTAAAATTGCATATGGTTTTAAAAGTATTATTTACATATAATTTTTAAATAATTCATACGATACCTCACAAAGTAATTTAACAAGCTCCACACTAGTTCTGCCAAATGGACATTCGTGTTCATCTGCTCTGCATGAATTCTCCAGCACAACTTTTGTATAGCTTTCGGTGTGATTTCGCGCAAAATACACCATACAGTCCAAAGCCAACATACCGGGTGGAGTTTCCGTAAAGTCGAGTGCAGGATTTATGTCATACTTGAATCCTAATTTTTTATAATCCTTCGCAAAAAGACCTTGCTTCCGTGCAGCAACGTCACCACTAGCAGAGCCTTCGGTATCGAAAGCTATTCTACGAAGCTCCTTGATTTTATCGTGAGCATCTTGATCCTGGGGATCCATCTTCGTCATCATTCGCTGCTCTAGTAAACTGAGCATTAGTGTCTGGAGTACGTACAACTGATGTGCCATTTCTGTGCCAACCTACAAGATCATTCGATTGTTTTCAATGTATGCTAATATCAATTATCAGAGTTTACATTAATGTTAATGTAATGGTTATATAAGTGTAACACTGGGGTTTAAATTGGAACAAGGTATTATTTAGAGATGTATCTTTCACCTGTCCGGTAGACTGAATCACATTTGTCAGGAAGACATTGCGCACTTGCTTAGATTGCAATGTGGAGGACACAGCTCTACGCTTTGCCACATCAGCTTTCAGAAAGAGAGCATTTATCAATGCAATTGCGTTCTGCTGTATTTGAGGACTCATGCTTTGCAGGTGCATTACTAAATTTGGAAAAGTAACTTCCTTCTCGACTTGGGCATATTTTCCTGATGAATTCAACACTATGTTCTCTAGGATGCTCAGTGAAGCCTCTATGACATTCGAGTCTTGACTTATAGACTGGTTGTTGACGTAACTTGCGACTTTGTTGATAAAAGGAGTCTCTAAGATATCCCAGGATACAATTCCATGGTCCATCAATTCAACAAAGGACTGTAGAGAGTAAGCTAGTCCACTGCCCTTGTATTTACCAGAATCCACCTGTTGAAAAATGTAAGGAAAGGTATGACCCATGTATTTAATAGTGTTAAGGCAATTCGGCATAAATTATTTGTCTAATTCAAACAAAAACATTGATATGATAGTAAAATCAGACATAAATAGTATCAAGATTAGGACATAATTGTCAGTTGCTGTCTGTTCAGATAATAAAAATAATCAGGTAGTCAAAGATAAGTGCCACTCAATATTTATATAGATTGATGTTCTTTCTTAATGTATTATACTAATAATAATATAAATATAAGGTTCAAATTATATATTACCTGAGAAATTATTAATGCAAGTCCTTGTTTATTAATAAATTCCAAAGCAAACGTCATGTCCATACTGAGTGTACTGAGTTTCTGCAAAGCTACAACCTTCTCCTCCGCAGTGCCATGAATCAATTTTCCAAGGATATCACTTGCTGTTTTTGACGGAGAATGTTCCAACCTAAGAACACTCCCATTTTTTACCTCATTACGATTCTTCTCTGTAATATAATTTTGATTATTGTTCTCAGAAAATTGCAGAGAATAAGTATCTGGATCAGTCAGTCCCCATCCATTGCAAAGCTCCTGGAAGAACACACAAGATGTTACTACACAGAAATATCATTTATTTTAAGACCCTGTCAAAAGGATATTCTGATTCCGTAAATGCAAATACGAGTACCTGTATAATTCCAGTAAGGGGTTGTTTTTGATTGAATTCAATAAGCTGGGGAACTTGATCAGTCATTTCCACAGCAATTTTCACAATATTCGAATCTTTTTGGGCCGGCATTTTTATTGTCTGTGTGTACATGTAAGTTAAAAATTAATGATAGGCCGTTGTCTGTAACGCGAATCTTTACAGCAATGTCGCTTTATTTAAATTTATTAGTTCTTGACAAATTTTGACAACTGCCATATCACGACGCGACAGCCATGACTACAGGCGTCGTCCCGACGCTTCCTGCATTTAATGACTTCCCTAATTCACGCTGTTCCTGAACGTGTATATATATATATATACACACAGCATACAATATACATACTTCAATATATATTTACGAGGGTGATTTTCAGTTTCGTGCTTTACAACAAATCAACTTGTTTTCATACAGCAGGTGATTTTCATTTGAGTTTCTTGCGCAAGGTGAATCTGTGAAAGGGTCTTTAACTTGCCAACTTGTCAAACAGGTTTTATTAATCCACGCTGATCCGCGCCATTGCACTTGCCTATCTCATGCAGTTCTGTGAATAGCAGCGCACGCGCCAAAGCATAATTATTTCAAAAAAAAAAAAAAAGGTTTACTGTAATTGAAACATTACATTATTGTATAACAATTGAATGTTACAAATATAGGAGACTATAGAAAAGGTCTGATTTATAAAGCAGACATATATAAACTTGATATATCAGTTTATTAGCAATTTTTTTTTAGATTTTCTTTTGATATATCCATAAACACACAGCTCTACTTTTATTATTGTATTATGTTAAGCAGCGTAGAAAAAATATATGATATCCCTGTCTAACGTAAATTTTATTAAAAAACTATATGCATACACATAAGTTTAAAAATAATTTCTACTAAATTTGAGCCTGAATGAAGAACCTTAAAGACAAGGTTCACGGTGCGAATAAACTTTGTGATTGACATTTTAATTCTGCTAGGGCTAGTATCTAGTTTGTATTTACATACAAAGAAAAATCACTGTTTATTCTAGACGCACCTCTTCGTAAATCAGGCACGTGCAATCGTTATAAGTTAGTTAAAACAGGAAGTAATACGTATTTGTATTACATCGTTAACTTGTAAAACATTTGGCTAATAAAATCGAGCTATGAAACTCTGCTCTATTTAAATATTCTCCTACAAGACTGATATAAGGTTACATTTTGTGTGGTGAGAATATTACTCTTCATCTTTTACAATGATCGATCAATCATTTGTACATTGGGCATTTTATGCAGTACATAGACTCATTTGCAATTCTACTAATGAATCAGTAACTAACTATCAAATGATACAACTTCACAGTTTCCAGTCCCATGGAACACATAGAACACCGTCACTCATTACAGAGTAGTAATGTGTTACCCAGAGCATAACACCTTCGAGCATTGGTGCCAGAACTGTTTTGTGAATAAGAAGACGTTGACAGCATTGGATCATTAGATCTGGAGTTATGCTGTCATCCTTGTTCAACGCAACTAGACCCAATTCCTTGACTGCCCTGTCGTGAAGATCTCGTTCCACATGCTTCACACTAAAGTTTTAAACAATTACATATTATCATCTCCGATAACACTATTCATACTAGCAAATCTCTGTGAGAAAGTGGGTTTATAATGAGTTAGATTAATATTGTCTATTACAGTAATTACTCACTTGTTATAGTGATGTAGTCTTTTTGTGGCTTCGTCCAAGTTTTCAGTGATAAAACTTATCAAGAGAAAACTGGGACAAGAAGATGGCACGATGAATTGTCCAGTTGGGGACAGCATGAGAGGTCCTGCCTCACTGTCCAACAAATGTTATAGCTTATGTCGTTTCAGGAATTGTTTATTGTCAAACCTCTCATGAAGCACTTACGTTTCAATAACGATTTCGTACGCAGACAAGTCACTCGGCCATGTACTCGGATAGTTACGTCGTCCACGATAATCGGAAAGGGTCGTCGTGAGTTGACGAAGTTGTGACTCGTACTGGCCCACCATTATTTTCGGCATAAACTTTCTGCACATATAGAGCACCCTGAGCCTTACCGTCACTCAAATTATTTGCTGTCTTACGCACCGTCGACCCACTTTAATACCCAGGAGTACAGTTGACACCGCCTTCTCGAATGCTGGCAGCCGAAGCAGTACCACATCGTGCTTTCGCACGTTCTTAATGAGCTATCATGACACAAACAGTAACAAGATTGTGAGACCAGGATCTGGTATATATTATTGAGTCAACTTACATCAAGCCAATTGTGTCTAACTTCTCCTGAATTCAGCATAACGTTCCCTTCAAGATTAATGCCCGTGTCATTTGCAAAAACGAGTGTGCGGTCTTTTAAAACTACCATTGGCTCAGGGTGGTGCTTCGCGAGGGCTTGAAAAGCTAGCAGGCACCCACGGTAATGGGTAATATTCCAACCGCAGTCCCATATAATACTTTTTAGACCCAAAGCTGCACATAATTCTTCTTCTAGCTTTTTCACTTCTTCGCGCACTGGTCGACATGCTTCAAGTTTGATATGAGCCTCGTTTACGTGTTTGTCCAAATATGCTCTGCATTAACATGTTCAATGTAGGATAATTATGTTAAACTTGCAAGAACATGAATTAATATTTTACTCAACTAACTTAAACGTATCTGGCTCAGAATTGATTTTCCTTCTCATAAAAATAGCTGCAAAAATGGGATCATCTTCTAATTCAGAGAAGTCCAGTCGTTCCCCAGACAAGCCTCGGTCTTGCCAAAATCTTGATTTGTATTTGGGATTAGGTGGCTTTTCTTCCTGTATCTTATCCAAAAATGTTGTTGGCAAATTGCACGTTTTCAGGATAGAGAGAATGGTTTTCTTAAGGTCTCTTTCGTTCAATTGTATTTTCACCAAAGTAAATTTCCCAGCTTTCACATCCTTTTCATCTTTTGACCGTAAGTAAAATGGCAACGTAGTTGGTCTAATTGGTTTTTGTTGCTGTAATGTTTCTATAATAGAACTAAGCTGCTTCAATGAGTTTTCATTCACAGTCTGAAATAGATAAAAATAGTAATTACACGTTAAAATTAAAATTCAATATAAAACTAAACAAATGTCATATTTCTCGTTCACAATGTTACATTATAACATTTAATAAAAAAAGTTAACAAGTATTAAAACCATCAAAGCCAATTCATAATTAATATATAATATTCATTTTCCTTAACCTTAACCAAGTTCAATTTCATTTGGCTCTGCTTCAACATATATAAATAATTAAATAAAGAATAACACAGTAACAAGTTTCATTCATTATTTTCAAAGCGAAAGAGAACAAACTATTTGAAGATGACATTGAAGAAAAAATCATAGGTAAAATCGTATATTGAATAACTTTACATAATACATAAATGACAAACTTACCCGTTGTGTAGGAAATTGACCAAAGAGATCTGGATGAACAGTAAAGTAAAAAGGCCTCAGTGCAGTGGAGACTTCCCCAGTGCTCAAAGCTCTGATTGCTCCATTTCTACAAAAACTGTGACAACCCCAAAAGAAAATTACATCCAATCGTACGATCACACATTAAGAAATTCTTTACCATTTCTTCAGTGTGCAATACATCCTGCCGTTAGATTACTGCGTCTCCAATATCAAAACCACCATGTTATAACATGTTTATCCATGTTACGTAGCGAATTATGTTTTTTCGTAGATGAACATTTTCCTACAGAAAATACCTGCGCGCGATTCGCCCTGTATTACACACAAAGAAGACAGAAGATGCATAAGAGAAATTTGTATCTAAGACAACACGAATGGATCTTCAAAAATCGCAATAAGAACACTGTTTCAAAATGAAAGAAGTAAATAACTAACTCAATAATTAATCAATCCGTAAAACTGAAGAATCTATATAGCTCTAAAAATATGAAGAGGAGACAAAACTTACTTATCACTGATACGTAGCTCCATGCGTAGCTCTAAGTATTGAAATAACCGTGACTGAAATCTTTCTAATATCTACGCCCATGATATCTACGCCAATGTTTCATAGGCTTATTTGGAGCACCACATACTCGCAATCAAACGTCATGTCGTTAGCGAACAGCTGTTTTTCGTAGAGATCTGTGATATAGGTATAGTATACGTAATATTGCATTAAATATGGATTGTTCTGATATCAGTTACATTTAATCCGTTTGCTTTCCTCATCAAATTGCCTCTATGCATATAGTAAATGGCATTCGCGACAGTCACAGCGATAGCGTTACGCGAGCTGTATATTCACTAAAGTTTCTGTCATATATAAAAATCCTTAAAGAATATTGTCTAGCGACGTGAAATTTTTTTTAATTTTAATATTTTAGAGCTGTGACAGTTTTACATGGTCATCGTGTCCGAATCATTGATACACTGTAAATTCCTAAACATTATAAGTACTTTTTCGCTGAATTTTTTCTATTGTTTCCTTGGAGTGACTCATGTTGAGTGGAATCGTGTCATTAATGAAGTATATCATAATTCGAGGGAATTTGCCGCCACTTTGTGTCTTAGAATTATATAGTTCAATTCGGTTTTTGTATGTCTGATCTATTGTTTGTAATTATGACAGTAGTTTTTGTATGATTTTAGTATATTTATAATAGTAATCAATGATATTTTGTAAAGTGGTTTTATCCTCGAGGTAGAGATTGTTCCTTTTCTTCTGTAGCAAGGACATAAAACACCTTTCACTTGATATTACAAATCACATTATGTCTTGTCCTTTATTACTGCTTTATGTCTTTCCTTTTATACATTTCTGATATTAGAAGCAAGGGCTTCTTTCTCCATAAATATAAAATTTATTGATTGTGGTAATTGAGTTAATATTTTTATTGGAGTATCTAATAGAATTTTATTTATGTTTCAGATTCATTATAGGAAAGCCATGGCTTACTCGATTAATAGGAGACCCTTGCTAGGAGGTGCTAGCGATAGTGAATTTGAGGATGAATTAGAAACAGAAGTTGATGATCCAAATGTAAACATTCCTGATGAAAAGCCCTTTTTAAAACATGAACCACGTGACAAGTACACCATGCTTACTATTTCTTTTATAGAAATTGTCTTTACTAGCTAAAAGATAAATTAATTAATATTATAATCATTTTCTCATTACTCGTTACAGATATCATATAGCTTATATAATTTTTTACTTATTGGGAATAAATACACTAATTCCATGGAGCTTCTTTGTTACTGCAAATGATGTAAGTAATAATGTATGAGTAATTCACAAAATTATTAATGACTATTATTTAGTTACTTGAAATAATGGTCTGTTTAATACTTCCCGAATCTCTGTGTTAAATGCAATGATTCAAATAATAATCAATCTTCGGAATGACAAACCTAGACTGAATTCTTTTTATGAGTTTTACTGTTTCCAGTATTGGATGTACAAATTTCGAGAAATACATGAAAACAATACAGGACGACATAATTATACGCACACAGAAAATCTCGAAACGAAAACTGATCTTCAAGCTAGTTTCATATCATATTTAAGTGTATCAAGTGCTCTTCCAAATACACTCTTCCTAATACTAAATACATTTATAAGTAAAAAGTAAGTCGAAAGTGTTATAACAGCGTACCAAGTGAAGTGCTACTATTATAACAATAGCAATATCAAATAGGCACAATATTTCAGTTAAGCACAGTATCAAACAAATTTTTTAAATTTTCAGAATATCACTGACAACCAGAATGATAGGATCTCAGTGCATTATTCTTTTACTCTTTATCCTGACCACAGTTCTTGTTAAAGTGAATACGGATGAATGTGAGTCTGATGAAGGAAATAATAAATATCTTCAAAAATATCACTTAATGATTCTTAATTTTTAAATACACTTTTAGGGCAAAATGCGTTCTTGGTGATCACTTTAACAACAGTTGCAGTTGTAAATAGTAAGGATTTTTATAATTATTAATCTATAACCGGTTGCAACAACAGCAGAAATAATGAAATATGTTTTATTTTATAGTGGCCAGTGCCATTTTTGGTGGGAGTTTGATGGGTATCGTTGGTCGATTCTCCCCAAGATATATTACAGCAATGATGGGAGGTCAGGCAGTTGGTGGAATTTTCACAGCACTCGCCGAAATTGGATCTCTTTGGATAGGAGCCAGTCCTGTTCTCTCAGGGTTATTGTATTTCATAATTGGTGATGTTTTGTTGTTTCTCTCATTGATTGCTTACATCATTCTAGAGAAGGCTGTAAGTTCACTCTATTACTCAACTAATATCTATGTATTGGTTTTCCATGATTTCTATTATATGCACTATTAGAAAAATTAATGCAATTTTATCAAATGCACATGCGCGACATACATTATTCGTTTTATAACTTTATGATTAGTTAGAAATCTAGAACGAATTCAGAGTCATATGCAGCTCTTGCAAAACGAGTTGCCAGTTTAGATAGAGAAACATATTTCACTATACAAACTGATATGCATATAATATACAGTACTAATGCGTCATATTAAATACTCTAATAAATAAGGATAAGCCGCTTGGAATAATCTTAAGCTGCACGCTCGAACTGTAGGAGTGTAAGAGTCATTCGCGAAACAAAGAATATTTAAACGCGCAAAAGCCATCTCTATATTTAGTGACTGAAGGATAATATTTATTTTTTCAGATATTTTTTAAACATCATATGATAGAAAAACTACCAGAGAGCTTAAACACAGATTTCCCTGTAGACGGCGAAGTAATATTCTCACAAAACTATACAATTTCCTATACTCGTATCTTTAAGAAGACTTGGCATTATGGATTTAGTATATTCCTAGTATTTTTCATAAGCTTATCAGTATATCCAGCAGTGACTGTATTGATTGAAAGCCAAGACAAAGGCAAAGGATATGCCTGGAACGGTAAATAAATTATTGAAACTTCTTATATTCAAAATTATTATTGTTCTTTCATCTTTCAGACATATACTTCGTACCTGTGGTGACATATCTCATATTCAGTACTGGTGACTATGTTGGGAGACTTTTAGCTGGATATTTTTTATGGGTTAGTAAAATGGAAATATATTTTTTGATGCTTTAGAAATTTGAGGAAGTTTGGAAATCTATGTTTCTTTTATTTACAGCCGAAAAACAAACCATGGCAAGTAATACTTTTATGTTTTATAAGGACAATTTTTGTACCAGTAATATTATTTTGCAATGCTCAACCAAGAAGTCATCTACCAGTTTACATCCGAGATGATATTTATTATATTTTGATAACTATTGCATTTTCCATAACCAATGGTTACTTGTGCAACATCGTTCTTATCTTGGCTCCTATGTAAGTCATTTTTAATAGACAATTTTTAGTACGTCGTATCAATTTACTTATTCAATGTTTTAATATGTAACTTTTTACTGATTCAGGGCGGTCGAGATACAAGAAAGAGAAATAGCTTCACTCATGATGGGTGCTTTTCTTGGTATAGGATTAGCAGCTGGTTCTGCTTTGAGTCTTGTTATGGTGAAAGTTCTTTAAACTTGTCTAAAAGTTCGAGATGAAAAAATGACTAACGAATCAGAAGAATTTCTTTCACTGCCCCCCATCGACGGTAATCAGACATTGATTGTTCATTGTTTTAAACTAAGTCTAGAAATATTTGAAGTTTTAGGACTGTTATATAATTTGAAAGAAATTTTAAATTGTATTATATGAGACTGGTGATCCTGGAATAAGTCCACACCTGTGTCAAAATTCAATGATCTATTTCAATGACAATCGAATTTGCGTTTACAAATTGCACACATTCTTTTGTTTCTGTGAATCGATAACAGTATTTGCCAAGACAATGAAAAAGTTTAATTATCTTTAATTTGGTATTACCGCAACTATAAAAGTACCTCGACCATTCCATTGCGAAAATTATATCCTGCGGTTATTTTAGAAAATCTCAGAATATCTCATGTATCATAAACTTGGATAGCAACAGGGAGAACCATACGTAGATCGTACACACAAATATTATACATAATGTGAGATTCTAGTCATTCTCTAAACTTCTTACATGTTTATAAATGTTGACTACGAATATTAAGATAACAAACTATGGTGGCACAAATGAAGGTAAAGAATAGAGAATAAAAAATAGACATATAAATTTTTAGCGGTAATGTTATATAAGTTATGCAAAGATCATAATAGGGTACATGAATAATACAGTGAAATTCTATACATGTTATTAATATAAAATCATAAATATTACAATGTAATATATTTCACCTGTATTTCTCATACCTATCCCATATATACGAATCTCAAGGAATCATTGAGAAATCTGATGGAGTGAGACAATTTATTTTATAAATATTTAATATTGTACAAATCTTGAAATTATTATGGATCCGTTGTATCGTATTAAACAGTTTCAAATTATGCGATAAACGTTGTCAAAATAAAAATCAGGAAAATTCTTAAGGATTAATAGTGTTTACAATATATTATTCATAATACTTAATAAAAAGGTAGCAAATAAATAATAAAATGATACAGATTTATTGAAATCGACATTGACGTTCCCGGTCAGTCAATGGGACAAAAGCAACTCCCATGAGGAATTTACGTTTAATTTGTCCATCCACAGTTTTATCAACTTGTACCAAAGTTTGATCGCCATTTTCAGGGCCTATAGGAACTATAAGACGACCACCCGGAGCCAATTGATCTATCAGCTATAAATTAATTTAATATATGACTTCTCCATATAGAATTTCTATAAAAATGTTTGTGGTACTTACGGCTTTTGGCATTTCTTTAGCTGCTGCACCAACGTGTATAGCGTCATAAGGTGCTTCGGTGGGACATCCTTGTCGTCCATCTCCAACTAAATATTAAACAGCGTTTAGTATAATATTTCATATAAAATCGAGAATGGCAGTATTTATTTACCAAGAAGCTTGACACGGCCACTGCTTAGCAGCTCTGGATTAACCTTTTGAATATTTCTAATCGCCATTTGTTGAAGTTCTGGAATATGATCGATTCCTACTGCCACTCCGTTGGGTCCAAGCATTATAGCTAAACAAGCTGTCAGATAACCAGATCCAGAGCCAACGTCCAAAGCTCTACCGCCTTCTCGTAGTTTCTCATTCAGCAATTCCAAGGCATAAGCATGCTAAACAATGTCCTTCTGTTTTCTGATATGTAGTTTACTTTTTTTTATATTACAATATAGTTTACAAAAGATAAAAATATGGATTTTTACTAGTTTAATTTGATTTTACCATGAAGTTATAGTCTATTAGTAAATCATTGTAATAGTTTAATAATCAAATGAATAATTGTGCATTGTAAAAGAAAGAGAAAATGCAAAAATACATACCATGTGTGGAGCACTTATGGTAACTCCGTAACCAATCCCTTGCGGTGCATCTATGTATGGATTATTGGACGAGGTATAGTTTCCTCTATCCACAGCTTTCATAGCTGTGTAAACTCGATCAGACTTAATGATGCTACAATCTGAAAACAGTTATCGACTGTATTAAAACCATTTATAGTGTAACAGAGTACATGTCTTATTGTATAAATTATATAAAATATTCCAAGCTGTATAGAATCGTGTAAATGTGGTAAAACTACTACACGTCTGTTGCTTCACTATCAATGAATTCAAGTGCGTACTATATTATTAATAAATTATTTAAGGACAAATGTGAAGTAAATTACACTTACACTAAATAGAAATAAAGTATCTTCACTGTTAGATAATGGTTAGAAATAGGTATGTATCACAAATTTTACGCACTTTTGAGGTATTGAATGAGCTCCTGATTGCTCCTCCCGTGGAAACGTCCAAACGAACTCATTTCGTATCCAAATACAGAAAACGAAACTAAAGCGACAGAGAATATGATTCCTTTTAAATGTCGAAACGGAATTTCAAAACACTTCATACAATCGAATATTACTGGGAAAACAATATCAACACACAGTCAGGGAATAAGATATTCTTCAGATCTGACAGACTGTAGATAATTAGGTTTCACTCTTAAAGTCAATTGTTATTCGCATTCCTTCGAAAAATATCCTCTGCCCATGCAAAATTCAAGTTCGAATACCAGCTGACGTTTTCTTCGTTTCTGAGTAAAATCGCCATTGAGCACGTTATACGTAAGTTTAACGTTTCATTACCTTCCGGTATTTAAATATGGCTTAATCATTTTTTACAGAAACCAAAATGGAAGTAATATCACGTTGCAAATATTTTAATTACTGGGAATAACTTATTAATGAATATTCATTGCTATTGGGGAAAATCAGAATTTTTTTGTAAGAAGTTTGACTAGAGTAGTATTTTTCAAACGGATTGAATTTTTATCATTTCAATTGATGACAATGATTCTGCTATGGCTTCAAGAAAATAGGATGAAAAAAGCATCTTGCACTCCTCTATTATTTTATTTTCTCTATACCTCAGAACTAGGAAATAATTACGAATATGGTGATACGCAAAATATATTTTATTGATTTAACACACCGTGACAAATTGTAGTGCACTTGAGATTCTGATGCATGAATGAAAATAATTTAATGTCTTATATTTGGGATTGTAAGATTATCAGATTCCAAAAAAAAAAAAAAAAAAATTACTGTAATGTGTACATTGATTTAGTTAATATCTATTAAGGAACTAAGCATACAGTTCCTATTTATCTAGTAAGATGCCCTTCTGGTATATAAAATGAATTCCTAATTAATTATGTAATTGGACACTAGCATCAGTTAGAGGAACATACGAAACTTGTATAAGCTTCTTCTTTTCAATTGTTCCATCAAGATGCTTATCAACCTGCACTAGATCTTGAAATCTTTGGAAGCCCTCGATGGCTACTACAGGACAAATCAGTCTACCTCCAGGAGCCAGCTGGTCGATCAGCTGAAAGCATAGTTTTTCTAAACTTTTTTCATTTTTCAATTATTAAAATACATTTTCATTTGACTTACCGCCTGGGGCAGAATATCAGCAGCGGCCCCAACGTGAATAGCTTGATAAGGGCCAGCAGCAGCGTATCCCAATCTGCCGTCTCCCACTAGGCGTATTCACAATGACCTGACGTTAGTCTTCGGCTTATTCATTCAGGTTCCAAGGTTAAATAATACTGTTCATAGACAGTTCCGTTTGACCCTTCGAGCAAATTCGAGACAATTCATAATGATACAAAACTAATAACTTCAAAATTAGCTAAAGTTCGTTGAATGAAGTTATGCGCTATGACAATGTGACATTACATTTCAAAGGACCTCTCATCTAGCTAAATATGTGAACTCTTTGGGTCTGAAAGTCCAAATGAAGTTTGCTTTTAGTTTTACCAACAAATTTGATTCGGCCCTCCTCAATTAGGTCAGGACAATCTTCTCGCACGTTCCTGGTTGAGATCTCAATCAGCTCCGGGATGTGTTCCAAACCAATAATGCATCCTGAAGAACCCACCATATGTGCCATACAGGCTGTCAGATAACCGGAACCGGAGCCCACGTCCAAAGCCTTAGCACCATTTTGGAGTTGATCGGAGAGAATTGTAAGAGCGTAAGCGTGCTGTAAATAATTAATTTGGTTATTTCAAAAAATTGTCTTGTTCTCTACATTCAATGTTTCATAGACTAATTCTGGACCATTCAATACTGGATTCAGAACTGTTAATGAATGATGAAAGTTATCGTTTTGATTATACTAAATAATGTTATCGGCTAGGAAATTTCCAATCATTGATAAATATGTGCTTTTGATATAAATAATGTAGTACAGTATGATAATGGGGTTATCGATACCCTCATTCCGTAGAGGGATTCGAACAACTAATATGTCAATTTGTTTGATTGTCACTTATTAATACGAGCAATTAATAAGGTGGAATTGGGAGTAACTGAAAATATCAATTAAAAAATCACATTCTCTTGTTAAAATGGTTTATGCTGTCTGTACCAAATAAAGTAATAAGGTAATCCTTGGTTTCACACGTTGGCTGCCGCAATAAATTTCACCGGAGACCCCCAAGGCAGTCAACGTGTTAATCATTCCTTCGCAACAATGCCCCACATGGATGATTACGTTCTTCAAATAGAATTCTGTTCTGTTTCACGAAATTACAACTATCACGTTTTCAGAAGCTACATTTTTGCTTACTTTGATGTCTAGACTTTTATACAAACATTTGCATGAGACCATCATAAATTTCTAGATCCTTAATACCTAAAACTACATTTAGTGAATTAGAAATTAGTGTTTTCTTTTTAAATACCATCAAGTTATTAGCTGTATAAATTCTAGTCTTTGAATAATAATTTAATCTAATGAAATAAATATTCTTATGCTTCATATTAATAATTTATAATTAGACCAAGAGACGAGTCAATAAAGTTTCTCACCAACAAATGTATGAATAAAGTTTCAGAGATAACATTCATAAAAATTATAAATGCCTATTGTGAAATATGAATAGTAAAATAGTTGTAATTTGAATTTTGACATACTGATTTTGTTCGATTATTCTTTAAATGGTTTAATTTGTCAATATGATAATTATTATACATCAGACTAGAATGAGTTGTTTGAGATTAGACGATAAATGGAATTAATTATATAAAATGCTAATAAACAAAAAACTCAAACATATCTTACCATATGAGGAGCACTGATTGTGACATTGTATCCAATTCGCCTAGGTCTATCCAAGTAAGGATCCAAATCATGGCAATACTTTGCTCTATCCACAGCTAACATTGCAGCCTCAGCTTTATCAGTAGCAAGTATACCAGCAGCTAAAAACACTCAGTATCAGTATAACGATAAATATGTTTCCATTTAAAGAATTATTATTCCATTGACCTTTCAACTTCTCCACCATTTCTTGATTCGTAGTTCCATTGCAGTGCCAAGCCATAGCTACGCTTATGTCAAATCCTGCGAACAAATCAGATGTTATTACAGATGGTCACTCCGATACAAACACAAATGGTATTCAGAAAGTTATCAGAAGATATCTAGAGAAATTATAGGATAAACCAATAACATTCCATTAAAGATAATATCCGAGTTATCATTATTAAAAAATAAAATTCATCATTAAAAAAATAAATGGAAAAGTACAACTAAGAACTGCAACTTAAAAGAGTGTCATTTTTCGAAAACTGTCTACATTTGTCTTGTCTGAAACCTGGTGTACAACCGTAATGGACTGTCAGAGTTCTTGACCTTTGGTGGTGATTTTAAAGTGTAGAGGGGCAAACAGCTGTGACCCTGATATCGATTTAGTAGAAGGTTGCAAGCGCCCTCAAAACACCAGTCATTCATCTATTGGCCTACCTTACGAAATGGGGTAGAGTTGAAATTTCCTTGAGTTCAACTAAAATCAACCCAGGTTCCTTCAAAACGTTCAAAGTGAACGGTTCACTGGTGTATTTGTATTAAAAAAACAACATTTGACAGAGTATACAAAATTGTGAGCAAGGAGTAAACAGTACTTTAATCGATGGCCTTTATAATAAGATACCTTGAACAAACTTGTGATAAAATGAAAAAGGCGTAGAAAAAAAAATTATTAAGAAAAATAATAATTCCATAATTTTTTGTATCATAGTACATGTGTTTGATAGTATCACGTGGAAAAACTCATGTAATTATAAGTTTTGTTTATTTTTCTTCGTTTGATATAGTTCTGCGATTTTCTTAGGAATTTTAAACCGCAAATCAGTTTTGCTGATACATACGACTAAGTTTTTTCCTTCGTTATGTCGTATCATAGTTCATCTACTGATACTACGGAGATTCAGATGATTTACGGGCTCTTGTATCATCTGACTCTATGCAATTAAAAGTTCCGCTTTTCGATGTTATTTATTCTACTATGATAAGTGCCAAAATGAAGTTAATAAGTTCTCAAATATGATCTTTGTTTAAAACTTTAGATAAAATACATGTAAATCCATGTTAATACATACTGGTATTAAGTGACGATGTCAGTATATTTTTAGAAAACCTTGACATTTTTTTAAAACGGTAACATATCTTGAAAACTATTGATAAGTAATTTTTTATATTTAGGAGAATTAGATTCATATTTAATATTTATGTATGTATATTTGAGAATTTAGGCACTATTATAATTAATTGTAAATAAATCAAATATTTTTAGCTATTTAATATACGTTATTCGATGAACGTGAACGACCAATTTCGTGAAGAGCTCCCGCGAAACTAATGCGCATTTCGAGACTGAAACTTCTTGCGTCACTTTAAAATAAGTCAGATGGAATAAAAGAATTATGAGAATCGGGTGAAGGGATGTAAAGAAAAAGATGAAGAAGAAAAAGGATTGGAGAAGAAAGTAAGAAGCAGAAAGAGATGAATGACAGGAATCGAATCTGCTTAGAATATTTACTGTATGCTATAAAAAAGTGACGTGCATGGTTGATATTCACGTGGTAAAAAAGATAAGAATTTTCTTGTCGGGGGAGTACAATTGCTATAAATTGAAGTAAAGAGGATCGCAAGAAACACAGTTGAGCATCCTCTCTTCTTGAAACAAGAAATGACGTAGAGTGTATGAAAGATCTGTGCAATTAAATCTGTGGAGGTCCCGAATATAACATAGAGTATTCTTTAGTAAAACATACATTCTATAAGAATTCCGGCTGACTTATTTTAACTGATAAACTGAGTTACTAATTATTAAATAAGCATAATAATAAAACAAGTCATTAGTTGACTGATAAGTGACAGTCGTTGTATAACAATTTTTTAAAATGGAGACAAAAAAGAAAACTCCGGCAGAGCCAGGGCAAATGCAACAAATTGTTGCGACTGCAATCGGTGAGTTGAATAGATAAAAATTATTATATTTTTATTCAATCTCATTCTTCATTATTAATATTTATTTATATGTTTTTATTCATTATGGATTTTCAGTTAATTTGTCAGCATTGATCTATGGCACCATAGTTGGTTGGGCATCCCCAATGACTCCTAAGCTTCAAAGTCCTGATCCACCAGTGGGATTAACTCCAATGAGCGATGAAGTAGTATCCTGGTTGACTGGTGTGCTTTGCATAGGTGCACTTATGGGAACACCCGTTTTTGGAGCGATTTCAGAAAAGTTTGGTCGCAAGATCGCCGGATGTCTTCTAACCATTCCTTATGGAATCTGCTGGATAACGACGATCTTTGCTCAAGATCAAACTTATCTTCTCGTAGCCAGATTTTTCGCTGGTGTAGGTGCTTCCGGGTCGATACTGCTGGTACCATTGTATGTGGGTGAAATAGCCAGTAGTGGAAGACGAGGGATGTTGGGGAGTCTTCTGGTCTTGTTCATCAACGTCGGCATCCTGATAGGTTTCGTGGCTGGAGCTATACTTTCGTTTAAAGTTTTTGCCATATGCGCACTGGTACTACCATTATGCTACCTGGGAGCTTTCGTATTTTTGCCCGAAAGTCCTGTTTATTTGGTGCGATGTAACAGGACTAAAGACGCTGCGAGGTTGGTTAATAATTTTATTACTTGTTATACGGGAGTTTCTACTGGATTTTTATTAACATTCTTTCTCTGCAATTTAAAGGGCTCTTCTGTGGTTGAGAGGAGGTGACAAACCTACAGTTGACCGGGAATTGTTAAGCTTGCAAGCACAAGTCAAAGAAGCTGCTGCCCTGAATGGAAAAGTTAGTTTTAAAGATTTATTTGCAAATAAGGGCACTTTCAAGGGACTCATTATAGTCTTGGGTCTTTTGGGTGGCCAACAGCTTTGTGGTATTTTTGCAATGGTAAGTTTAGTTTTTATAAGCGTTTATCATCATAATGACATTTTTAATCTAATTTTTTTAATTCATAATTTTTAGGTCAATTATGCAGCAACGATATTCCAGATGGCAGGAAGTTCAATGTCACCAAACACGGCTTCAATAATAGTAGGAGCTATTCAGGTATTCGGTTCCTATTTGTCAACCAGCTTGATGGAGAGGGCTGGAAGAAAACTTTTGATTTTAATATCCTGTATAGGGATGTGTATATGTCACTGCACTCTAGGAACCTTTTGCTATTTGCAAGCCTTAAAATATGAAGTTTCATCCTTCAGTTGGATTCCTGTAACTGCATTATCAGTATATGTTGTAGTATACTGTTTAGGAATGGGTCCAGCACCATTTGTAGTAGCATCCGAAGTTTTCAGTGCAGAAATGTCAAGTCTGGCCAATTCAGTGTCTCTTATCTTCCTTTGGGCACTGGGCTTTTTCGTTGTCAAGCTCTTTGGTACATTCATGGGCCTTTTTGGTATACATGGTTGCTTCTTCATACTGGCTGCATTCTGTTCCTGTACTTTTGTCTTTACTTTGATATTGGTACCAGAAACCAAAGGCAGAACAATACAATCCATCTTGGATGAACTTAATGGGTTTCCAGTAAACTCTCACAATGGAGATTACAGAACAACTAATATTGAAGTAAAAAAAGATTTTCCAATACCGGAGCAAGTTTGACCATATATTAAACACTTTGTTCCATTTCTCATATCATCTGATATCGTAAATCTTTAGAATCCGCGACCAAACCATATTTAAAGTATTAATTTATACTGTCCCTGTTTATACACATTTTGAAAAAGATGCAAATTTTTAGGATTATATTATTTATCGACATGACACTTATCATGTGTCAGTAAGACATAAAATATCGACAGAGTACTGATTACCACGGTTACAATAATTTCATATATCACTTAAATTCATTCACAATAGGACTAGCAAGTGCAGTGAATGTATCATGTATTTTACGTAAGTTACAATTAGTATCAACGTTGTTTTAGGGTGATTACTGATGAAACCTTCATCGATATGCATACCTGGCTAAGAATTTTGTAACAGAAACAGTCTTCCCAGTGAAGTTTCCTTCTGAAGATGTATTCGCTTAGTTTGAAAGATATTCTTGCTCTTTCTTCGTACTTATATTTTCAATTAAGGATTGACAAAATGTTAAAAGTATTGTTTGGACGACAGAGCTTTAGGATCTCGCGTTGCCCTTTTTTAGGGATTACTGCACTATTCAGCACTATCTGTCCATCCGCCATTAGTAGTGTTGGCTGGTGTTGGCATTCTTCCCTGTGACGTCATGTTCTCTAATAATTGAGATATAGTGGCGACACTATGTGGCGAAATGAAGCAACATATCGAATATAGCTTAAACTGCCGACATTTTCATCGGTCGGTTCATTTGAATTAAATTATGAAATTGCTTTTCACACGGTAGAATGAGAATCTACTTTTTAATTACTATAGTGTAATGCATAAAGAAACGGAGCCATATCTTAGTACTAGATTATTTTTTCTTACATTGTTACTAGAATACGCCGTCATAATTGGGTCGCGAGATAAATTGCATTTCGTGGGGCCAAGTGTCTTATGCTTTACAGTGTAAAAGAGTCACCTAAATTAAAAAGTTATTTCCCGATCCAATTATATGAATGATTTACAGTATAGCATTGCGATTTACATAATTGTTAAAGATTCTATTTATTGTTCGTCTGTAATTATTTGTAATAAAAAAATATATATTGTACTTTAAATACGATTACGTTCATTTAAATGCATCCTTTGTATAAATCTATTCAGTAATTGATTGTGAAAATATTTATTTTGATCAATCGTCGTCCATCCTCCTCCGTACGTTCTTATTTCCAATTTTTCGTTTTTTAAACATAGTGGGTGCTCCCTCGTCGTCACTATTTCCGCTGGAAATATGAGAAATTGTTTTTTCTTTGAAACTCCTCGTAGGCATAATCGGTTCGCTGTGTAGTGTTGGAACACTAATGGTAGCCCCCGTGGGTTTAGGCAACTGAAGATCAACTGGTTTTCTCTCGCTGAAACCGCAAGAAGATAAAAAAAATCTAAATCTAATCCCACTCCAACATTCTCGGAATGATCATCATCCAATTAAAATTGTGATACTTGCATGACTTGGACGGTTTTCCAGGCGCCGTAAGGATCCGGTTTTTCTGGGACACTGTAATCCCTCCTATAAGTGGGCTTTTCATCGTCCTCGACCTCGACTTCGTGTTCACCATCTTCCTTTTTCTGGACTCGTTTCTTTCTCAATTCTTTCAGTTTTTCTCGCTCAGCATTAGCTCTTTGTTCCTCGATAATATCAGCCTTCTGAACGGCTTCCTCCTGCTCTAACTGTTCTAACAATTCCTCCTGAATTGCCTGTTCTTTTGCCTCCTCTTCCTGCTCTGCAAAAGTCATGAAACCCTCTGCCGGAGGATCCCACGCCGATTCTAAAAGCAAAGTACGGCCATAAAACCGAAAAGCCTAAAGAATATACGTAAGAGAAAAGTAAAATTTCAAAGTGAACAGTTACCATTTGTCTCTATATGCCAATAGTAGGTGTAACCTTCAGGACTCAGAGCTTCGTACCAGAGTTTTCGAGTTTCTAGTTTATTGGGGCGATCATTCTCCTGGATCTTCTTACCCTTGCCTTTACCTTTACCCGATTTAGACTTCCCCTGGGCCTTGTTCTCGCCTCCTACTCCACCAGAAAACGTACTCACTCTAGGTTGTGGCGCTGGTCGTGGTTGCGGTGCAGGATCACAGGGATCAATCTCCTGTGGGAACTACAAGATGAGATAAAAAAGCCGGATGAGTACATCGTTTCGAACTTTATCGAATTTAACTTGGCAGGACCTCAATTTCCTGCGGTAGGTATCACTCACGTTTCTATGGTTCTTGCCCTTAAACCTCGGATGTGTTTCCGGCGCTGCGGGTGGCGGCCGATTAACGTTTTCTACGGGCTAGAAAAGAAATTTGATTTTTCTAATACAAAAAATAACATAAAATCTATATAAAAAATTTTATTATATTTCATTTACCTCGGGTACTTTGCTTTTAGTTAATTTCTCTTTTATTATTTTATCCGCTGTCATGTCTCTGGTATTGTTCTCGACGTCCTTGAGATACGCCGCCATTGCCGCCTAAAATATTAATTTTTTTGTTATACAGTCATTAGGAAATTTTTTATCTCTTAAAAAATTATATTGTACATACGTTTTCCATCTTCTTGAGATCATCCTCGAATTTTTTGTTTTGCTTGGCTTGCTTAGCGCTATTCTTGTGAATCTCACGTAACCGTCTACTGACATTCTCCTTGTGTTTCTTTCCTCCTTCATGGAATTCAATACTTGGCTTGTTATCGGCAATCCAGCACTTGCAGAAGTCGCAGAACTTACGTCCCTGAGATTTCCAGTAATCGGCCCTGGAAAAGTCACATGAAAGGGGATCGTGTCACACAATCAGTTCAAGACTAGATATTATTATTACAACACAATCTTATCAGCTTGCGAAAAGTCCGATTCTGTAAAGTTGTGCCAAAGCTCGTTTACCATATCGGTATCTACTAAAGTCATACTTGTACCATCCTATTTAGAGGTTATACTGAAACCAGCCAGTCTTTGTTGGAAACTTCATACAAAAAAAACAGGATGAACGACAAAAACGTACTCTAAGAATTTTCAGACGCTGATAAGACGTTTAACGTTTATCCGCAGTTACTGAAAGAATATCTTTGATAAAAAAAAAATAATAAAATTCACAACCATAATTCTTTTCTTTCTGTCTCGTAGAATATTCCACTTTTCTTCCTTATCGACTAACGGTAATCGAAATTCCAGATACTCCCGATTTAGAAAGAAAAAAAAAAGTATCAAATCTGTTTCGTATGAAGAATCGTAAAGTCGGACACTCTAAAGAGTTACGAGTAAATACACAATGCAGCTCGTTCGGGCTGAATGATTTTTTTTTTACAGACAGAATAAAGATCAGATTCGTTGTAGGTATAGATACGAGGTCAGCCAATATCCTCGTGCAGTGAAATCTCGATAATCAATGAAGTTCATGTTGGATTTTATCAGTGATAAAAGTTCAACTCACGTCCTTGCTTTTCAAAATCGTAAAAAGATTCTTCCCTGTTCAGCTGCAGTTCATTTACCCTTTCATACTTAAGCATATATATATATATTCCACATATGTAGTCTAAAGGTACATTAGCTGAACACGTTACGCTAGGCTTGGTTGACCTAGTTTTTAATTTTATTTAATGTCTTTCCGATGCACTTTGTTTCCCACATGCGTGGTCAGACAGCCTCACGTGTCTAGTACCCAGCAGTAAAAGGAAGCCAGAGTGAATTTTCAGATTATTATTACCCGACAAATTAAATTATCCGAAAGATAAGCAATACATAAAAAATTTATTATATAATATAACCTCAAAATATTTCATAGGCCCAAAGAAGACGGGTTGGATTAAAATATATATATCTAAATATATAAAATTAATATACGATGACTCATTATATTCAAGTAGTCCTTCCTGTTGTTACCAGACGAATTCGTACACTGGATACCTTAAATTAGTTGGCAATTAGCCGACGGCTCTCGCAGCCTTGAGCTTCATCAGTGCACTTGGCCTTCCCATACGAATTTGCAGTTGCAGCTGCAACAGGGCTGATTCATTTACAAGCAAAAGGTCACGTGAAAAATTCGCTCTGTATAACATAAAGCCATAAGGGTTATCATTGCGTTAAATTTAGAAATCTGGAAAATTCTTTTTTTTCTTTGAAATGATCAGTACGCTTTCCTTTAATTTATTCGTATACCCAAGAACATAGTTAGGGGTGTAATTGATAATGGATTAACGGGTTGTCAAATCCAGTTTCACGACTTGTCATTCCCTGGCGAATACATGTTATGCGTCGCAACGGTAAAATGGCAGAGGAAAACGGCAATGTTAATGCCGGGCGTCGGATATATATTCTATAAATATCTGCATCAATAATGCTTTATATTACGAGGGTTGTACTCCACCCTCGTAGCCCACCCTTGTACTTTGCTACACGACACATTTCGTATGGAGCTTCATGCGATAGCCGTGCTGAGATTTCACCATTACCTTTATAATAATTTTATTATTTTCCAAAATCCTTAAGCCGATGTACAATCAGAGTTTTAATTCCCCCTAAAAGATTAACGCAATGAAACTTTTAAGTAGTATTAAGCTTTTAGTTGAAAATTTTAAACCTTTGTCACTCTCCCTAAAGTCACTTCCGACAGCGTCAACTTGTCACTGACATATATACACAACACCGTCCCGTCAGCTTATCTGATTAGTCAAGTTTATTTTTACATTTCTGCTTTTCGATCTTTCCTTCAAATTTCTTTTTTATCCTCGACAGTCTTAACGAGCCTCACATTTTTATACCGATGACAGATGACCTCTCGCATTTTATTCTATGAATTCCGATTATCAACGGCGATTGGTGCGACGGACGTTAGAGTCGCAAACGTTCCACTTTCTGCCGCTAGGTAGCACTGCCGTACCTATACGGTTATAACACGCGACATGACATTCTGTCACGTTCTTAATGTACGTTGGTTGTATGTTTCTAAGCTTTTATTATTTATTTATATTTATTTTAATGTACTCAATGAATCGCAGTGTCCATGCCAAAAACGTGACAAATCTGAAAGCAACAATGCTAGACTAGCTCGTATGAGAATATCGAACGACAGGTTTAAACTGACGTTGCGTCAAACTCCTGACGGACAATTTGCGTTCGAGATTTGTAGGATCTGTCTTGAAAAGTTTCGTGGTCACAGTGTCTGGCTGATTTCCAAAAGTACGAGAGCGGAACGACACAGCGTTTAAGGCACGTACGAATTACAGCGATAATCAAAGGTTACGATGGGCACTGATTGAAAGAAAAATTTTTCTCTCCCGAGTTAAAATGAGAATGTCAGATCTTATAAAAAAAGGTAAGTAAATAAAATTGTAAATGGAATTATTGATTTCCTGAGAAAACACGGTACGTAATATTTCCCTAGATACAAGATATTCCCTAGACAATCATAACCCAACCTAAAGATATATCACGTCACGTTTTGACACGACCTGTAGTACCACACTACTGTCTATATCAACCCCAGCGTTATATTCCTCACGAATTGCAATCGCAAGGCGCATTCACGTTTCTCCAAAGGAAAAGCAACAGGTTTATAATTTTGCCAAACGACGCCGAAATCGATAACCAACCAACAAGCGACACGACGTAGAGCGCCGCTACGCTGGTCTCATTTATTACTTTTCAACCCCCATGAATCGAATATCCACAACGCTATATCCTGAACCCACCATTTGGTCCACGTTTATTATTAATATTCTTCACACCCCAATCCACCCTCCGAGCTTTATTAACCCAACAAATATCCCTTCGCGGCACCTTTTTATTTTCCTATTACGCAGAAGCAACAGGTATAAACTTAGCAAAGGCGATAGGGGATGAATGGGCATATATATATATATATATACATAGAAAAGAACGTAATCAACCCCTACTAATTACACTTCACTATAACTATAGGTCATGCTATATTGCTCAGCAAATATTAACTCGATTTAAAATTCCCACCATTCTCCGTTACTCAATTTCCCGTCGATCCTCTTCGTCAATGAGTTACATCAATTTTCCGAAATTATCCAGCCTTCATTATCAGCCGTCAGACGTTGTTATCAATGGCACCGCATTGTTGTTATTATTATTAGAGTGCAGTGTCACGACAGCGATTAGTTGCGTATTGAATTTACATCTCGCTGTGAGATTCATTGAGATTTGTTCTCTCTACCCGCTTTTATACGTCCTCGAAATCATTTCCCTGGATGATCCCTTTTTATTCCACTTCGTTCTTCCCTCTCGCTCTTATGCCTATGCCACGGGTACAGAAGTGAGAATATATGCCACTGATTTATAGGAGCTTTTATCACGCTCTTAATGCTCATTGGATCTCTAGGTACGGTCGCGATAAAACGTTTCCGAACCATTAAGACGATTCCTGATTAGCCCGTCGGCTTGCTGAGGCGCTCGATGTTATTTTTGTATTTTTGTATTTCTGTACGGACAGAGACGATGAGTCGTCCATATGTATATGTATTTAATGTAATATATATATATATATATATATATATATATATATATATATATATATATATATATATATATATATATATATATATGATTTAAAATTCCCACCATTCTCCGTTACTCAATTTCCCGTCGATCCTCTTCGTCAATGAGTTACATCAATTTTCCGAAATTATCCAGCCTTCATTATCAGCCGTCAGACGTTGTTATCAATGGCACCGCATTGTTGTTATTATTATTAGAGTGCAGTGTCACGACAGCGATTAGTTGCGTATTGAATTTACATCTCGCTGTGAGATTCATTGAGATTTGTTCTCTCTACCCGCTTTTATACGTCCTCGAAATCATTTCCCTGGATGATCCCTTTTTATTCCACTTCGTTCTTCCCTCTCGCTCTTATGCCTATGCCACGGGTACAGAAGTGAGAATATATGCCACTGATTTATAGGAGCTTTTATCACGCTCTTAATGCTCATTGGATCTCTAGGTACGGTCGCGATAAAACGTTTCCGAACCATTAAGACGATTCCTGATTAGCCCGTCGGCTTGCTGAGGCGCTCGATGTTATTTTTGTATTTTTGTATTTCTGTACGGACAGAGACGATGAGTCGTCCATATGTATATGTATTTAATGTAATATATATATATATATATATATATATATTCTAAGAGTAATAAAAATAAATCAACTTCTACTCGTTTGATCCCCCTAATGACCCGATTACACGACGTAACGAAAATTAACAGCCAGTACCAGGATAACGTGCAGGATTGAAAACAATTGTGATTGTTTCGTATGAATTTTACAAAAAAAAAAAATATTTGAATTTGAGTGTAAAATTTTTTTTTCGAAATTTCTACCAGATATTCAATGCAGAAGGCCGATTACGCTTTCGAACAGTGTCATTCGTAATATTTATTCGTTCGACGTAAATTCGTCCATCCATTCGTCCCTGTTAATGGAATTATCCACAATTCCCGAATGTTCTCCCGTGTAAGCCAGACTTAAACTAGACAGTCAGCTCTGTAACGATGTAAACATACCGATTTATACGAATTAGACTAAGCTCGTTAAATCCCAGTAGCAGCGACAGTGGGGCTTCCAAAGAAAACGACGACAAGGTCGTTTCATAACAGTGTGAATTAATTTTTCTTTTCTTTTTACAGATTCAGGCGACGATTGAACGCAATGTCGTCGTTGGTAAAAGCATTAAGGAAAAAAGAAAAGTACATCGCTTGGCTCGAATATCGGCACAGCGATTCGTAACAGCCGAGAGACAATTGTCGCAGAAGCTAACAATAGACGACCTAAAAACTGTTTTGCCACTGGATGCATGTATGCAGGCTGACGTGCACGTGGGAAATTATGCGCATTCGTCACTACGGCCTTATCCGACGTGCCGTACAGAGAACAAGTAATCAGGAGGATGACGTCCTGGAATAAGATCTGTGACAAGGATCGCGACGATCGCAAAATTGGAAATGCGACGTATCTCCAGGGTGATGATAAACCGAAGTTACATAGTTATAAGTTATAAAGTAAAAAATTGATAAGATCTATAATAATTAAAATCAAACTCTGTATATCAAGATTAATGCTGACGAAGCTCTGCTTTGAGTTATCCGAATTGATTGTAAAATCTACAGGGGGTTTCAGAAAATTAATGTGAATCTATCGGGTTGGAAATCTATCAGGGTTGCTCATTCCCAAAAGGTCTCAATCGGCAACCTGATTGGGAGGATATTAATTAAGAGTAAATTGTTTAGAAAATATGGTTGTATACTATATACATATATATGATATATATACGTGGGCGTGTGATCAATCATGATCAGAGTTTGATCTGGACTGGATGATCTCGGCTTGGAAATGAATTTATTAACGTAGCCAAGTAAGATCTATTTTCGTTCTAGCTTTGGTCTTTGTGTACGATTAGGATGCGTTTACGAAACGTTATACAGCTTTGCGTTTGATTGGGATAATAATTTTGATGTTATTAGTCGTTATTGCAGAGACGCCAATGAGAGTTGACGACTAAGCGAGTTGCGTTGAAACTGGAACTTCCGGCGAGTAGACATTGGGACATGATTTACGGGCTCCAATAAATTGTCCTGGTAACTGGTTTGGAGACTGGTAACTGTTGGAGGTTTGAGGGTAACTAGGAGGCCCATAAAAATGATCATCGAGACCTAAAAAATGTAAACAGTCAGATTACTCTCTTGTCACGAGATAGTATAGGATATAAGCAGGAAATTGAAAAAAAAATATTTGAATTTTTCAAAGTATCCATAGTCCAGTTTCAAATCAGCTTTGGAACAGATGTTCCTGATGCTTCGAGAATCGGTACGGTTATCGACCAACTTCACTGCATAGCGTTATCGCGTCTTTTCAGTTTTCAACAGACAAAAGACCAGACACGCAATTGTCTTGTCGCCCATTTACAGATACTCAGTCATGATAATAACGAAGTACCTAACCTTACCTATCCTGCTTAGTACAGAAAGGGACGTTAATACCTCATTAGTCGATTCGTTTGAGTGTTCCTTTCGATTCGCGAAGAAACGTTCGCAACAGGTTTTACATCGACATGCCAGCAGCACGCAGGTAATAGAATCTCCCGTTAAGTTGAGATGAATAATTTTCAATTCAGCGAACCGCTATGAAATATACTTCGATATTTTAGCGTGGATTCTTTCGTATTCCCAATTGCCTGAAATTGAAAGCAATTAGAGTGGCTCATTCGGTTCGCCGACAGTCAGATAAATAATGCTAGTAGCTTCGCCTCGAGGGGTCCTTCGATCAAGTGCAGATAGGGAGGGATAACGAAAATTTCAAAAATAACTTTACCCGAACAAAATTTTGTCAAGTCCACAAACTATATCTATATCTGTAAGCAGGTACCATCCGTTCTTGTGGGCAAAGAAGAAAAAAAAAAAAAGTATAAAAGTCTTGACCCAACCCGCGAGAGCCAATGGATTTTATTCTGGTTTCCAGAACGTTTTCTAGTGCCCGCAGAGGATCCTGAGGGATGCCTGGAGATGAATGACACTCGAGGGAGATGAAAGGGTAAGGGTTGAAACTTTTCGTAGAGGACACCAGTAATTATCGCTGGAGAAATAAAACGAAGGATTCGATGAGATTGGAACTAAATGAAATCGAGATGCCCAACGTCGCCGTTGATATTACTTCCGATCGTAGCCAAGATTTCAGGATAGAAAAGATTGGCCGGTTTCCAATGATCGTTCGATCCTCGGTACTCGTGCGCGTACCTGCGGTTGCAGGTAGTAGAGTTATATTCAACTTTTCAAAATTTTTCTAACGATAAATCTAATACAATAAAACATGGATGTGACAGGGTAAATTACATTTATAATAAAATTTTTTCAAATTATGTTTTTACCTCTGGAGCTTATTAAGTAGTCGAAATTATTGCGTAAAAAAATAAGGGGCTCTGTAAAAAATATATATATATATAATAGTAATAGAGCTTTTCTTACTTTATATGGAATACAGGTATTCTTCATATGGAGCTTTCCTACTTTCATTTCATATAAAATTAAAGCACCCTCCTCTGTACTGCCCAATAGATTACATTCCCCGGTGTGGCATTCTGGGTAGAAACACATGGTTGGCAATATACACATGGTATATCCTAATGCAGGTGCAAACGTGTGAGCTTGCGAAAGCACGAGGTTGCGACAATGAATGCGGCTGAAGTAATTCGGGTCGAGTGGCCCAGAACGAAACGACAGTATTAGAAGCTGGAAAGCTTCTATTTATTGTCGGCTATGTATTGTTACACGAAAAAGCTCTATGCCTATTTTATATTGTGGATTAAGCTTTAACTTGGTTATAAATCAAGGTCTTGTTGTCTGCATTCGCATCAATTGAAGCTTTTCTCAACTTTTTTTTCTATGTAGGTGTATACACACAATGGTATTTGTATTTATAGGTTATGCTTGATTCACCCAATAACATTGGCTCATAAGTCGACTGGAACGCTCTCTAGGTTGTTGCGGTAAGACGAGTAAGCTTTCGGCTAAATCTGTTCAAGAGCAAGACAATACCTAGAACCCGGAACTTCCTCTGTAAACCATCCTGAACTCTTGTTTCTTTCGTTTCAGTTTACTTTAGAGTTCGTTTACGACTGACCAATGAAGACTCGGCCGTATTTCGCGGATTGCGACATATTTTGACTGGCGCGAAAATCACGTTGCAAAGGCTTTGCGATTTGTGCGTGAATAAAAATAAGACGAAAACAGGAAACAGGGTGTCTGAGAGGTACATTGTTATTTATGGATTTACTTATAATTTTTTTGTATTCTTCGCGAGCTTTTGGAAATTGGACACTTTAATAATCGAGTACGAACCTATGAAAGAGTCGAAATCGTGAGGTATCACACGGAACTCAAATAACAGTAAAATAAAAATGTAAAAAAAGAGATCGTAAAAGACGCTGGAGCTATCTACGACAAAAAGGTAGGTGGACGTCTACGTACCCTTATCAATTGAAAATCAATCGATATCGATCAGATCAATCGGCATACTGCGGCAAAGTCCCTGGCACGGACTCCCCTACGTCCTCGGCGTGTATCCGCAAAGTTAAATTTACCAGACTCGCGCCGTTCATGTTCCGGAAACATTCACCATTGTGAAGTCGGCACCATAAAGTATCGTGAAACCGAATGAAAAATAATCTACAACGAGCCGATAGCCTCGCGCTTTACGTACAATCGGCCATTTTGAAATAATTTCGGCGAAACAACAACGGCACGAGATACGTAAATCAACTGTCGCGCCATATCACGTGCATCAATACATAGAAATTGAAATATCGCCAGCTTCCATGGACTCGTGACTAATACACGAAATCTATGGACACATTCGCGAATGCAGAAATCAGTTTAGATTGAAGATTAAAAGAAGATATAGACATAACGGTTTGTCAACGTTAATACAGACACGCTATACAATTTTTCCGAACGTTAATAGGAACAATGGGACAATGCGAAGTCGAGCGTCGTTGGGAATTATAAATAATAAAATGAAAAGTACCTGCTGAATATTTTCACTGTGCAAAAAGCCAATTGTTACCGTCAGGTAAATATTATCTTGGCTCACAATAGTCCCAGGGAACAATGATGGCAGTTTTCCAAAGAAAGTCGCGATTCTCACTGTTTCGCCGAATTTTTCTTCGAGTTCCTAGCAACAGATACACGCCACTCACCGAATAAACAGAGTAATCGTTGATCGTGATGAAATCCGTAATTTCAAGTCCGTTTCACGCTTGTTCTTGGCAAGAGGTTAGCCTGGTCGACATAAAAGCGATCAGACAGCGACGGCGACGACTGCGCCAATTTTCAAAGGGACGGAGACGAGGTGAATCAAAACAAAAGGCTCTACCGTCCACCTAGGTTTATACGCAGGTGGAGACATCTGAAATTAAAGTTACTGAAAAGCATATTCAAATACTGTAATACCGCCAGGAGAGAAGTCAATTGCTACATAGAATCAAAATGAAGATTCAGCAAAAATCTTTGTAAACACGAACCGTCCAGATGCGGTCTGTTGTTTTAAATATAGTTCGTAGTTAGTGCGCGATTGAAACAAATGAAATTTACAAGCGGACTGTAATTCCATAGGAATATTCACACACAGAATGATATGCATTGCTGCGCGTAAATGTAGAAGGAAAGCAGAGAGAATCGGATGAGAAATATTTTCTGAAATTTTACAAATTCCACAGTGACGTATGCGTAATATGCAAATGGCGGTTAGGGGGATCTCCCCGACTAGATATAGAGTATGGAGCGCCGTTTCTTTCATTGATTTCGAAACGGTCCGACGAATTTGAGGATAAAAATGAAACCCAGGTTGGTAGGCGGTTCGGTACATCAGGCTATAGAAGTGACGGCCAAGGATTTTCCCGTGCGTGAATTAAATATGACGGTTCGACGAGGATAAACAAGCACGTTGGATGCGTTATGCGAACTACTGAGTCGGACTTGAAAAAGCAAATTTCGATGGAGAACGAATGGACGAGACACGTACGTCGAAAGGGAACGAAAACTTGTCGAAAATATTCATCGAGCGACAATGGACACTAAATGCTAACTAGCTGCCAAGTCAAACATAAGGTACCTTCGGCGTAACACTCGTAAAATTTTTCGTTTGATCAGCCAACGTCCGAACAGCTGACTCCTTCGGCTAGCATTACGTGAGTATACACTATAATATACATATTACAGTATACTACAAAATATATATGCTTATATATATATACACACTTGAGTACATAACGCGCGAGCGAAGTTTGTAAATTGCGTGACGACATAACCTCTAAAGCAGAGTAAATATTACCTGTGCCAACTTACAATTAGATACTTTTTTACTCTGTACAACGAGTGATAAAATAATTGTATATCCTGCAGGACCTAATTACACCTAGTAACGACCTCGATGATGAATCCACAGCATCCACTGGAAATGAGATATGGCTTATTTTCAAGATCTCGGTAAATATTATTTCTCAATACAAATACGGTATCCTGTATTTAAAACTGTATCGAGTCTCTGTCATTTCCGAATGACGCACTACAGGGCCTTTCAACCGGAGCTAGAAAACCGTTTGAAACCCGTAGGTAGGTAAGGAAAGAATTGTTGGCAGGAAATTAAGAAAAAACTTTTCTCGTTCACGTAGCCACGAGGCAGCCGAATAAACGGGCCGGTTTCGCATCTGCATGGGTTTGCCAAATCAAAAAGTGATTCCGAAACGTTCAATTTCGCCGGGACCTGGCTCACTACCTCTAAGAACTAATTAAAACTAATGTACGCTACTGCCAATTGATATACGACGGGAAGCCAGTTTTGAAAATAACCTCGACTCGTCCCGCCAGCTCATTCGGGCGTCCTCTTCGGGGACGTCGGCGTCCTGATAATTTTTTGATTCTCGCGCTCTCTGGGCTAAGCCAACTTGGGCCTTTTTTCTGTTCGGCAACGAAAATCGTTATCTTGATAAAATGACTGGAGCTGTCGCTGCCAGGGACACAATAACAGGGAATCCCTATTGTATCTTTGAAAAAGGAGGAAAACATATAAAGAATGGCCTCTTATCAAACGTTACGCTACTGTCAGCTATTTTTGGGCTATGAACAAATTGATTGTGAAATTGTATCGTGCACACGAATGTTTTCACACTTAACGCGAGTGTCACGTATAGAAATATCAAACGTAGGCAGGTGTGAAGCCTAATGGTCTGGTACGAAAGTTCTTGAAAATCGATTCTAAAAGTAAAGGTCAGCCATCGCGTAAGTCTTTCGATAAACACCGAAGGCGTCATTGTCTCGAAGAATTACGTATGTTGGATCAGTTCAACTGAATTTCACGTAAAATGATCACGTATCGTGAGAGAAGTTCTTTAGATAAAGGAAATTTATGAATAATTAATGAAAGGCAAAGAGGGGAAGTCCCGATAAGGAACGTCTGCGCGGTCTATTGCAATAAACGGGGACTCCCCCAAGAGTTTCGCTACGACTCAGTAAATATCTACTAGAAGATAACGCAAATAAGATGAATGACCAATTAGGTAAATTATTAGCAGGGAAATTTTTCTAAAAAATTCTTTAAAAGAAAAAGACGGTTAACGATGATTTTCAATAATGAAAATAATTGCCGACGTATTAACCAGCCCATAAATCGGTTTAAATACCTTCGGCATTGCCGCGCAAATATTTCGACTGGGAGAACATTCATGGGCTTTAATAGCTTCGCAATAAATCTCGACACCGGTTATATGAGAATTAACGTTAATTCGTTCTCGGTCATGATCTATGTGGCTGCTGTCACGGAAAGTACGTACTCGTAAAAAAAAAAAGAGAAAAAGTATTCAATGAATAATATAGTAAGCGTAGTCAGGGATATAAAATTAAAAAAAAAAGTTCACGTAAATCATGGAATTAATTTGGTGTATTCTTGCTTTTTCAAGTAAAAGGTTTACCGTGAGGCTTTTGGGTATTAAAGGAAGCCTCTCGTAAGTTCCCTTTCTCGGATAACAGTTTTGAGGTTATAACGACTAATGAAAGTGCAAAGGGAAACGATCACCTGTAAATCATTGGGATTGCCAATCAACTGCTATCTTTAAGCTCGCCATTAATTGCCATAAAATCCATTTGATTCTATTTAAACGCTCTCAGACTGAATAATCGGACACGTTGCATTACAGCTGCTTATTTTACATGTTCGTCATATCAATTACTACGAGGATTCCGTCTGACCCTGTTTTATCGACTGTATCGACCATCATTATACCGACTGGGATTTGTCCAATTATACAAAGTGAAGAGTCAACAGGGATGAACGTTCGGTGGTCCCTTGGCGATTTAATTCCCGCACGTTACAGATTTATCATGACGAACTGAGAAAGTAAGACGGCAGTGTGCCGAGTGGAGTGGCTGCTGCGACGGATTTCAGTTAACCTATAAACGCTTGTGGCTGGAGATTAATGAATGCTCGGAAGATCACAGGTGTTGGGTATTGCATAAAATCTGAGGAGTGAAAATGTCTGAGAAAAATATTATATATCGTTTTCAATGAATTCACTGGGAAAAGGCAGAGCGGTACTTTTCATTAGATACACAATTGGCATAGAAATGGACTATGAATAAAGCACTTGCCATATTGTATAGGAACGTCATTGAAAATATTTTATTTCTTTTTGTTATTCGCTTACGTACAAGTATAATGGTATATATATATATTTAGGTAGGTACGTAGAATATTGGTAAAATACTTCTTGACTAGACTTAACTAGATTGGTCCTTCGAAATAACGACTTTTGAAGGGAAGCTGTCATGTTGATAGGGATATTAGTACGCGAGTCAGATTTTCATTATAGATTTCAGTTCGTTCATTATAATTGGTGGTTTTTCATTTTAGCGAGAGAATGTTTGGAAATTTTATTTCGAAAATTTTTTTTTTCGTTCGCTAAATTTCTTACTTCACGGTAATAATTTTTTTTTCTTAGCACTGCTTCATCCGCATACGATGAAACGGATGTGATGATGGGAGGACTCGTTGGAGTTTTTGATTTCCTGAAGCTTCCCAAGCCGGTGAGATATTTTGGCTTAAATAAAAATATAATTGTAGTTGGTCTCATGGGAATAGCCAATCCCTAGTCCTACGCGTGAAACACTCTGATCGTGGATCGAAAATTCATTGATCCATGAAGAATAAAAAAAGGGAATCAGCAGCAGTGGTTTTATGGGACTAGGTGAATGGGACGAGATGAAGTCCCTTGATTAGCACGAGGGTCCCTATGCTAGAGGGGACTTATTTTCTTTTATCGAGGTACTGCATTATACTATAACCAGCTCCCTTGACTGTTAAACTTTTCCTGGGAGCTTCTGCTTGGTCAACTCCAGTAGAAGAGGATAGTGCAGATCTGGACAGTATTCGGGATTGTGATTCAGCAGCTCCAGGTGTCTCGACCAGACCACCGGGTCGTAACGCTCCCATTGTTTGGTAATGAAGCCACGTTTGATCGCAGCTTCTGTGAATTTCTGGAATGTCGTACCGCGTCGCGGCGCCATCACCAGGGCGACGCCGCCATCCGCCAGCCATCCGTAGATCGTTTCCACCAGGTCCAGACGGGCATCGTCGAAGAAGAGACAATCGGCACTCAGGATCACGTCGTAGAGTCCTTCCGTGCGTCGCGATTCGTCAGCAGCCTCCGTGACCCACGTCTGAACTCGACAGTGTATATGAAAATCTCGTTAGAAAGTGTTGCCAACTTCGCGAGATAAAAGAAACTGGCCTGGTGAAATTTTCAAAAATTAATAACGCAAAATGACTTTTATCGTGAAGTTCTCTAAAGCTCCTAAGACTCGATATCGTTGGGACAATATTAATCCGCATATCGAAATTTTGGAAATTCTTGACAACTTAATATGTAAATTAATTCGAATCAACTCGAATTCCCACTCGCAAAGGGAATGTAATATGAATCAACTCTGTTTTTCATTATTGTCAAAATTATTCCACCGAATATAAATGACCGGTATACGACAATCATACCAATCTAAGTACAAGCGAAGAGAAGTAGAACTTTATCGATTCCACCAAATCCACGAAATTGGTATTTAGGTTTCTCCGTACTTTCCCCATGTGTACGAGAGCATGCCTATCGAAATTCAGCGTGAATTCGAATTGGCGCGGAAATTAAAACAGCACGGGTCACAAAGAACAAGGGTAATATTACGAACAACCGTAAAACGTGAATACAGCATATTACACAAGGTACCGGAAGTAGCTTTAAAGAGAAACGGAAGCGTTCAAATTTACCTATTCAAATCAATTCCAATACGCAATCGAGAGCACCGCTTACATTAGTGACAAAAAAATTCGAAAAAGATGAAATCTAAAAAATCCAAAAATATCTCTCTAAAAAAAAAAAATTAAAAATTACAAAATTATTAAGCCTCAAAAATTCACCTGAACCCGATTCCCATTGACACCAGCCTGTCTCAGCACCCTGGCCGCTCTCGCCCATTGAACTACGCCGCACTTAATAAAATCGGCCATATCGTTCCTGGCGATGATGCACCTGGCGTTGTCGACGCTGGTCACGTTACCATCGGTCAGGGTGACTCCACTAGGGGAACAATATTTAGCCGCAAAAACACCAGCCAAACAGCTCATACCACCACCAAGTTCCAGTACCATTTTATTTTTGCATATCCTGCGATTCTTCATCAGGTAATAAGCGAGACACTCTTCGGACGGCCAAACGCAGACGTTCCCAGTATTATTGAACCCGATCAGTTCGTTAGCCGTAAAATTCTTATTGATCCGTCGTATCTCCGCACTGTAGATCTTCGAATCGACAACCGCCGAATATTCATACCAAGAAGACTCAGGATCGGTAACGGCGTTCTCGAGGATCACGGGGTTAACCAGACCGAACGAGGTGAACCGTCTCATGGAAATTTCATCTTCCGTTTCCGTAAACGGTTCCGGCGACCTGGTCAAGGCCCTAGCCAAAAGCCTCCATCTCCTCTGAGCCGTACTGTGACTCTCCTTAGGATGACAACTACCAGCATCCCCCTTCACCAGGACGTCCCCGGACATCACGACGTCCCCGGAAGTCCAGTTCAGGACACGACGTACATGGAGAATCCCTCGGTACAACCATGCATGAAGTTCCTTATCCTCGCTCGCACTCTACTCGATTAGCATGCAAATTTGTCATGGCCAAAATTTTGTTTGTAAAATTTTTCAATCACGTCGAAAAAATTTTTCTTCACCAAAAAAATCTACTTCAAAATCCTCTGTCGTTCAAGGTATCCGAAATCTCTTGATCGCTTCGAGTTTTTATCACCAGGTACGGGGGACGAATAATGGACGAAGCAACGAGACAGACTAAAAGCCAAGCAAGTTCTAACTCGCGCCACGCGGCGGATCGGCGCATGCGCTTTCACCCGAGCCAATTCCCTTCTGCTGTACTATATAAGTTTCCTTCTGTCCTCCGTCTCTCTCCCACTCGTATTGAAACCCAACGAATCTGTCTCTCTCGCACTCACCCTCACTCCTGAGTATCCTCTTTCTACTATCCTCCTTGTACACTTTGCCAACACTCCTGGCTCCCTACCACCACCTTATTCTAGATTCCGTCACTTTTCTGCCACTGGCAATTAGTACGCTCTCGCGTTTCACGTGCAAAATAGAATTGGCAATGTTGTCACGTGATTATCGCTCATAATAGGCCAGTAGAATCGTCGCTAAGATTTATTTCCTACCCCTTACGGAAAACACGTATACGATGCTTCGAATTTGACAGGTTATAAAATTCAATATTTTTATTATGATTTTCCTACTCTTTCTTTTTTTTTAAATAATTCTAGACATTTAATACTAATTTCTGGTTTACTTTTTTTTTACATCAAACGTGATTGGATGCAGCTCGATATCGTGATGCAGAATTCTTGGCTGCTACTGAGTTTGATCGAGTGCGCTGTGAACGTTGCTGTTGGAATTTAACCATTTGTCAAGATCCTTGCCGTTTACGTGAATAAGACGAGTAGTTGCGGTATATGTCGATGACGATGCGCAGAGCCATTACTGTAGGTAAGTCAGTGTCCTGTAAAAATCTTAGGGGTGCAGAAAAGGAAAAAGATACTTTACGTGTTTATGGCATCGTTGTGTCGAGCGCCAAATGGGATTTATTAATTTTGGATCAAGTGCGATTGAGAATTTTTAGGTTAGTTTTCATAGCTAGCGAATCGGGTGCGCTTTTCGATTCCCTGTTAAACGCCGTCGCTCTAGCGTTCGAGTTAGGCTCGGCGAAGGTTTCTGTCGCGCGACGGAAACACCAGCGGCGCTGCTGCACCTATTTGTAACCATCTTGCATAATAAAGATGCTCCACAATAGACGCGGAAACACGGCCCAAATAATCCAATTGAAAATTAATTCGCCGTAACGAGAGGCTACGAAATTCAAGTGCACACTACGTGTGTGTATATATATGGGAAAACATTCGAAAATATAAATGACTGTACACGCGTCTCCTCGTAGAAGCTCAAAGTCGCCATAGACTATTTTCAGGCGCATCCTCAAATCGCTATCTCGTACAAGTCAGCGTCAAGTCATACATGCAACATTACACCAGCGTACAGGTGCGACCGAAGGTTGGTTTCCAAGTGAATAATGCAAAAGCCAACGCGAGAAAGTTTATTTGAATACAAGAAGAGTCGTGAAAATTTTATTCAATGGGAGTTTTCATTAAATTCAATAATCGGGAGGCAACCAATCGAAAGTTTTCAATAACGCGTCGTTCTTACGTCACTTTATAATATTTTTCTTCTTATTTTTCAAAGTCTTCTCTTTTTCTCTCAATAAATTTATTTCGCTCTCTCTCTCTCTCTCTCTCGCTGGGAAATACCAAATATATTCGTTCGTGACGAATCATCTGTTTTCAAAGGTGACAATGATATTAATACAGCCACAGCATAAAGGCGATATGATAAGTTCTTATTTGTTTATAAATTATTCATGTCCATTAAGGCGGAGCATTGATATACGTGTGTATAGAGAGTGACGTACGATTCAAATTGCGCGCCCTTTTGTCAATTTTATTCCGTCGTTGCAGGTCGCCCTTGACGCTCGACCACGTGACAGTCGATTTGAGGAAGAAATAAAGAAAACAGAAGACGAGAGAAACGTGAAAACGTCTGACTTGGCCGATCGTAGTGAGTTACGCAATCGGCGTGTCTAGTGGAAAAGGCCGCGAGATTGGGAACTACAATATCGCCCGTTGAAAACTGGCCGTCTGTCCGTTGGGCGCGATGATAGCTCGAAGAAGCTTTTGTTCCCTCGATATATTCGAGGATTCTTTCGTAAGCCGAGGAATAAATTTGTATGGAGGTGATTCGATGATTCATCTTAGACCTGGACTAGTATTTCATGGGACGAAACAGCTGAGTTTAAGGTCGACTGGGAATGATAATTATATTAAAACATTAATAGAACGAAATTTTTATTACTCGATGTTGGGAAATTAATTTATATGAAGATCGAGGAGCGACGGTCGTTATCCGTTCCGTTTATGATATCCGTTTGGTATCCAGTCGACGGATACCGAAAGGTGAGAAGAGTGTTAATCGATAAAACCAAAGTGTCGTAAAGTGGTGTTTTCTCTTTGCAAAAGACAAATTTGCCAATCTGCTTTGTCCTCCATTTTGCACGCGTCGAATTCATGATGCTATTAGTAGATTCAGTGGATAATGGGACGTCCAATTGACAAGGTGTCGTCTCGCCATTTAATTTAGCAAACAAACAGGTTAGTTTAGGTTACCTGAGAATTTTCACGAATTAAAAAGAGAATTTCGTTCGCGCTGTATTGACACTTGATACTAGATCAAAAGTCGAACTGAAACGATTTAATGCCGAGTGACGTAAAGATTAAAGGGTCTTAAAAAGAATTATATCATTGAAAACGGAGACTCGCCTATGATGGAGAATGGTTTTAAAGAAATATATATGTATAGTGAAGGTGAAAATGTCAAATTGACAGCATTGCGACTGGTCGAGTTTTCGATTTGCTGAGGTTTCTCTATTGTGGATATAAGTCGAGTATCTAGAGGGTCGTGTGGCTACGTTGGTTTCTCTACGGTATTGCGGCGTTTCTGGCAAAGCGTCCCGACGCATTGCGTCTAGTCGGTCGAAACCGGCCAAACGAGCGACGCCTCGATCCGAGAGGAAACTCTTTTAGCATTTAGCTAATAGCCTCGATATATAAATGCATAAGTAGCGCCTAAGTTGAGAATAATATTGCTGGTCGGCCAAATGTCCCAGATTCTCTTGTTTAAGGCGCGAGTTGTTACGGAATGCTGTTGTTGTGATGGGATACGGCAATGCTGGTTCGATTTGAGTGCATTGAGTAATAATATTGTTATGGCTATGTCGGAATTGTATTTGGCTGAGAGATAAAGGCACGTGATTGTACAATTGCGAAGTGACGTATTGTCCAATACTTCATTTCCTATTTGAAATTGTGACGGTTGGGTTGCTGCGGGAAAAACAAGGGACGAAGTTAATTCGCTTGGATTTGACACTATATGCTGCATTATAGGCTATCATTTTTGTTTGTTTTGATAGCTCCCTCCCGGGGTTTTATTTTTCTTCCGGCTCGATATTCATTCAATTTCAATCACTATGATTGAACTTGATTAATTTGTGAGCGAATCGACCGGGATGTTCTCATATGACGTAACATATTCTGACATCTGGCGGCGGGTTTGAGAATCTCGAAATCATCTTTGATACTAACTCGCGTTATTCCTTTTAAAGATAACTTCTTACTAAGTATTTAGTGGATAAGTTGTTTGTTATTGATTTACTGAGAATGTTTCATCGATTCTATTGCTTTGATATACAATGTTAAATAATTGAGTGTATGTACATAAGGGGCTCTTGGAAAACGAGTTCTTCCAATTTTCTTTTGCACACATATGATGATTTCCAAGGGGGAACAAACTTTGCGTTCGCATGTGGATAGGGAGAAAGTATGCAAATTCGTGGACAACAATCAATACTTTCTTTTACTTTTATAAAGGATATATGCTTGCAATTTAATATTACAAAAGTCTGTAATAATAGGTAGTGAAATGTACTTACATCTCGCCAAGTGTTGGATTCCAGGTTGTACACTGGGTAATATATTTAGTCTTGATTCGATATTAACAAATTTTTGGTTTAATTTCACTGACACAACATAACCTAAATAACAATATCATTTGTAGTTAAAACTTTCGTTAATTCACTGCTGTTGTTAAATAGCAAATGGAGTAGAGTGGAATACAGTCAACATTAATACACGTCACTAACATTATTTAGGTAGCGTTCACAATGAATGAGATGTTATTAATATTCGCGAAACTTTGCAGCATGTAAAAACTGTTGGTGTCACTCTTGTAAGGATCAGCTGATTGATGAACACTGCCGCCATCTGTGCGTGATAGTATGGAAATAGGAAATGATGCACTTTTGAACCCCGACAAAATGGCTGGTATCGTTCAGCATGATGTTACGAATAGTGTTTAAAAGTGGTTTAGGGCAGGCATATTGTCTCGATAAAAACGTATTCTGTTTTTTTATCGAGACAGAAATCGTCCCATGATGTATTGGAATTAATTGGAAACGCCACTAGAGAGTAAGGTCATACGGTACTGGTCGTATGCAGAATACCCCTTCCGTCGTTAAACGAATATTAATGGAGTGTGAACAGTCCTGATCTGGAAACGCTTTTGCTTCACGCTGATCATGTGGTAGAGTGTACACCGAAGTTGTATGATGCATAAGATAAGGTTCGACCCTGAATACAGCCCTCTCGTGAAGGAAGAATCGTCGCGGTATCGTATTGTTCTTCCATTTTCAAAAGTCGCCTGGTTCACCGTCTCTTTGCCATTTGTTGCATTTCTTTTTTGCATCGGCTGGTCAATTCTGTATAATTTTGAACATGCTACGTCTACACATTGTAAAGTAAGTTTTACAGATTAGATAAGTATATCTTACATCACTTGTTTCAGTCACTAATTAAGAGTTTGTTGTCATTGATTTTTTATTCTTGTTGAACTATGTTGAGAATAAGTATATTAGTGTTGATGTATCGACAGTATCCATTGCTTTTTAGGTATACAATTTCTTGCCATCAGTGTCCGCAGCTATTGGACACTATAGACCCCAGAAAGATGTTTGGAAAGCAGCTATAGCCTTGCAGGCAACAATCAGGGTCTTAGTACTTGTAATGTATTTTCAATATTACAAGGAAACTGTTCATAGCTTAGCACAGGGCTTAAGTAATATTGCTCTGATGCTTTACATAATAGAAAATACTGCGTTGGTTACTTTGAGTTTTTGGTCTTCGGATGAGAATTATGGTGTGTACAATGTTACAGGTGCAGCCCATTTTTCTATGTACTAATTTTTTTATTTTCAGCATTTCACAAGTTATCGTTCATAACATTTTTAATAACATCATTGGTACATATGGTGTTGACCTGTCTAATAATGAAACACTACAGAAATATCTCGAGAAATGCACTTGAAACTGATTCCCTGAAATTGAAATGGAGATTTTTATTTTTTAATGTAGCATCGATACTGATGGCCTGCTATTTTTTCTATAGACACAATAAATATTGTGAACCCTTAGGTAAATGGACAACACCATCTTTTTCATGAATGTATTCTTTTCTTTTCTTTATCTCAGAGTATATCTTATAACATGTATAAAACGTGAAATACTATTTCAGTGTACTCCATGTTCGCATTGACAGAGTATATGGTGGTTATCAGCAATATGGGTTTTCACGTAACTGCAGCATGGGACTTTGCTGGGAGAAGTCTACTAATATCAGGAAACGGACTTAGGATCGTTTAATAATCATGACTGTGATTAGTACAATTTTCTTGGAAATAATGCAACGATATGCATGTTTCCTTATAAATATGTATTTGTGAACATTTAAAAAGGTTGGCCATATTACCTTTTCATGTAATAATTCACGGATACATATGTACAATATGACCTGTATTAATTGCAGTGATTAATTTTAAAGCAAAGAATCATTAATCAAGAATATATATATTATCAAGGTGCTAGATATATTTTGTATCATAAATTTAAGTTTCCAAAGAACAAAGTAACCACGAATGGAATAATACTACACTAATATTTTAATTATGAGAATGACACGTAGTGGCGTTTTATTTACTGCGAATCTTGTAAATATAATAAATTATATATAAATCAACGTTTTACAATAATTCTAATACGGCATACAAATATATTATTTTTAAACAAAATACATTAGTCGTTACTACGACATTAAAAAATACATTTGTTTATAAATCGCTCATAGTTTTCTCATAAAACTATTAAACGAATAACGGTAATAACTAATATTCATACATGATCCAGTAAAGTCACGAAAGTTATTGGGCTTACGATATTTACATGTGCACATAAAGGACGCATGGCATCTATAAACAATCACGAGTAAATACTGCGTATGGAGGGTTCTAACGCTGAGATTTGCAAAATATTACAAATAAATACCATCTGTATTTACAGTAAACAAAGTAAATAGTTTTGTGTAAGATAAAGTGATAAATTTGTGTATAGAGTACTAAAATATATCAAAGCGCAAAGCTTTGTACTTTTGTAAATTCTTCAGTTGATTATTTCATACTTATCGATGTCCATTTGTATAAACAAAAATGTTTCAGCACAGTAATGAATACAACTTCTGGTGTGATCATTTCATTTTAGATGTCCCGTACGAGACAAAAATTATTTTAGAAAAACTGAGACTTCAGTCTAGTATAATTAATATTCTATAAATGTACTAAAACTTAAAATCTGTTTCAAGTTTGTCAGATATATGTTTCGCTATCGCCATACTACTAGTTGCTGCCGGGGATGGAGCATTCCGACAATGAAGTACTCTTTTACCAATACTTCCTTCACCTCCATCAAACACAAAATCATCTACCAGGTTACCATCTTTATCCAATGCCTGTGCTCTGACACCCGCAGGACCCCTAAATAAAGGTTCAAGATATTTCTACCACTTTCTTAAACAATATATAATTGCTGGTACAAAACTCATACCTTTTTACATCCTTGACAGAGATTTCTGGCATAAATTTCTGAAGATCTTTTACAGCCAGAGGATAGAAAACAGATTTCAAAACTTCATGAAGCCCCGGCACAATGTATTTAAAGCACAGTTTATACAGTCCTGGGAATTTAGCCATCTCTATACAATCCCTCACGTTTATGTCAAACCAGCTGCAGATTGTTAAGTATTTCTTAAAAAATATCCTTCACACCAATTATTTTAGTTTATCAAATTGACATAAATAAAGTACCTGTAACCTTCTCTGGCAAATGCCAAAACAGCATTAGGACCCAACCAAATATCACCGCTCATTCTTGGAGTGAAATGAACTCCCAGAAAAGGAAACCTGGCATCCGGAACTGGATAAATGTTCGTAACGCATATTGATTTTTTACTGTCACTCAATAAGAGGTATTCCCCACGGAATGGTACTATTCGTGGATTTAAATCGCAACCAGTCATCACGGCCAATCGATCGGAATGTAAGCCTCCGCACGTCAGTACATATTTCGCTAAGATACACTGCAATATATAATACAGTAGATAAATTAAATGAACTATCAAACATACAGAATAATTAAACGACAATAATTAACTCACTTTATTTTTGGATTGAACTGATATCGGTACTAATTCACCTTTTCCTTTAGATTCAGCCAATTCAGAAAATCCAGTTACTTCAAAATTTAAATGAATCTCTCCACCCATTTTTTTAAAATCTTCAGCAAAATGGTTGCAGACTAGACCCCAGTCGACAATACCTGTCCACGGTGACCATATTGCCTTTTGTCCCTATTAAAAGATACACATTCCCTTATAACAAATATTTCGTACAGGCTATAACTTTACCTGGCAATTAGGTTGATAATTTCCTATACAATCTCTCTCAACTAGCTCAAGATCCGGTACGTTATTCTTTAATCCACGTTGATGTAATTCGTCTATCCTCTTAACTTCTTTTTCATTTTTCGCTACAATCAGCTTTCCAATTTTCTTGTGTGGAATATCATTTTTGCAGAAATAATCGTAAGAGAGTTTCAACCCCTCTACGCATAGTTTAGCCTGTAATAATACAGGCAACGATTAAGTGACTTTTACAATCAGTCTGCTAATAGCCTTTGAGCATTATACGCTATCAGCACAGCCAATTATATTCATATATTATATTTCGTGGAGGGTAATTTCAAAATCCTCACCTTCATACTCCCAGGAGTGTAATAAATGCCAGCGTGTACGACACCACTATTGTGTCCAGTTTGATGCATCGCTACGGCCTTTTCCTTTTCAACAATCGCTATCTTTAAAGACGGATGCCTGCTGAGCATTTCTCTTGCTGTGGCGCATCCCACGATACCACCGCCGACGACCACCAGGTCATAGGTGCCACAGGGATCGGTACTGAGGATAAAAAAATATTTTAAATTTAAAATAGCCCAAAATTCTTTAAAAATCTAGAATCAATTAACAGGGAACAAATAATTAAGTGGCAACAAAGTCCACGAAATATTCGATTGGATACGAATATACTTGTTCCATTGATAATTTTTTTCTCCTTTAATTCATAGTGAAAAATACGAGCAAATAAAAATGAATATGACTACGAATACAGGACGTAATCAGAGAACGAAAGGATATTGCAGTTACGTACAGTGGATGAATTTTTTTTATAAAGAATAACAGATATTAAAAGTACGAACCTAGAGGTAGAACCATTGCGACATAAATTTCCAAGTCGCTGAAGCGAATTTCTGCTCGCCAACGTTTTCATCAGACTGGTCGACATGATGATCTCTGGTATTATTTACTGTAAATTTTGTATGTGAATTTCTTAGTCCGGGTATTCGTGTACGTAGCCGTTTGAGCGCTTTGACACTGTGAATTTTTCTATCCCGTAATGACTGATTAACAGGAGGCTAACGTGACATTCAGAGTTTCATCGTTGATTTAGCCTTAAAATAATACTAATGACAATTCCATGTTTCTTGGCTTATGGCTGAATTCAAGTCTATTTTTGATTCGCTTAGATTCAGATACGAGTAGGAAATTCAATGCCGCCGATTTACATAAATTAGTTCTACGTTTGACGTATTATACTTTTAGTCGTTATACATTTTATTAATATCTACCCGTAAACTTTAATATTAGACTAGTAGACAAATGGAAGAAGGGCTACTAAGTGTAAAGTTCAGTACTAAACTGATAGCCAGTACATACAGTATTATGATACAGCACTAACATATATTAACACTATTTATATAATGAGACACGAAAAAAACATGTTGGTTTTATATGTGAGGTTGACTAGGTTTTATTTTGATAAAAGTTATCTCGCGTTTATAAGACTCGTAACTTCAGAATTCACAAGCAATGCCGGTACGGAAGACAGATAATTTTCGTAGATAGTCTAATTAAAAATATCAAAAATATTACGTAGAAAAAAAACTAAAATTTATTAAAAATAATAACTTCAATTATAATTCAATCGGATCTCTATTAAAACGTTTTTATAATTACCTAAGAAAAAGAGCGTTTTACTTTGCAATGCACAGTGCAGTGTATTAATACTGATAGAACGGGAGCTTAATGATCTAAAAAAATAAAATGTTATGTAACTGTTACATGTGTATAATAAACGCATATTAGGACTCCATGAGATAGAACGCACGATACTTATATACATACATGTATATATAGTCACATGGAGGTATCAAAGATATATTGGTAGCTTCGGTACAACCTTCATTCGTAGATTCCGTCACTGGTAAATGAAATGAACTGTACTATCACCAAGTATAAATGTATTTGGTTCCTGGTACGGAACCTCGTCGATGATTCACGATGAGGAAGCCAAGGCTGATTCCCCGTCAAAGATAATTTTAAACTGATGTACTATCGCGCTGCGAACAGCTGATCACTTGTGGTTATAACGAGAGATATCACGAGTGATCAAACGCGCATGACTGTTTTTATCTCTTGCTAAGGAATAAAGTAGAGTGATTGATTTTCAAAAGCTGTGCACTTTACCATTGCTCTAGCTCCACCCACGTAGTCCTCCTATGGTAAAACAGATTATGCTTCAGAGCAATCAAAGAGCGCCGCGTGCGGTAACTGTTGGTACTACGTGATCACTGTAGGAATCGGCTGAGAAGAAAGATATTAACTAATGGTGATTTAGTTACAGAAGCAAGTTAAAAAATAATTCCCAGAGATATTCATTATACAATATTCTTAATTGTTTATTCATTATGAAATATTCTTTTTAATCGTCATACCTCTTGTTTTTACAGGCTTTGTGTAGGGACGCTCATCCGTACCCTTGCTTCTGAGTTAGATTACGTACTAACAAAGATCCAGGGTAACGTTTCCAGGTTATCTCCTTGCAAAGGAACACAAATACGAGACAATGATCCCTCGATAATTCCCGTAGAACGTGCTAAGCGTAGAGCTTAGAGGTTCCTAGCTGTTTTATGGAAGTCAGGAAGGGCGACTAATCCCTAAGTGTTTCCCATGTTGGTCAGTCCTGCTTCTGACAGTTTGATTAAACGAGATCGTTCGAGCCTGCAGGAATGAGGATCATCGGCGGGACCGGCTGCACTACGATTCCCATGCTAGAATGCACCTGGTCCAGGTCTCACTACAGCCCCAGTAGAAACGATCTTCCAGTAAGTTTCCTTCTTCCCTCTCTCGAGGATCATTATTCTTCTCACTCTTTCTTTATGTTTATTCTATTCTCTGTCTCAATTTCTCTCTCTACCCTACGGCACCTCTTCTATCTTCTTTCATAATCTATCCATCTTCTTTCAGATGCAGTACCCTACCTTGGCAGAGTGCATCCTCCAAGAGAAAAAAAAAGACAGGCTCGTCTCTCCAGGAATAAATTCCCCACAGCATCGAAATCACTGGGTAAAATCGTAAAGGAGATCTATCGTGCCGTAGTTCCTGAATCACTATGCTCCGACCTCGACCTTCATAAATTCAAGCAATGGCCACCATGGCGAATCGTCAATGGGTGATTTGCTAGTAATCGTATACGGGAACAGGAGTTTCATCCTTTATATATACGATTTATGCCAATCTGATGGGGCTCTGGTTTAGGAGAGAGGAACGTGATAGGACTTACCTCTCCATTGGGGACCTAACGCCCATTCGAGTTTACTATTATACGGCCCTGAGACGTGGTGCGTGGCCAAGTTGCGCGGCGGTTCTTTGACTCGTTGGGAGTCAGTCAACTCGGTGACGGCTTCCATGTAGCGTCGCATTCAGAGTTCGCGTCCGGGTTTACCTGATCGCACGCGGGCATATTAAGTGTTCCTATAATCCTGTTCAAAAGATATTGCTACTGTTATCTTATACAATTTTTTAAGACTACCCGGCGATTATTTCTTTTTCAATTTTCAAACTTTACGAGAGTTTTTTTTATCAACTATTATATCCGCGCCAAGTGTTCGATCTCAAGAATTTCGGTGTACAATGATGCACATTATAATTGACAGGTGATATTAAAAGAGGACTAGCAATCTTAAAAGTTTTTGAAGTGTCGAGTGTGATAAAACTATAAATCTAAAAACTGTGTCAACATAACAAAATAAAAGTACACGAAACAAATGTCCATTAAGTTCGCGAAGATCTTGATGTAAATTAAGTGAAGCACAGGACGAAGGTCCTGACCACAAGCCGGTCCTATGTAAAAAGATCTAGAGATCCAGATCGCTCGACTTTACGAACCGTGATCTAAACGGTAGAAAGGAGAATACTACAAGGTCCTTGGACACCGTAAGGAGTTATATTTATATGAGCAATGGGAAGCGATCTTACGAAATAATAATTCGCCATACCGATCGTTTACGGTAGTTCTTGAAGAAGGCACTGGAGCAGTTCTATTGAAAAAGAAAAACTAAGAACACTCCTAAGTCATTCATAGTAAATAAAAGTTTTTCTCCAAGTCTTCATGATGGAGGACGAGCTAAGGTGTCCCTCGTGTAAGGAATTATTTACGGATCCAGTGTTATTGCCGTGCTGGCATGCATTGTGTCTTTCGTGTGCCGTGAATTTGCAAGCACCACCGGATTCACCACCAGAATCAACGACGGATTCCTCAAACGCACCAGGTTCTGACCAGGAAGCCGACAAGCTGTCTATACTGTCCGAAACGGATTCCGGAGTTGTCTGCAGCAGCACGTCTACCAGTTCTCGGCCAGGAAGTTACGTGGGTACTCCAGGAAATGGTGGCTTTCCACCCTCTGGTGGTACCTTGTGCTTATCCTGTCCCGTGTGCCAGAAGAACGTCTACTTCGACGAGGGTGGCGCACATAACTTACCCAAGTACAGAGCGATGCAACGCATAGTCGAAAAGTACCAGGACGCCAGGAACATACGCTCCCAGTGTCAAATGTGCGAAGGGGAACCTAGGGAAGCTACAGTGGCGTGCGAGCAATGTGAGGTAAGCTTTAAAAATTTACATTATTTACTTCCCTTTGTCATCCTTATTCTCCTTTTCATTTACCTGGTTCACGTAGGAATGACAGCTCTTTTGTTCCCTAGGATTTTTCTTTTTTCATTTCTCTTGGATAAGTGTCTGGCCTCTTAGGAACTAGGACGAAGTTGTTTTCTGTCCTATTTACTTAAGGTACCCTGGTTGTTTTGACTAACTTTTCTCGAACGCCTCGTGAATCCTGTCCAGCTATAGTAAATACATGGCACGAATTTTGATAGTAATTCTTGGAGCTTTCATTTACACTGTGATCGATAAGTAAAATTCCTTATTTTCAATAATGCTTTGTACGACTTTTGACACTATAATGTATTTCTCAGATAACAAAGTCATTCGCGAGGCTGTGACGTGTAATTCGTCTCACGTTTCCCCCAACACCTTGAAGTATGCATATTATTTTTTCTCATCTCAGAGACAGTAGATTAACATCAGATCTGTTACGTCACGAAGAGAAAGAACGCGAAGGACAGTATAAAAGAGGGAAAAAAAATAGAGAAAATGTCATTTATCGTGGAATCAGCTTACGGCTTTTAGGCGTGATAAAAATTGCCGTCGTTACGCGGGAGCGTCGCGGTGCCTGCGTCGCCAAGAGAAATAAAGTCCCGGAGATATCGTTCACGTCAAGGAGTCGTAAGAGCCTAAAACTTTCTCGGAATTACTGTTAAGCCTAATCGATTTATCAGATAAGACTTATGTGTTACGATATTTCTAAGGTACGTCTGCTTAGAATTTTCTTATAGAAAGATAACAGTGAGTCAATCAGTTCGGATACACCGTTACATGGGCCGATGCTGTTTTGATAATAGACTCAAAAATATAATCAAACCCGTCACAATCGACTTTCTCGGTTTCATAACTCTTCTCGGATACGTCCCTCTGCGTTAATGGCGAAAGCCGATGCAGTGCAAATGACCATAAACTACATTACGGACTGCCGTGTGTATGTCTAAGGGAACTCGTTTCCCGTAATCGATATGAGAAAGGGCAGCATCATATCGTATAACGAGGGCGCCGTACAACAGGGCGTTTATCCAAGTTTATCCAAGGGCACGAGATAGAGGGAGTATATTGTATGCGAAACAATAGTACGTATAACGACGGCCTAATTTAGTTTCGCTACATCGCGTACGCAATATTTCACCGTGTACTAAGCGACGCTCGGCCACCTACCGGCAGACGGAAGAAACCGATAGTAGAAAAACGTAACTCCGTAGAAAACCCTGTACTCTCGTGTGCCACATAATTACGTGTACCTTTGGCGGTTATAAATCATCCGAATCCTAAGTGATTTAGGTAGGACTGTCAGTGTACAGGTATTTCGACACGAAATGGTGGTTCTATTATTCCGTTTAACCGATTGGTGCCCTTTTATCGCTCAATCTTTTTTCATTCGACGTCGTGAATTTTTCACGATGAAAGGAAACGCCACCATTGTCACTTCATTGTCGTGTAGGGACAACGAGAAGCGATTGGGTTCTCTCAACGCCGGTTCAAATTCTACGAGGGCCGAGAGTAATTAGGTTTCCGAGGGCTCCGGTATTGTCTAACTAACAATGGACGGTTCTAGAATAAACAGTCCACGTATACGCGCGATAGTGCAACGTGTATTAAGCAAGTGGCTCCTCGGATCTCTCTTTTCCTTCTTGTCACTAATCTGCCCACAGTCAGCCATATTGTTTTCCTGTCAGTCGCATAATTTTTTTCAATATCTCAACGCGCCGTCAACATTCTCCGTCCTTTGACTTTCAGGTTCTTTACTGCGACTCCTGCAGGGAATCCTGTCATCCCAAAAGGGGCCCACTGGCTGCGCACAATCTGGGCCCACCAAGAGGCAGCTGGCAATCGAATAACGTTAAGGGCCCGCGAGGATTGGGGCACGACGGTATACCACATTGCTCCGATCACAATGGCGAATCTGTCAGCCTCTACTGCGCCCTGTGCAAATCCGCCACGTGTTCCTTGTGTCTGCGGGATCGGCACGCTGCACATCCTCACGACGTTTTACCACTGGCAGCAGCTTGTAAGGCCCAGAAGGTAAGTCCCAGCTTATATTATTACACTTTTATCCAGGCAAATTATATGGGCAATGTCTACGGGAAAGAAATTTTTTTATACCAATTTTTTTTCACTCAGACCCATAACGTTCAGCGACTAAGTATACGGTGTTGCGAAGGGGGATGAATTTTTTATAAAAATTGTTCGATCCGATTTCTATGTTTTATTCAAAAATTTTTTTTATCCGCGCGAACCCAGGCTCGCTCGACTTTCCTAATGGCGGTACTCGCAATATGTGCTCGAGCGACAGCTGGCTCCAATATTGTGTGTCATATGTGGGTGTGTACCCATCCTAGAGTCACTTTTCGTTTAACTCGCCACCTGGCCCACTGGCTGACATATGGAGTTTCCCGTTAAGGGAATCACTTCCTCGCGTTAGTCCTGACAAATGGTCACGAAATGGTATCACGTCCTCCAGTCGGTCCCTTCTTGCTCTCCTCAGCCCTTCTGGACCCCGCTATCACATGACTGATCGTGAGATCGTGCACTTAAAAACTTTTTAACGAGTAACTCTGGACCACTTTTCCATATCGTTATTTAAGCTTTGACATTTTTCCTTCAAAGTCCAGCCGACAAGCTAAAGATTGCTTATCTCTTATCAGAAATTAATTTTCATACGTACGATTTTGAATTTTTTTAGGAATGAAAAAAAATTTTTCAAAATACAAACGAGCTCATGACGCGTCGCTGTCGTATCGAGCGTTTAAATGACAATTGGACGAATACGTGTTAACCCCAATCACCATACGCGGTCCATACGTGATAATTATTCGTAAGGGAGATTTTTGCTTGTTCGACCTTTCACCTCGCGAGTTAAGCTCTATGTAAACTCCACGCGTTATCTGTATATACTATAAATTCGCCTGGTTGAGTTTGCCGGCGTAATTTTGGAGTTTGACCAGAAAATTCGTGAAACGCGTAAAAGTCCGG